ATTTTCTTAATAATAATAATAATAATAATAATAATAATAATAATAATAATAATAATTGGTGTAAAAAATATTGTCCGTTGGTGTGGGGGAGGGACCCACTACCCTTACCCCTACCCCCCTCCCTCCCTCCCCCCCCCCTTCCGCCACCTCTCACCACACCCTTTCTCACCTGAGGAGTTAAACAGGTGTAACAGATCCGCATAGCTGTTGTTTCTACCACTAGGTTGGGTTAGGTTAGGTTAGGTTAGGTTAGGTTAGGTTAGGTCATACAGACAAAGGAAGAGAAAAGAAAATAAGGAGTCAAAAAAATAGTTAAAGGATACACACACACACACACACACACACACACACACACACACACACACACACACACACACACCACCACCACCACACTTAATACCTCCGGGCCTTCACTCTACCCTTCAATTACATGCTCGTATATCCTAAGCCAGACGAACGTTCGCCAGCCCTTTTTCCTGAAGTAATCATATATACTAATAAGAGGCTAGACAAACAGGTTTACTTTCATGACGTGTGTTTTGGAGTCGGATTCGCCCCTTATGTCTTCCGCGAATGGTTATTAGTAAACAGAGATGGTCTTCAAGGCGGATTCTTTAACATGGCTTAGGTATTGTTACTCTCACTGACTACGTACTTACACCTCGGATTTTGACCTTGACCTTTAACCTCGGGGATAGCATTGTAAATAGAGTCATATATATATAGCAAAACAGTTAACTCAAGACACAGATAATTACATACATAAATAGAGACGCCATTGACCTCTCTACACGCACGACCACTATCACTGTCTCTCACTTGACACACTCACCTGAAGGGAATTCTATAAAGTTAATGACTCACTTAACCTGTAAGTCACCACAACCTCGCACTATCATCACCACAGCTCTCAAGGCCAAGTTGATTACCAAACCTAGATTCGAATTCTCATTGGCTCGTAACTTTAAGTATGATCTAAAAACGTTTGTAATTGGTTCATTGTGTATATGAGACGGAGACAGATAGACAGAAAAAATTAAAAATAAATCTTGAGAAAACTTGAGTTGTGGGTTTAGTTTAAAGTAAATTGATGCTGTTGCTAAGGTGGTGGTACTTGTTGAAATGATAGCACTGGTTTAGGGACTTGACCTTGGTGATGATCGACCTGGTCTCGTCATCAGGGAGAACTCCACCGGACAGGTTCCTCAGGTAAGGTTAACCGCAACGTCTGAGTGGATCTAGTTCTGTTTCCATGTTATTGAATGAATCTTTGACAACCTATCATCGTGTTATAGTCTTAAGTGAACCTTTTATTAGTGCCTTCATTACCAGGTGTCTAATTGGCTCACTTAAGTTACGACACTAAAGATGGATTTCCTAACCTAACCTAACCTAACCAACTTAACCTAACCTGCATGCATACATAAGCGAATACATATATACAATTATTGGGCACATAAGCACGTGTGTATGAATGTTTGCAAACACACACACACACACACACACACACACACACACACACGCCTGCCAGCATAGATTACGTAGCCTGGTTATAGAGCGTCTACCTGGCTACACATTAATCATACTGAGTGTGACAGGTAACTAATGGAAGTGTACCACCTGGCTGTAATGACCCATGTCAGCTGACCTGTGTTTACTAACAAATATAGATTGCCCCCCAGGATCCAGGTTTTTAACAGATGAATAAAAAAATTTACACCCAAAGCTAATTTCTGTCATTTCACTACGATGGAAAGAGTTCTTTTTAAATCAACTAATTATACGATCAGCTGACTGTGTTTACAAACAAACCTGCGGTGCTCTTTAACTCTTTCAGGGTCTAGGGATAAGATAAATGAGTGACACCGACAGCTAATTACTCCAATGTTTACTACGATGGAAGGAACTTGTGAATGAATTAATGATACGATCAGCTGACTATTGTGCTTACAAACAAATGCGTAGTGCCCTTTAAATAGAACAGCAGATCTATGAGATGTATAAATGAATGAGACAAATGAATCAGCATTGTGTTTACCTCTGAATATAAATTTCTGTTAATTTGCCTTTAAGTATCACCTGAAGATTACCCCCAAAAAAAAAAAAAATATTTCAACTGAAGGCTTGTCATCCTAGGGGTGTTAGGTTAGGTGGTTAAGCTGGGGCTAATCTCAGGTGTTTAACATTTTCATCCCTTTAATATATTTAAGAATAACATCTTCGGTCGCCACTACACACACACACACACACACACACACACACACACACACACTCCAGTGCAAGCTCCAGAAGTCACAGTGGGTGCCCATCCTCTCCAGTTAGTGCAGTCTGCCAAACTCCTGGGTGTTACCATAGACCACAAACTGGACTGGAAGGCCCATGTAAACAACACAGTCAAGGCAGCCTCGTACCGTCTCTACATGCTACGACGACTTTGGTCACTTGGGACACCCACGCCAGAGTTGAGGACTATCTACAACGCCTTTATTCTCCCTAAACTAACGTATGCGTCACCAGCCTGGTCGTCTTCTCTCAACTCCACCCAACAACGTCGGCTAGAGAAGGTACAGAAAAGGGCCTGCAGAATCATGCTCGGCGCAGAATACTCCGGCTACATCAACGCTCTCTCCACCCTGGAAATGCCATCCCTCAGTGACCTCCACCACCAAGTACTAGCAAGGTTGGCCAGTGGACTACTGCACCATCCTCGTCATCGCCACCTCCTGCCACCTGCAGCCCCCCACCCACCTCGCGCAGTCCGCCACTACAACAAAATTCAGCCCATAAGAGCCCGCACCGATAGATATAAGAACAGCACCATCCCATCTAGTGTTAAAATAATAAACAACTCCTGATTTATGTACTGTACAGCTCTGTAAATGTATTCAATGCATATCATTATGTCTAAATCAAATGTAAGTTTATATACATTCAGCCACCGGCTGCAACTCTATTAATAAACCGTTTATTATTATTATTATTATTATTATTATTATTATTATTATTATTACACACACACACACACACATATACCTCATACATAATACACAATATACATAATACATAGCATACACAGGTAAAAACTATAAACATTGGAGGTAGAGACATTGTTTATACTGAGACTAATGTATGTATGTATGTCTGTTATGTCTCAACACCGATGATATAAAACTCTCCGGTCACCAATATCTATATATCACTTACGCTCCAGGCTCAAGGTATATGTTATTGACCTCTGACCTTTGACCTTTAGTAATAGAGTCAATAAGATATATCCGTCTCCTAGATATCATTCCAATATATACGGTACGTGTGTGTGTGTGTGTGTGTGTGTGTGTGTGTGTGTGTGTGTGTGTGCGGAAGATAAAGTCAAGGTAGCGACTCCCAAACTCACATTAATCTTTACAAAATAGTGTTATGACGTCATCGTGGTCACTCGTTTGGATCGGCCATTGGTTCCCGATAGTCAGTAGGTAGCAGCGGTGTTACTGTTCCTTCGTGTGATATCGGAATTCGTTCTAATGGCGAGAGAGAAACTGAGTTGTTGTTGTGTATACGTGGGTAAATGTCAACCAGAGGAGGTGTAGTTCATGTAAATGTTGTTAGATTGATTTCCCGGCTTGTTGTTGTTATAGATCTGAACCTCTGATGGATGTGAAGCAACAGTGACCTTCAAGGCAAGATGGTCGATGTTATGAAAAATTGACCACGAAAATGGGACCACTAATCATTATACAGTACTTCCCCGGGTGATTTAGACCAATTAAACCTATCCTAACTTAATTAAAACTACTCTTACGAAAGTTCAGTTAGTTTAGGTTAGGTTAGGTTAGGTTAGGTTAGGCTATGGTATAATTGCTTCTGCTAACAAAATAAAAAATATGAAGGGTGTAGCGTTCCCGTTGGCCATATTGCAGGCACCATCAACCCGCTGCCTCGATATCCACACGAGGTAATTGACTTGTTGACGACCTCTCTAACGACCTGGCTGTTGCTGGGCCACGTCAGGGGAACATCTCGCATGATGACCCTCATGCTGGCACTGTGTGTCAGGTCACGAAGGTCATATTTAAAGTGTGTCAGTCAGTCAGAGGTGTACAGCTGGGGGAGAGGGCAGCTTAGGTCAACAGTGAGAGGCTAAGACTCGTAACTTTAGGCTGAGCAGTGACTGCAGATAGATAGTACTGACGGCTGACAGCAGTGACGGCAGACAGGTTAGTGACGTCGTCAGTTGGGAGGTGTATAGATCACACACACACACACACACACAGAAGGATCAGGTTATTGACATTTTAATCATTTTCATAATAATTTTTTTCTCTTTAATCACTGAAGTGCTCTCTCTCTCTCTCTCTCTCTCTCTCTCTCTGCTCCACACATAAACAGAGCGTCAGATTAGACAAGTTTTGGCCTCGTGTGTGTCTGGTGTCAGGCGAGGTGGTGTTGTGTGTCACAGCTCGACCTTGTGTCTGGTGCCTCCCCCTCCCCTCTGTCTCCCTGTGTGCGTGTGTGCGTGTGTGTGTGTGTGTGTGTGTTAATGAAATTCTAAAGATTTTTATATTGATCTACAGTAGCTTAACCTAACCTAACTGAACCCAATCAAACTTAACAACCTAACCTAACCATGTCGACTGGGGCTCTCTTAAACCTGGGGCCAATTACGAATGGGGGCCCACTCTCAATGGCATGGTTAGGTTAGGTTATCTGAGGTTAATTTAGGTTAGGTTAGGTTAGGTTAGTCGCCCATTTACCAGTGAACTATATTCTATAAGGAAGAGTCTAGAAAAAAACAAATAAATTCTAATATTATGTAAAGTAACACAGAAATGGATAAGAATGACCACGAGTTAACCATTTCCTGCCTTTAACCTCACTTGATAAAGCATCCCTCACTTAGGAAAGAAAAACAAGCTTGGTCAAGAGAGGCTGTAATTGGACTAACTAACTGCAGCCAAGAAAAACGACCTCAAACACAATGTTATCCTTCCCGCTCAAACCTGTCGCCAGAGTGAGGTTGTCCTGCCAGAGAATAGAGTGTGTGGTAACCCTTGTAGTCAGGGGGGTATAAAAGAGGAGAGGACACCACACTCCTTAGCCACAACCACTGGGGCTCTGAGCTAATCCACAACATGAAGGTCCTCCTCCTTGGTGAGTCATAGCCTGCTGTTGTTATAAAAGGAATAAGAATCAAGAATATTTCAAGTGAATCCAATCATGGAGTCATTGTCGCATTCGTAAATAACTTCTCGATATATTGCATTAAAAAAATCTTAAGAAACATCTCCAGTGAACTAAGTAATTCTGTCTCGAAAATTTTTGTATTAATTTGGAAGTGACAACAGACTAGTTACCATGAAGGTTGTGAGTGACACAGACTAGTTAACATGAAGGTTGTGAGTGACACAGACTAGTTAACATGAAGGTTGTGAGTGACAACAGACTAGTTACCATGAAGGTTGTGAGTGACAACAGACTAGTTACCATGAAGGTTGTGAGTGACAACAGACTAGTTACCATGAAGGTTGTGAGTGACAACAGACTAGTTACCATGAAGGTTGTGAGTGACAACAGACTAGTTACCATGAAGGTTGTGAGTGACAACAGACTAGTTAACATGAAGGTTGTGAGTGACAACAGACTAGTTACCATGAAGGTTGTGAGTGACAACAGACTAGTTACCATGAAGGTTGTGAGTGACAACAGACTAGTTACCATGAAGGTTGTGAGTGACAATAGACTAGTTAACATGAAGGTTGTGAGTGACAATAGACTAGTTACCATGAAGGTTGTGAGTGACAACAGACTAGTTAACATGAAGGTTGTGAGTGACAACAGACTAGTTACCATGAAGGTTGTGAGTGACAACAGACTAGTTAACATGAAGGTTGTGAGTGACAACAGACTAGTTAACATGAAGGTTGTGAGTGACAAAGGCATCGAAGTTAACATTTTGGGGCTAAGCCAGGAGCACAACAGACTGAGCTACTTCCATGAAGGGCTGGGGAGGACAACACACACTAGTTGGGCGAGTGACAACAGACTAGTTACCATGAAGGTTGAGCACACCAGACTAGTTACCATGAAGGCTGTGAGTGACAACAGACCAGTTACCATGAAGGTTGTGAGTGACACAGACTAGCTAACAGAAGGCTTGAGTGGCAACAGACGAAGTTTGGGCCATGAAGGCTGCAGTGACAACAGACTAGTTACCATGAAGGTTGTGAGTGACAACAGACTAGTTAACATGAAGGTTGTGAGTGACACAGACTAGTTACCATGAAGGTTGTGAGCATGTCAGACCATGAAGGCTGACACAACAGACTAGCAATGAAGGTTGTGAGTGACAACAGACTAGTTACCATGAAGGTTGTGAGTGACAACAGACTAGTTACCATGAAGGTTGTGAGTGACAACAGACTAGTTAACATGAAGGTTGTGAGTGACAACAGACTAGTAACATGAAGGTTGTGAGTGACAACAGACTAAGTTACCATGAAGGTTGTGAAAGACAACAGACTAGTTACCATGAAGGTTGTGAGTGACACAGACTGTTACCATGAAGGTTGTGAGTGACAAATGACTAAGTTACCATGAAGGTTGTGAGTGACAACAGACTAGTTACCATGAAGGTTGTGAGTGACAACAGACTAGTTACTATGAAGGTTGTGAGTGACAACAGACTAGTTACCATGAAGGTTGTGAGTGACAACAGACTAGTTAACATGAAGGTTGTGAGTGACAACAGACTGCTAACATGAAGGTTGTGAGTGACAACAGACTAGTTAACATGAAGGTTGTGAGTGACAACAGACTAGTTAACAACATGAAGGCGAGTGACAACAGACTAGTTACTATGAAGGTTGTGAGTGACAACAGACTAGTTAACATGAAGGTTGTGAGTGACAACAGACTAGTTACCAGAAGGTTGTGAGTGACACAGACTAGTTACCATGAAGGTTGTGAGTGACAACAGACTAAGTTAACATGAAGGTTGTGAGTGACAACAGACTAGTTACCACATGAAGGTTGTGAGTGACAACAGACTAGTTACCATGAAGGTTGTGAGGACAACAGACTAAGTTAACATGAAGGTTGTGAGTGACAACAGACTAGCTACCATGAAGGCTGGAAAGACAACAGACTAGTTACCATGAAGGTTGTGAGTGACACAGACTAGTTACCATGAAGGCTGTGGAGGACAACAGACTAGTTAACATGAAGGTTGTGCGACAACAGACTAGTTACCATGAAGGTTGTGAGTGACAACAGACCAAGTTACCATGAAGGCTGTGAGTGACAACAGACTAGTTACCATGAAGGTTGTGAGTGACAAATGACTAGTTACCATGAAGGTTGTGAGTGACAACAGACTAGTTACCATGAAGGTTGTGAGACAACAGACTAAGCTAACATGAATGCCAGAGTGACAACAGACTAGTTACCATGAAGGTTGTGAGGACAACAGACTAGTTAACATGAAGGCTGTGAGTGACAACAGACTAGTTAACATGAAGGCTGTGAGTGACAACAGACTAGTTACCATGAAGGTTGTGAGTGACAACAGACTAGTTACCATGAAGGTTGTGAGGACACAGGACTAGTTACCATGAAGGTTGTGAGTGACAACAGACTAGTTACCATGAAGGCGACACAGACTAGTTACCATGAAGGCTTATGACAACAGACTAAGCTAACATGAAGGCTAGAGTGACAACAGACTAGCTACCATGAAGGCTGTAGGGAGTGACAACAGACTAGTTACCATGAAGGTTGTGAGTGACAACAGACTAGTTAACATGAAGGTTGTGAGGACAACAGACTAGTTACCATGAAGGCTAGAGTGACAACAGACTAGTTACCATGAAGGTTGTGAGACACAGACCAGTTACCATGAAGGTTGTGAGTGACAACAGACTAGTTACCATGAAGGCAGAGTGACAACAGACTAGTTACCATGAAGGTTGTGAGTGACAACAGACTAGTTAACATGAAGGTTGTGAGTGACAACAGACTAGTTAACATGAAGGTTGGGTGAGTGACAACAGACTAGTTACCATGAAGGCTAGGAAAGTGACAACAGACTGTTACCATGAAGGTTGTGAGTGACAACAGATCACAACATGAAGGTTGTGAGACAACAGACTAGTTAACATGAAGGTTGTGAGTGACAACAGACTAGTTAACATGAAGGTTGTGAGTGAACACAGACTAGTTAACATGAAGGCTGTGAGTGACAACAGACTAGTTACCATGAAGGTTGTGAGTGACAACAGACTAGTTAACTATGAAGGTTGTGAGTGACAACAGACTAGTTACCATGAAGGTTGTGAGTGACAACAGACTAGTTAACATGAAGGTTGTGAGTGACAACAGACTAGTTACCATGAAGGTTGTGAGTGACAAATATGACCTAGTTACCATGAAGGTTGTGAGTGACAACAGACTAGTTACCATTAGCTGCCAGAGACAACAGACTAGTTACCATGAAGGCTGTGAGGACAACAGACTAGTTACCATGAAGGTTGTGAGACACAGACTAGTTACCATAGTTGCCAGGAGTGACAACAGACTAGTTACCATGAAGGTTGTGAGTGACAACAGACTAGTTACCATGAAGGTTGTGAGACAACAGACTGAAGTTACCATGAAGGCTGTGAGTGACAATAGACTAGTTACCATGAAGCTGTGAGTGACAATAGACTAGTTACCATGAAGGCTGTGAGTGACAATAGACTAGTTACCATGAAGGCCAGAGGACAACAGACCAGTTTCAACATGAAGGCCAGGAGTGACAGACTAGCTAACATGAAGGTTGTGAGTGACACAGACTAGTTACCATGAAGGTTGTGAGTGACACAGACTAGTTACCATGAAGGTTGTGGAGTGCACACAGACTAGTTAACATGAAGGTTGGGGAGTGACAACAGACTAAGTTACCATGAAGCTGTGAGTGACAACAGACTAGTTAACATGAAGGTTGTGAGTGACAACAGACTAGTTACCATGAAGGTTGTGAGTGACAATAGACTAGTTAAATATGAAGGTTGTGAGTGACAAATAGACTAGTTAACATGAAGGTTGTGGAGTGACAATAGACTAGTTACCATGAAGGTTGTGAGACAACAGACTAGTTAACACATTAGAAGGCTGTGAGTGCACAACAGACTAGTTACCATGAAGGTTGTGAGTGACAACAGACTAGTTAACATGAAGTTGTTGTGATGACAACAGACTAGTTAACATGAAGGCTGTGAGTGACAACAGACTAGTTACCATGAAGGCTGTGAGTGACAACAGACTAGCTACCATGAAGGTTGTGAGTGACAACAATAGTTACCATGAAGGCTGTGAGTGACAACAGACTAGTTACCATGAAGGCTAGAGTGACAACAGACTAGTTAACATGAAGGTTGTGAGCAATGGTCTAAGCTACCATGAAGGTTGTGAGACAACAGACTAGTTACCATGAAGGCCAGAGTGACACACCTGCCACTATGAAGGCTAGGAGTACAACAGACTAGTTACCATGAAGGCTGTGAGTGACACAGACTAGGCTACCATGAAGGTTGTGGGAAAGACAACAGACTTAAGCAACATGAAGGCTGGGTAGTGACAACAGACTAGTTAACATGCTGCTGTGAGTGACAACAGACTAGTTACCATGAAGGTTGTGGAGGACAACAGACTAGTTAACATGGCTGTGAGTACAACAGACTAGTTACCATGAAGGCTGTGGAGTGACAACAGACTAGTTACCATGAAGGCTGTGAGTGACAACAGACTAGTTACCATGAAGGCCAGAGTGACAATAGACTAGCTACCATGAAGGTTGTGAGTGACAACAGACTAGTTAACATGAAGGTTGTGAGACAACAGACTAGTTAACATGAAGGTTAGAGTGACAACAGACTAGGTTACCATGAAGGCTGTGAGTGACAACAGACTAGTTACCATGAAGGTTGTGAGTGACAACAGACTAGCTACCATGAAGGTTGTGAGGACAACAGACTAGTTACCATGAAGGCTGTGGAGTGACAACAGACTAGTTACCATGAAGGTTGTGAGTGACAACAGAAGCTACCATGAAGGTTGTGAGTGACAGACTAGTTACCATGAAGGTTGTGAGTGACAACAGACTAGTTACCATGAAGGTTGTGAGGACAACAGACTAGCTAACATGAAGTTTATGACAACAGACTAGTTACTCATGAAGGCTGTGAGGACAAACAGACTAGTTACCATGAAGGCAGGAGTGACAACAGACTAGTTACCACATGAAGGTTGTGAGTGACAACAGACTAGTTACCATGAAGGTTGTGAGTGACAACAGACTAGTTAACATGAAAGGTTGTGAGTGACAACAGACTAGTTACCATGAAGGTTGTGAGTGACAATAGACTAGTTAACATGAAGGCTAGAGACAACAGACTAGTTAACATGAAGGTTGTGAGTGACAATAGACTGCTAACACATGAAGGTTGTGAGACAATAGACTAGTTAACATGAAGGCTGTGAGTGACACAGACTAGTTAACATGAAGGTTGTGAGTGACAACAGACTAGTTAACATGAAGGTTGTGAGTGACAACAGACTAGTTACCATGAAGGTTGTGGCGACAACAGACTAGTTACCATGAAGGCTGTGAGACAACAGACTAGTTACCATGAAGGCTAGAGTGACAAATAGACTAGTTACCATGAAGGCTGTGAGTGACAACAGACTACCATGAAGGCCAGGAGGACAACAGACTAGCTACCATGAAGGCTAGAGTGACAACAGACTAGTTAACATGAAGGCTAGGAGGACAACAGACTAGTTAAATACCATGAAGGTTGTGAGTGACAACAGACTAGTTACCATGAAGGTTGTGAGTGACAACAGACTAGTTACCATGAAGGCTGTGAGTGACAATAGACTAGTTACCATGAAGGTTGTGAGTGACAACAGACTAGTTAACACAGCTGTTGTGAGTGACAACAGACTAGTTACCATGAAGGCTGTGAGTGACAATAGACTAGTTAACACCATGAAGGTTGTGAGTGACAACAGACTAGTTACCATGAAGGTTGTGAGTGACAGACTAGTTACTACCATGAAGGAGGACAACAGACTAGTTACCATGAAGGTTGTGACAATAGACTAGTTACCATGAAGGTTGTGAGTGACAACAGACTAGTTAACATGAAGGTTGTGAGTGACAACAGACTAGTTACCATGAAGGTTGTGAGCACAATAGACTAGTTACCATGAAGGTTGTGAGTGACAAATGTTAGTTACCATGAAGGTTGTGAGTGACAACAGACTACTACTATGAAGGTTGTGAGAGTGACAACAGACTAGTTACTCATGAAGGTTGTGAGTGACAACAGACTAGTTACCATGAAGGTTGTGAGTGACAAATGACTAGTTAACATGAAGGTTGTGAGTGACAACAGACTAGTTACCATGAAGGTTGTGAGTGACAACAGACTAGTTACCATGAAGGCTAGAGTGACAACAGACTAGTACATGAAGGTTGTGGAAGTGACAACAGACTGCTACCATGAAGGCTAGAGTGACAACAGACTAGTTACCATGAAGGTTGTGAGTGACAATGACTAGTTAACATGAAGGTTGTGAGAGTGACAACAGACTAGTTAACATGAAGGCTAGAGTGACAACAGACTAGTTACCATGAAGGTTGTGAGTGACAAATAGACTAAGCTACCATGAAGGTTGTGGAGTGACAACAGACTAGTTACCATGAAGGTTGTGAGTGACAACAGACTAGTTACCATGAAGGCTGTGAGTGACAACAGACTAGTTACCATGAAGGTTGTGAGACAACAGACTAGTTACTATGAAGGTTGTGAGTGACAACAGACTAGTTACCATGAAGGCTGTGAGTGACAACAGACTAGTTACCATGAAGGTTGTGAGGACAACAGACTAGTTACCATGAAGGTTGTGAGTGACAACAGACTAGTTACCATGAAGGTTGTGAGTGACAATAATAGACTAGTTACCATGAAGGTTGTGAGTGACAACAGACTAGTTACCATGAAGGCTGTGAGTGACAACAGACTAGTTACCATGAAGGTTGTGAGTGACAACACAGTTAACATGAAGGTTGTGAGGACAACAGACTAGTTACCATGAAGGTTGTGAGTGACAACAGACTAGTTACCATGAAGGTTGTGAGTGACAACAGACTAGTTACCATGAAGGTTGTGAGTGACAACAGACTAGTTACCATGAAGCTAGAGTACAACAGACTAGTTACCATGAAGGTTGTGGAGTGACAACAGACTAGTTACCATGAAGGTTGTGAGTGACACAGACAACATGAAGGTTGTGAGTGACAACAGACTAGTTACTATGAAGGCTGTGAGTGACAACAGACTAGTTACCATGAAGGTTGTGAGTGACAACAGACTAGTTACCATGAAGGTTGTGAGTGACAACAGACTAGTTAACATGAAGGTTGTGAGACAACAGACTAGTTACCATGAAGGTTGTGAGTGACAACAGACTAGTTACCATGAAGGTGAGGACAATGACTAGTTACCATGAAGGCTGTGAGTGACAACAGACTAGTTACCATGAAGGTTGTGAGTGACAACAGACTAGTTACCATGAAGGTTGTGGAGGACAACAGACTAGTTACCATGAAGGTTGTGAGTGACAACAGACTAGTTACCATGAAGGTTGTGAGTGACAACAGACTAGTTACCATGAAGGCTGTGAGTGACAACAGACTAGCTACCATGAAGGCTGTGAAAACAGACTAGTTACCATGAAGGTTGTGAGTGACAATAGACTGCTACCATGAAGGTTGTGAGTGACAACAGACTAGTTACCATGAAGGTTGTGAGTGACAACAGACTAGTTACCATGAAGGCTGTGAGTGACAACAGACTAGCTAACATGAAGGTCAGGAGTGACAACAGACTAGTTACCATGAAGGTTGTGAGTGACAACAGACTAGTTAACATGAAGGTTGTGAGACAACAGACTAGTTAACATGAAGGTTGTGAGTGACAACAGACTAGTTACCATGAAGGTTGTGAGGACAACAGACTAAAGCCACTATGAAGGTTGTGAGTGACAACAGACTAGTTACCATGGTTGCTGTGAGTGACAACAGACTAGTTATGAAGGTTGTGAGTGACAACAGACTAGTTACCATGAAGGAGTGACAACAGACTAGTTACCATGAAGGTTGTGGAGGACAACTGCACTAGTTACCATGAAGGTTGTGGAGTGACAACAGACTAGTTACCATGAAGGTTGTGAGTGACAACAGACTAGTTACCATGAAGCTGGTTGTGAGCATGCAGACTAGTTACCATGAAGGCCAGGAGTGACAAACAGACCAAGCTACCATGAAGGTTGTGAGTGACAACAGACTAGTTAACATGAAGGTTGTGAGTGACAACAGACTAGTTACCATGAAGGTTGTGAGTGACAACAGACTAGTTACCATGAAGGTTGTGAGTGACACAGACGTAGTTAACATGAAGGTTGTAGAGGACAACAGACCAAGTTAACATGAAGGTTGTGAGTGACAACAGACTAAGTTACCATGAAGGTTGTGAGTGACAACAGGACTAGTTACCATGAAGGTTGTGAGTGACAACAGACTAGTTAACATGAAGGTTGTGAGTGACAACAGACTAAAGTTACCATGAAGGTTGTGAGACAACAGACTAGTTACCATGAGCTGCTGTGAGTGACAACAGACTAGTTACCATGAAGGTTGTGAGTGACAACAGACTAGTTACCATGAAGGTTGTGAGTGACACAGACTAGTTACCATGAAGGCTGTGAGTGACAACAGACTAGTTACCATGAAGGCAGTAGTGACAACAGACTAGTTACCATGAAGGTTGTGAGTGACAACAGACTAGTTAACATGAAGGTTGTGAGTGACAGACTAGTTACCATGAAGGCTGTGAGTGACAACAGACAGTTACCATGAAGGCTAGAGTGACAACAGACTAGTTACTATGAAGGCTGTGAGTGACAACAGACTAGTTACCATGAAGGCTAGGAGGACAACAGACTAGTTACCAAGGCTAGTGAGTGACAACAGACTAGTTAACATGAAGGCTAGGAGTGACAACAGACTAGTTACCATGAAGGTTGTGAGTGACAACAGACTAGTTAACATGAAGGTTGTGAGTGACAACAGACTAGTTACCATGAAGGTTGTGAGTGACAACAGACTAGTTACCAGAAGGTTGGGGAGTGACAACAGACCAGTTACCATGAAGGCTGTGAAAGCGACAACAGACTAGTTACCATGAAGGTTGTGAGTGACAGACTAGTTACCATGAAGGTTAGAGGACACTGCGACTAGTTACCATGAAGGTTGTGAGTGACAACAGACTAGTTAACATGAAGGTTGGGTGACACCGACGATGACACTTGTAATATATTGTATATCTCAGCTCAACTCTGCCATCCTCCTTAAGTGACTTGTTTATTCTAGAAGATAGATTATCTTAAATCTTTACCTGTGCATTTTTATCTACTTCCTAATTTACTGTTATATGGAAAACTTATTTTATTGTTTACCCTGAAGGTGCCTTGTTGGCTGCGGCCACAGCCCAGACCTTCCTGGCTCAACCAGCTCAACTGGTCCTCTGCCGTGACCAGAATAAAGCTAACTTGAAGCTCAATCAGGGAGCTTTCCAGCTAGCATCATCTTCCAGAGAAGACGACAGCTTCCAGCAGACCTTCACTGGCTCTCAACGGGCTCCCCAGGACAGACTTACAAGTTCTCAGCAAACGTTCACCGCCTCCCAGCAGGGACGATTTGGCATTCAGCAAGGTGCCGGTGCCTCAGCAACGTTCACCTCCGCGTGGTGGCACCCAGCAAGGTGCCAGTTCCAGACGTTCACCCCCAGCAGGGACGCGTTGGCACCCAGCAAGGTGCCAGTGGCTCTCAGCAGACGTTCACTGCCTCTCAGCAGGGATGCGTTGGCACCCAGCAAGGTGCCAGTGGTGTTGGCATCCATCAAGGCTTCAGTGGTGTTGGCACCCAGCAAGGTTCCATTGGTGCTAGCACCCAGCAAGGTTCCATTGGTACTAGCACCCAGCAAGGTTCCATTGGTACTAGCACCCAGCAAGGTTCCATTGGTGCTAGCACCCAGCAAGGTTCCATTGGTTTTGGCACCCAGCAAGGTTCCATTGGTACTACCACCCAGCAAGGTTCCATTGGTTTTGGCACCCAGCAAGGTTCCATTGGTACTACACAGCAAGGTTCCATTGGTACTACCACCCAGCAAGGTTCATTGGTTTTGCACCCAGCAAGGTTCCATTGGTACTAACCCAGCAAGGTTCCATTGGTATAGCACCCAGCAGGTTCCATTGCTAGCACCCAGCAAGGTTCCATTGGTACTACCACCCAGCAAGGTTCCATTGGTTTTGGCACCCAGCAAGGTTCCATTGGTATAGCACCCAAAAGGTTCCATTGGTGCTAGCACCCAGCAAAGGTGCCATTGGTACTACACCAGCAGTTCCATTGGTTTGGCACCCGCAAAGTTCCATTGGTACTAGCACCCAGCAAGGTTCCATCGGTGTTGGCACCCAGCAAGGTCCCATTGGTGTTGGCACCCAGCAAGGTTCCGTCGGTGTTGGCACCCAGCAAGGTCCCATTGGTGTTGGCACCCAGCAAGGCTCCATTGGTGCTGTACACCCAGCAAAGTTCCAGTGGCTCTCAGCAGGGACGATTTGGCACCCAGCAAGGTCCCATTGGTGTTGGCACCCAGCAAGGTTCCATTGTTGCTAGCACCCAGCAAGGTTCCAGTGGCTCTCAGCAGACATTCACCGCCTCCAAGCAAGGACAATTTGCCACCCAGCAAGGTTCCAGTGGTGTTGGCACCCAGCAAGGTTTCAGTGGCTCTCAACAAGGACGTGGCAGTTTCCAGCAGGGTTCCAGTGACTCTGGGCAAACTCTCCTCAGCTCCCAACAGGGACGTATCAGCTTCCAGCAAAGTGCCAGGGATTCTCGACAAGGACTTACCAACAACCAACTAGGTTCCAGTGGCTCTCAGCAGGCACTGACCTCCCCCCAGCAGGGACGTGGTGCTTTCCAGCAGACGTTCACCAACAATCAACAACACTCTCACAGGCTTCAACAAGCATCTGGTGCAGCCCAAACCTTTATCTCAAGGAACCATCAAGGCTCAAACAGATTCCAGACGGGCTCAGCCACGCTTAGACAAAGTAACGGTAATAATCAACAAGCTACAAGTGCAGTTTCTGAGAGCAGTAGTGCAGCCCAGCGAGCAAGTACTTCTCGGCGAGTTGGCAGCACACCCCGACAACAATTCAGCAGCAACCAACAGGCAACTAACCTCCAGCAGGCAAACAACTTCCAGAAAGGTTCAGCAATCTTCCAGTCACAGAGAGGACAAGCATCGCCAAGTCAGCTCCAGCAGGACACCAGGAGACCTGCAGCTCAAGCAAGTGTCTTCCAGAGTCTAACTGGCTTTCAACACAACAACAATGCACTCCTACGGTTTGGAACTTCAGCCTCCAGTGACAATTTGGAACAACTGAATGATATCCTGGAACCCTTGAACCTGCCCTCCGGAGCCAGGTTTCTGCTAGGAGACATCACCACCACTTTCAGTTGTATTAACCAGCCCTACGGGTACTACGCTGACGAAGAGAACTCCTGCAAGGTCTTCCATGTGTTACCCGGCGCTGTTCACCACCGGACGCGTCGAGACATACCAGTATAGGTGAGTACCTATTGACACTTACCATTGTTGGTCATCACTTGTTGGTTAATATCCTTTTGTTTACAATATCCAGCGTTGGTTTAACATGTATACTGTACTTTCACAGCTTCATGTGTAGTGATGGGTCCAAGTTCGACCAGAGAGAAATGACATGTGTCAAAGAGGTGAACGCCATCCCCTGCAACACCTCCTCCCAGTTCTACTCCAAGAACGCCGAGTTTGGCCTCCTTGAAGAGCGAAACTCCTTCCAAATCTAACTCGACACCGGACGTGAAACTACTACCTCTGAGACTGGACGATAGTCATTCATCTCACCTGTTCCTGCTGCGTCACCCTTGATATAACCCATCTTGGTAGACCCTTAACACTTAGGAAAGCTTGAAGGCTTGGAGCTATACCACGAACCTTGTCTTGGGACTTTAAGAGGCGAGACAACATAGAATCTGTGACAAATGTTGTGAAAACCAAAAATATACTCAAGTTATTTATTTCTGAGTTTTATTCCTTCAGTTCACCAATGCACAATATTTATAAACCTGGTGCAAGACATATACTAATACTATTAAGAGGACAATTTACAGAGTCAAAGCTGGCAGGACACTGTTTAAGGAACTTGTGTTTGTGTGGGTACAGAAGGTATTGGAAAGTCGGTACTGTATCATCTACATACAGCAACTTATTCACCGTATTGAGCCCCTCTGTCTTACCTGTTGATAACACTTTCACCTCTCGCCTTCGCTCTTACTTTATCCTCTCTCCATCACTCTTAATTTTTCCTCTCCCCACTCCTCTCACCTCTCTCCATTACTCTTACTTTTCCTCTCTCCATCACTCTTACACCTCCTCACCACTCTTACTTACACCTCTCTCTATCACTCTTACTTTCTCTTCTCTCTATCCTCCCCTCTTCTCCTCCATCACTCTTACTTTTCCTCCTCTCATCCTCTTATTTTTCTCCTCTCTCCATCACTCTTACTTTCTCCTCTCTCTTCCTCTTCTCCTCTCTCCATCCTCTTACTTTCTCTTCTCTCCATCACTCTTCTTTCTCTTCTCTCCATCCTCTTACTTTCTCTTCTCTCCATCACTCTTACTTTCTCCTCTCTCCATTACTCTTTCTCCTCTCTCCATCACTCTTACTTTCTCCTCTCCTTCACTCTTACTTTCTCCTCTCTCCATCACTCTTACTTTCTCCTCTCTCCTTCACTCTTACTTTCTCCTCACTCTTACTTTCTCCTCTCTCCATCACTCTTACTTTCTCTTCTCTCCATCACTCTTACTTTCTCTTCTCTCCATCACTCTTACTTTCTCCTCTCTCCATCACTCTTACTTTCTCTTCTCTCCATCACTCTTACTTTCTCCTCTCTCCATCACTCTTACTTTCTCCTCTCTCCATCACTCTTACTTTCTCCTCTCTCCATCACTCTTACTTTCTCCTCTCTCCTTCACTCTTACTTTCTCTTCTCTCCTGACCTCTTACTTTCTCCTCTCTCCTTCACTCTTACTTTCTCCTCTCTCCTGACCTCTTACTTTCTCCTCTCTCCTTCACTCTTACTTTCTCCTCTCTCCATCACTCCTACTTTCTCCTCTCTCCTTCACTCTTACTTTCTCCTCTCTCCATCACTCTTACTTTCTCCTCTCTCCTGACCTCTTACTTTCTCTTGTCTCCATCACTCTTACTTTCAGCTCTCTCCACCACTCTTACTTACACCTCTCCATCACTCTTACTTTCTCTTCTCTCCATCACTCTTACTTTCTCCTCTCTCCATCACTCTTACTTTCTCCTCTCTCCATCACTCTTACTCTCACCTTTCGCCATCACTCTTACTTTCCCTTCTCTCCGTCACTCTTACTTACAGCTCTCTCCACCACTCCTCTCACCTCTCTCCATCACTCTTACTCTCACCTTTCGCCATCACTTACTTTCTCCTTTCTCCATCACTCTTACTCTCACCTCTCTCTCCACCACTCCTCTCACCTCTCTCTCCACCACTCCTCTCACCTACCTCAGTACCCCATCCATGTGAACATATCCAACAACACAATCCATCCATAAACACAGCCGGTCTCTCCCTCAATAGGAGCCATCATCCCTTCACCCCGATGCATTCTAGCGCGCGTTTCAATCTTCTACAATAAAAATCTGTAGAATATTCAACAATTTTCCCTATTTTCCCCTCCATGCATGTTCAATACTTCCCTATCCTCTCTGTGTTGTGGATTCATATATTTCTCAGATCTTAAGTGGTATTAAATAAGGTCTTTTCCGGGTCCACGTAATTTTTCTGGCGTAGAGTTGTTTGTTTACATAGTCTCTGATCCAGTAGTAGAAGTTATAACTTTTTACTATTATTATTATAACGTTATTCATCATTATCATTATCATTATCATCATTTTCTCTCTTATCTCGTCGGGAATTACAAAAGCCACTGGGAGGAATTTGCTGTGATGAGAAGCAAGTGTAATTAACGACGGTGAAAAGGTTATAATACTTGGCCAGCTACAGTGGGTGCAAAATATAGAGAGACAGAGAGGGCTAGAGAGAGAGAGAGAGAGAGAGAGGGGAGGTGAAAGAGAGAGAGAGAGAAGGGGTGAGAAAGAAAAAGAGAAAGAGAGTACGTGGTGATAACATTTAACAGAGGGTTCATTTATCTTGCCTATCTCCTCACACATACAGTACACACCTGCTACCACACACATGCACACCTGTTACCACATACTTACTTGTCACCACACATATACACACACCTGTTACCACATTCACACCTGTCACAACTCCTACACACACCCCACCACACCTACACACCTGTTACCACACATATACACCCGTTACCACACATACACACTTGCTACCACACATACACACCTCCCACAACATATACGCACCAATCACAACACCTGCACACCTCTCACATCACCTACACACCTGTCACTACACCTACACACCTGTCATAGCAATTACAGGTATACCCTCACCAGCCAACACCTAGTACACATCATTCGTATCACACAGTTGGTAATTTCACGACCACACCATCATGGCAATTAGTAGTAATAGGGCGCCATCACTCACCTGTAATAGTGCCATCCAGAGCCCTGTGTGGATGAGTGGGGTGATGAGTGGATGATGAGTGGGTGAGGTGATGTGTGGATGATGATTGGGTGAGGTGGTGAGTGGATGATGATTGGGTGAGGTGATGTGTGGATGATGAGTGGGTGAGGTGGTGAGTGGATGATGATTGGGTGAGGTGATGTGTGGATGATGAGTGGGTGAGGTGGTGAGTGGATGATGATTGAGTGATGTGTGAATGAGTGGGGTGATGAGTGGGTGATGTGTGGATGATGAGTGGGTGATAATGAATGACGAGAGGGTAGCGATAAGAGGGTGATAAAGGCATGCCATATAATCATTACCATCAACACACACACACACACACACACACACACACACACACGTAAACTCCATAAAAGAGGATAATATTGGACTAAGGTCATCCCCGGCATCTGAAGAGGATCGAACACTACATATCAAAGAGGTTTTTTGTTCTCAATATAGTCTCATCACCTATAAACTGAACAGGTAAAGAGATATAAAATTCATCTTTTATTATCAGTTTACGCAGATAATTTACGCAGGTAGTTGTCATTTGTTTTATGGTATGTGGTGGTTTTTATATGTTGTTGTTGTTCAATTTCAATTTTTTCAATTTCATTTGTTTATTCCTTGATAGAGGAAGCGGGATCCTAGTGCTGTCACTAGGTACCCCTGTACAATGACACCAGAAGCATCTGGCAAGTGTGACAAGTATATACAGTATAAATATTATAAAGGGGCTTACTAAAGCCTAAGGAAGGAAAGATATTCCTTTAACACATAATCAATATTTTTTTAAAAATATTTGGCCAGTATGGGGAGGATCATCGTGTCTCCGTCAGGGGGTCGTGGAGTGGTGGTCCAGCAGCGTCACGGAAGCGTTGTGTGTGGGGACATCTTAGGAGGTAGTGAATAAGGGTGCGGCTGTCGGGTCTTCTGCATAATGCACAAGCGCGTTGCTCAGGGGATGCGGGGATACCAATCTCCCAAGCAAAGTCATACCCAAGTTGTTGTTGTTTATTTGTGTATATCTTAGCCAATTGATACACTGACTATTTAGAGTTGAGTCTCATTTCCCGTGTGTCTGGTTTGTTGATATACGTGTAATGCTGTGACTACTGATGTTGTTATGTCATATTTCTTGGTATAACAAAACACTAAACGTAAAATTGAAGTCTAGGTTTATTTATTAAGATCGACACACCCTCTGCAGGTCCATTATGATCCAAAAATTGATTTGGAAGATAACATACATTTTTTTTTATCTAATTGAGAGATTTATGAATGTCTGAAGAGGTGATACATAGACACCATCCGTTCAGAGGAACTATACTAAAATATTATATCAGTTTTGTTTACGTGCTTCAGGAGGCCGTTAGCTGTTGAGGTTCACACACACACAACAGTAAGGAGGCCACACGGGGGGGGAGGGAGAGGTAGTGGGTCTCCTGAACAACTTCTCTCCGTCTTCAGAGTCAGTTTTATGCGGGTGTAGAAGTTACTTCTTGAAAGCATCTCGATCCTGAGGAAAACCAAACTGGGCGTTCTTGGCGTAGAACTGGGAGGAAGTGTTACAAGGGATGGCGTCAGCGTCGTGGACACAAGTCGTCTCTCTCTGGTCAAACTTAGATCCCTCGCCACACATGAAGCTGTGGAAATTTTTGTATTAGACCAACGCTGGGTATTTTAGAGAACCTTTTTTTCACTGACGCACTCAGAATTCAGTTAACTATCCCTGAAAATGTTCGTAACTTTCATATAATGGTGACTCAAAGTTGTTAAAGCACGGCAGAAGTGATCAGAATAATAATCGATATGAGTTAGTGTATGACAGGTGGTTTTGAATTACCATGGAAACGATTTCCATTTCTGTATTGATTGCCAACCTGTAATGATGTATGTCAACAGCTACCAACTCCGCTACCAACGGCAGGTGTCAGTAGGTACTCACCTATATTGGTTGGTCTTGATGATGCCGTTGATCAACATCACCGGGTAACACACATGGAAGACTCTGCAGAAGTTCTCTTCGTCAGCGAAGTACCCGTAAGGCTGATTAGTACAGCTGAAGGTGGTGCTGATGTCTCCCAACAGAAGCCTGGCACCGGAGGGCAGGTTTAGGGGCTCCAACACGCCATTCACTTCCTCCTTCAGAGTTTCACTGAATCTTACAGCTCCTGAACCTGAGATTTGATTGTTAATGAGCTGTGAGTTGGCACTGGTCTGTAAATTGCTTCCTTGAAGAAACAGTCTCCCGGTGCCCTGTTGAAGCTGACTCAGCGACGTTTGTCTTCTCTGTGACTGGAAGTCTGTCGACCCCAGCTGGAAGTTGCTCGTCCTCTGGTTGTTGTTTAGTTGCAGTGCACTGGCCCCCTGCTGTAATGTATTCCCTCCCTGGGAATCGCTGGATCTCTGCAAGACTTGGCTAGACCCTCCAGTAAGGCCTTGTGCAGATCCTGAGAAACTCAGTTGGAACAGGTTATTTTCTCCTTCATTATTATCAAAAACTTCTCGGGTTACACCAGAGTCTTGCTGGAACCTTCCTGAAGTTTGGTGATTTGCCCTGATGCCTTGATTTGCCGCAAGGGAACTTTCTTGGAATCGGTCAGACCTCTGCTGATTACTGTTGAAAGTAACTTGGCTTGTTCCAGACACTTGCTGGGGTCGTCTAAGTTCTTGTTGAAAGTTGGCCGAAATTTGCTGAGAACCACGGGAGTTTTGCTGGAAGCTGTTGAGCTCTTGTTGGGTAGCAGCAAGTCTTTGTTGAGAATCTCGGGAACTTTGCTGGAAGCCGTCAGTTCCCTGTTGGGCAGTGGCAAGTCTTTGTTGAGAATCTCTAGAACTTTGCTGGAAGCTGTCAGTTCCCTGTTGGGCAGCAGCAAGTCTTTGTTGAGAATCTCGGGAACTTTGCTGGAAGCTGTCAGTTCCCTGTTGGGCAGCAGCAAGTCTTTGTTGAGAATCTCGGGAACTTTGCTGGAAGCTGCCAGTTCCCTGTTGGGTAGTGGCATGTCTTTGTTGAGAATCTCGGGAACTTTGATGGAAGCTGCCAGTTCCCTGTTGGGCAGCAGCAAGTCTTTGTTGAGAATCTCGGGAACTTTGCTGGAAGCTGCCAGTTCCCTGTTGGGCAGTGGCAAGTCTTTGTTGAGAATCTCGGGAACTTTGCTGGAAGCCGCCAGTTCCCTGTTGGGTAGTGGCATGTCTTTGTTGAGAGTCTCGGGAACTTTGCTGGAAGCTGTCAGTTCCCTGTTGGGCAGCAGCAAGTCTTTGTTGAGAATCTCGGGAACTTTGCTGGAAGCTGCCAGTTCCCTGTTGGGTAGTGGCATGTCTTTGTTGAGAATCTCTGGAACTTTGCTGGAAGCTGTCAGTTCCCTGTTGGGTAGTGGCATGTCTTTGTTGAGAGTCTCGGGAACTTTGCTGAAAGCTGTCAGTTCCCTGTTGGGCAGCAGCAAGTCTTTGTTGAGAATCTCGGGAACTTTGCTGGAAGCTGCCAGTTCCCTGTTGGGTAGTGGCATGTCTTTGTTGAGAATCTCTGGAACTTTGCTGGAAGCTGTCAGTTCCCTGTTGGGTAGTGGCATGTCTTTGTGGAGAATCTCTGGAACTTTGCTGGAAGCTGTCAGTTCCCTGTTGGGCAGCAGCAAGTCTTTGTTGAGAATCTCGGGAACTTTGCTGGAAGCTGTCAGTTCCCTGTTGGGCAGCAGCATGTCTTTGTTGAGAGTCTCGGGAACTTTGCTGGAAGCTGCCAGTTCCCTGTTGGGCAGCAGCATGTCTTTGTTGAGAGTCTCGAGAACTTTGCTGGAAGCCGCCAGTTCCCTGTTGGGTAGTGGCATGTCTTTGTTGAGAATCTCGGGAACTTTGCTGGAAGCTGTCAGTTCCATGTTGGGCATCAGCAAGTCTTTGTTGAGAATCTCGGGAACTTTGCTGGAAGCTGCCAGTTCCATGTTGGGTAGTGGCAAGCCTTTGTTGAGAGTCCCTGGATCTTTGCTGGAAGCTGTCAGTTCCCTGTTGGGCATCAGCAAGTCCTTGTTGAGAAGCTCTGGAACTTTGCTGGAAGTTGTCAGCTCCCTGTTGGGTAGTGGCATGTCTTTGTTGAGAATCTCTGGAACTTTTCTGGAAGCTGTCAGTTCCCTGTTGGGCAGCAGCAAGTCTTTGTTGAGAATCTCTGGAACTTTGCTGGGATCCTAACCCAACTCTTTGCTGGTGGTTGTTTGTTCCGAGCTGGGAGTCCCTGGTACCTTGCTGGAAGCTGTCCTGGTTCGGCTGCAAGGCGACTTTGTTCTGGTTGAGACGGATGACCAGATTTGCGGGCTGGCCCAGGAAGGTCTGGGCTGTAGCCGCTGCCAGAAGGACAGCTGTAGGAGAGTACGCTCTGCAGGTGAACACTACGAGAGAACACTGTATACCGTAACATTACCGCCGAATGAATTATACTCATGAGCAATATGATTTCTCATTGAAACTTAAGGAAAACAAATTGCACTTGTAAAGATGAAGATATACTGAAGAACACTATAACACTAATTATAAGCATGAAGGAATAACATAATTCAAAACCATGACAATATATTCAGAGAAACAAACCAAGACTAAACCGTAAACCTAAAACTTAACAAATCTCTCCTTAAACGACTTCTTACATAAGAAGAGGATCTTCATCGTGTTTCACTTCCACTGTTGAGTGAAGTTGTGCCTCTGCTTGAGCTTCCCTACACCTTTATACCCACCACCCACACAGTTGCCAGTTACGTGTGTTATACTGTAACTGTATGTTGGACTTGGTCATGGTCGACTGCTCGTAAAGGAATACAATACGGATGGCTGAATGAATGTTGATCCAGTAAAGCCAATATACTTTCCTTCTTCTTTATTTAATATGAAGAGATCTGAAGTATTTTAGTATAACTCGGTAGTAGTGATAGTAGTAGTAGAAGAAGAAATAGTAATGGTTTTAGTAGACAATCTTTAATAATATAAATTGATATACGATTATTATCATTAGTATTAATAGTGTTATTGTCATTAATATTACCATTGTTAATATTATTATTATCCCAATAAAGTATAGTGAGGTAGGTAAGACACAAACACTGAGCCTCTCTCCCCCCACCTACTGACAATATTTACGACACAAGATTTAGGAAATGGTAGCTGGACATGTTCCCTGGACACGCACCATATATCTCTATATCTCACGCCTTCACTCTATACTGTCCACTGGATTACACCCCCTCAACGTTTGCTCTTTAGTACACACAACGTTTACTCTCACATAAGGAACTTTTTTTTCTTAAGTAGACTGAATTAACTGGACCCTGTTGTTTAAGGTTCCTCCCAGCTTATATCCTCACCTCGTCTCCCTCACTTCACCACTTCAGGTTAGGTTAGATTAGGTTAGGATTCTGGAGATTAATCTTTAAGGTGAAGTAAACAAAGGGATGAATTATTAGGGATCCAAATAGTGCCCTCAACTAGCCAGAGTTCCTCAGCTAGTCAGAGTTCCTCAGCTAGCTAGAGTTCCTCAACTAGCCAGAGTTCCTCAACTAGCCAGAGTTCCTCAGCTAGCTAGAGTTCCTCAACTAGCCAGAGTTCCTCAACTAGCCAGAGTTCCTCAGCTAGCTAGAGTTCCTCAACTAGTCAGAGTTCCTCATCTAGCCAGAGTTCCTCAACTAGCCAGAGTTCCTCAACTAGCCAGAGTTCCTCAACTAGCCAGAGTTCCTCAACTAGCCAGAGTTCCTCAACTAGCCAGAGTTCCTCAACTAGCCAGAGTTCCTCAACTAGCCAGAGTTCCTCAACTAGCCAGAGTTCCTCAACTAGCCAGAGTTCCTCAACTAGCCAGAGTTCCTCATCTAGCCAGAGTTCCTCAACTAGCCAGAGTTCCTCATCTAGCCAGAGTTCCTCAACTAGCCAGAGTTCCTCAACTAGTCAGAGTTCCTCAAGGTTGTGACTACGTGAATACACTGGCGTGGTTCTCGGCTGTGGGTCCACTATTTTGTTTTGTTCTGTTTCTTGTTTTGTTTTGTTTTGTTTTAATATTTGCCCCGAAACAAGCGAACGGGTCCAGTATTTTGGGAAAGGAGAGAGGGGGCAGCGTGTACCTTTGGCTGACCCGCGGTGCAGAAATCCTTCACTGCTTTCATTTAGCGATACTGGAGGGCCAAACTTGACCTCCTAGGGTTTATTCATTACAGGATTTATTCTTTAAAAACACAACAATATTAATGTCGATTTTATTTTATTTTATCAAGAGGGAGATGAATTTTTATCACTATTTTAGACTTTCTTATGATAAATAGATCTTAAAAATATAAATTAAAAAGTCTGGGTAATGATATTAAGATTTTTATACTGATAGATCTCCAAAAATACCTCTCCTAGGGATTTTGTTTTAATTACTTTATTTTTGGTTGTTTTTGTGTTTAATATAATTATTTTTTGTTTTAGAAAGGAAGAAACAAAAATAGTGAGGGTCAGTCCTTAGCGCTCACTGTACACGAGTAGCATTATCTAAAAAGTGTGAAATGCGAACTATAAACCTTTTTTTTTCGCTTGTAAAAAAAAAAAAAATCTAGACAAAGGAATGCAATCTTTTTTCTAGTCCACCTCTCATTGTTTTTTCTGTTCTTTTTTCTGTCTCTTTGTCTGTCAGTATAGGGGAACCAATACCCTTTGTGGGATATGACAGAGAACAAAAATTTAAAAAAAATTACAAAAAATCCTTAAAAATCCTGTGTGTGTGTGTGTGTGTCGTGTACAGATAAGGCCTCAATATACAAAAATAATTATGGATGATTGGCATTTCCATTTCCACAATAATGAGCAGCCAAAATTGAGTTACACTGGTAATTATTAATTATTTTTTTCTGTCTATTTTAATTACAATAAATAAAAAATAATAACGTTTCCAGCAGGTTCAGTCATCCGTATGATTAAAATACAAAGTGAGTTTACCCTCCACTATTTACCTTGTAACAACAGCCAATCATAAGCTCCACATAATTAGAATCTGGTTTGTGATTGGTTGATTTACGAACAATTGGTGAACTGGTCGACTAAAACAACACGTCTTTCTTTACATCACCCACGAGAGTTCTGAATTATTCTCTTCGTTCTAGTGTAAGATTTATTAGATTTTTGGAATAATTTTATCTAAAAAAAATTAACAAGATAACACTCACTCGTGGCTATGTAGTGTGTCGTGACCTTACAACACTTACAATGACAGTAATGATGTGTCGTAAGGTTACCACAACATTATTATTTATCACTGATCGTGTGTGTGTGTGGTGACGTCATAATTCCTACAGTGGCTGGTTGGACTGGACCCGCTCATCATCAACCAGTCAACCAGTCAGACCAGAAGGTGAAGGTCGACATGAACGGGTGGTTAAGTGGGTGGGGTACATTAGGTGGAGTCACGCGGTCTTGTCTTCTTCACTTTATCATATATCACCTTGGTTCTCACTTTCTTAATCTTGTTTGTATCTACACCATTTTTTTCATGCCCATCTCTTCTGTTGTTTATTTTCTGTAAACCGTCACTATATTGTTTACGTTACGAATCGGCTATACTGTTTACTATTGTTTGTTTACCTGTACTGTATATGGACATTGTATATCTGTTCTGAGGATGGTTATTGTACTCCCAGTGACGGTGGTGAGTAAACATGATCATTTAGTTTAGTCTGCCTCGTAGTGATGTCAAACACACACACACACACACACACACACACACACACACACACACACACACACACACACACACACACACACACACACACACACACACACACACACACACACACAGTTCTATCTCTCATAATTTGTAACTGTTATTGGACTAGTGTATTCCTAACCTTGTTCCACGCTTAAAAACCTCAATTCTTAAAGCACAGTAATAACATCATAACAACAACAACTACTGCCACCATTTGCTTAGTCTTGATAATTTAGAAGCACTTCCGGTACGCTGCCCTCACCTTGGTGGATGTTGCGTTAAATTTATCCTATCATCCCCCTGAGTTGTTCTGAGTTCTACTGTGTTTGCTGCTCCCTCGGGTGTATATAATTTAAAAAAAAAAAGTGAAACTCTCTGGCAAGTCCCTGAGGTAGTGGTGGATTCCCTTCACACGCGTCTCTCCCTGCAGACTGTACAACATTGATACTCACCAGTACTAATGTCTCTAGTGTATTACTCTCAGGGAAATTAAGGGGCAGCATAGTTACAAAATAATGCTCGAATACTTATAGTTTATACTTTAATATTAATAAAACTTCCTAGTGTAGCTCTCCTCGTCTGCCCTGACAGTAAGGCAAAAAATAACTCACTACACCTGCATCCCTCACACACACACACACATACACACACACACACACACACACACACACATACATACACACACACACACGCACAGACCAAAAGTTTTGCTACATTTCTACAACGATAGGTTTCAGATTTTTTTCCGTACAACTTCTACAGTAGCGATGACTCCCCTCATAAACATTGTCTCGTTACTCACTACCCTGTGGGAGAGCTTATGACACAACGGGTCCTCCACCACCACCACTACTTCTACCACCACCACCACCACCACCCACTACCACCACCACTACCACTACCGCCACCACCTCCACTACCACCACCACTACCACTACCACTACCACTACCACCACCACTACCACCACCACTACCACTACCACCACCACTACTACCTGAACGTTGGGAATTCACACTAAATTAATTCCACAGCCTCTCCTGCGACTCACGACTGAGGAGGTGAAACTGTGAGCGAGTTGGACTGCAGGCAAGTGTTCATTGGCCAACTCGAGTGGCACATGAATTCAGTGGCCAACTTGACTGAAACAGACATTCATTTACCAACTTGATCTGAATAGCTGCGTGTTCCAACCGTTTCCATGACTCTGAAATGACTGAAGTTATGTTATTATTACCATTAACTCTGAGAACTTCTCCTGACTGCTTCCATTAGCCATATCTTGATTGGCTTGTTTATTTATTCCTCTTTATTCTTTACTACACACTGCAAGCGACATGTCCCGACTCTTCCCTTCTTCCTTAGTGACTGACGTTATCTCACTTGCCGCTTTCAGAGTCAAAATACAAGTCTATTTGTTTTTATTTTTCGTTTTTCACTGTAACTCAAATTCTGTTATGTTACTATGACGACACATACTACACGAGCCTCCCTAACACAGTCAAAATACAGACTGTTGACTTAACTTTGTCTATACGGACGTGCTTGGTGAAGGTGTAGAGAGGGAACCTGCCCCACGGTCTCGGGGTCTCCCAATATCTCTCTCCCTCACTCCAACTTTTCCCTCTACACAAAGTCTTTATCAGTGGCTATAGAGGAACCTTCTCTTGCACCCTCGACTGTGTCCACTTCCCTTTGAACTCTTTGAAAGGCCATAAATGATGTAACCACCTATAAACCAGCCTTCTCTCTCTCTCTCTCTCTCTCTCTCTCTCTCTCTCTCTCTCGCATAAAAAAATTTTTTGTCCCGTTAAAAGTACTAAAAAAAATATTTTTATCCCTCGTAAAAATATAAGCAAATTAAAGAGATTTTGTTTTGCTCAAATTTTTCTTATAATATTTCCACCCAAATATGTATTAGGGTAGTTCTTCCCGCGCAAAAAAATTAATAAATTCCCGCGCATGAAAATTTTATAAGTGGATAAACAAAAGAACATTATAAGCTGTTTATAGTTTCTGGTATTTTTGTGGGAATACTTGTTCATGGGAGAGGCTCTGTGTTCATGAATGACCCTTGACCTGTGATGACCTCTGTGTGTGTGCTGACAGACAAACTGACAAATGAAGAGACAATAACTATCAGGTATCCACTGTGTCTCTCTCCACCTCGCCCCAGATTCGATCTCATATTAGATGTGTCATACTACCCGAACATGGCTGGTTTGGTTAGGTTAGGTTAGCTTAGTGACAGGATTATCTATTTTAATGTACAAAGTGGTGCATAAAGTTGCTTTACTGAGAACAATTGTATTATATTTTCTTAGTTAATCACACACGATACATTGAACGTCATGGTTAGCTAATACAATTTTACGATTTTTTTTTATTCCAGCATTGAGCGATAAATGATGAAACGTAGATTGGAAAATGACGTAGATAGATGAGAAATTTCTTGAGTCATATTTTTTTTTGGTGTGTGTGGGTTGGCTCCTTGGCGTCACGTAGCGCCCGCCTCGGTTGGCGTTCCAATACTGCATCACCATGAGACGAATATCCAATCTTTTTCGGAGTCTTGCAAGAGTTGACGGTGACGGAGGGAGGCAATAAATATTCTCTAAAATTTGGGGGAGTTTGTTCAGCTTTGTAATACTGCTTGGTTCAAAATACGACTAAAAAAAATTACGAAATATGACTGTAATATGATCATGAGTAGAGACGACGTTTATTGGTTGTTAAAAAGGATGGTGTTTATGTTAAAATATTTGGGTCACCTGAAAATTAACCCCATTAGCTAGTATCACCTGAACACTTAACTACCTTAATGCTATATGAGGGTTGATAATCTTCAGGTGTAATAAGCTGGGCGTAATCTTCATGTCCTCCGATTTACCAATAAACACGCTGGTTTTGTATTTCTTTGGTAAATAAATCCCATTTCTCTCCTTCAAGTGAGCGTTATAATTACTGGTTACTACAAGTCTTGGTTTAGGACACACACACACACAATGTAAGGCAACGTGGCCAAAGAAAACCGACCAAGCTGTCAGGTGCTTATTAACATTTATCCACAAATCATTATGGTTTTTTTTATTCATTATCACTAATTAGCTCACCAGTTTAAGAAATAGACTTTAATGGAAATAAGCAAATGGTGACTTAGTTGTGCTATCCATGTTCAATAAATGTGATCTTGTATGACGATTTTACTGAAAAAAAAAAAACATTGTCGGAATCTTTAGTTGGAACTGACGCCAACGGTCCAACAACCACTACAGAATTGCTCACTCTATTAACACGTAACTTTAGGTTTGCCATCGACCATGTTACTTTTGATATTTGTAAAACTTATATTAAAGCTCATTTTTCTTTATCAAATATTCCCAGTTCTTATTCATAGTCTTTTAGTGTTTTATATATGTGTCAATCTTATAAATGCTCTATCCCAAACATTTTCTGTGGCAACGAAGATCCACATCATTCAATGGTTAATAATAATTATACCTCGTAATAAAGGCGGTCACAAGCTACACCAAATTTATTGACTTTATCTTAAACACAAATTTTAATCTTACAAACAACTCTAAGTAAACAAAGTCACTTAATTATCACAAAGTAGGAGACTAAATTGATTAATATTCAGTAACTTGAAGCACAATGTTTATATAATAACAACTCAAAGTAATACTGATGCAATTTGGGGGAATAATCTTTATATTCGTGCAAATTTTTAAGCAGTTGGGTGCGTTCTTAAATCTTCATTAATGGATAATATTCATCTTGGGAACTTTTGAGAATTCGGACCTGAACATACAATTCGAAACTGGTCAGTGAAGTGTTAATTATATTGATGTTGCTAAACTGAAGAAAAACATTAATACAACAATAAACATCTCTAACAGACAGTCACAGACATCCACACAAACAGCCACAGATATCCATACAGACAAACAGAAGCACAGAGAGAAATTAAAAAAAAAAAAAATGTCTGAGATCCAAGAAGCTCAGCTCAACAAGTGTACCTGAACGCCCCACGACCAGATTGCTTCAATTTTATGGGGACGTGTAGCCTCAGGGAACCCACATATTCACACAATACAGTACTGCGTCTTCCCTCTCACGGAGGTTCTGGGAGATGGAGAAAGAGCGAGGAGTGAGGAGAAAGGGAGATTAAGAGAGGAGAAGAGTTGGAGGACGGAAGGGGGGGAGGGAGAAAAGGGAAAGAAGGAAGGGAAGAATAAGAGGAGTGGTGAGGGACCAAGAGAGGGAAAGGGAGAGTGACAGTGGGAGATGTGTAAACTGAAGGTGAGAGGGGAGGAGTGGGAGATAGGTAAATGAAGGTGAGAGGGGAGGAGTGAGAGATGTGAAAATGAAAATGGGAAATGAAGATGAAAGAAAGAAAAGGATAACAGGAGTTAGATAAGGAATCAGAGTAATCAAGGAGAAGAAGAATTAAAGGGTCAGGTGAAGAGGAGTAGAACAGGAGAGGAAAGGAAGAATAACAATAGATAAGGAAGAGGAAAAACAGAGACAAAAAATAGACCTCTGTAGCAATAACAAAGCAGTAAAGAAGAATGATGAAGAGGATGAGAAGGAAAGAAGACTGATTGATAAAGAAAAGGGAGAATGTTGATAATAGGAAGAGAATGAAGACGAAAAGCGAAAATGATTCAAGGAAGAAGAGTGAATGATGACAGAAAGAAGGAAGAATGATGAAAGAGATCATGCCACCCCCTCCACAGCCTTTACTATACAGTAGTGGTCCCTCGGTTAACGCGCTCGGTTAACGAGATTTCGGTTAACGATTTACCTTCCATAAGATTCTTAACTTCGGTTAACGAGCAATCCCTCGATTAACGAGTTTTTTACGAGCCGACTTCAACATGTTTTCGCTTGCATTTGGCGGTCCACCAGCTGTAGTATTAGTCCGCCAATACAGTAATCGGTTTTAGGACTTAAATTCCTTACCATTTTAGTAAATATCAAGAAGTTTATACTATTCAATAATTTTAAAAGTTTAATATTAACTTTTTTAGTCATTTTAACAATTATTGAACATAATTGAAGGTAAAGAAACTAGTTTCTGGCATGCCATCCAGCCTGTTAACACACCAGACAGGCGTTAGCCTCTCTCTGTTTTCAGTGGAGGTAACATCTTGCTTGAGACTCTCTTCAACTAAATGCTTTTTTCTGTGTTTCCAAGCAAATTATTGGTCATTTTGAAATTTATTTTACATATTGACAATATATAATGCAGTGCAGTGTTGATTTAAAGAAAATAATCTTGAATTACACCAAGAGAACTAAAATTTTATGGGTGAAATGGTGCCATGGGGTGACTTCTCTTCCACCCCAATGCCTTCTCTTCTCCCTTCTCCTCCACCCCATTCTAATTCCCATCATCATCATCATCATCCAGGAGCCTTCTACATACACACCTCAAAGTAAGTGTACTTTTCTACCTTTTTTGTTGAATTTAGGCAATTTTCGGTGAGCTGGAACCAATTACCCAAAAACCCATTGAAACAATGGTTTCGGTTAACGAGCAACCTGCTGGAACGAATTGTGCTCGTTAACCGAGGGACCACTGTACCTGAATTCAACATATTTGTCTATCTAATTTTCTTCATCAATTGACAATATAGTTTTGTTTAATACAAAGTCATCCACATTCATACCTACAATATATCCATATTTCAATGTTATGTTGTTAATTATAACCATGAATTCTATTAAGTAAATTAGTTTAAGCATTTTCCAATATCTCTTGAATATTTTTTTAACTACCTTTTACCATTATATTTGATCAGTTTTCATGATTTTTCTTAAAAAAAACTCACTATTTTCAGTAATGTATTTATTTAGTAATTCAGTAACATATATCACATAAATTTTACATGATCATATTTAAAGATTCAAATAAAAATCTTACTCATTCACAAATTATTAAATACAGTACTTCCCAAAACTCATTAATTTTTATATACTGTAAATCAAATTAACTAATTGCTGGCTAAACAAAAACATTTTCTGAGATGCTGAAAACAAAGTGTATGTACAGTCACTCACAAAACCATCTATACAAAATTGTGTTGAAAAATATGACACAACTGTCGAAGAATTTGACAACCCTACCAAGACAACAGGAGTCGCAGTGTTTTTTGAGTGACTGTACAGTACATTTATACAAACCTATCAACACTTGACTACAAAATAATATAAAAAATTCTATTGTTGCTACTCCTGAACAATCAACATGTATGACCATTACAGAAGTACAGAAATATATTCTTCCTTTAATTTGAAAAAATAAACATATAACAAATCTTTACATTATAATGGAACTAATTCTACACCACTAAAATTTAATTTTCTGGCTTTCTTGCAGGGCATTTCCCACATGGTGCTGGTTGGCTTAAATAAAATTTAATGGGAAAATCAATTACAGTACTACTAAGCCTTTTGATTAATGTTCTAGTATCACAGCTGTGATGAACTGTAAATTAATTTTTACCTCATCAAAGATTTTGCAAAATAAATTACAGTATAGCAGATAGTTTATGGTGAAGTAACATTTATGCCACAAAAACATAAGAGGTCAGTGGCAGATCCAGGAAGGATTCAGGTGGTTGACGTATCTCCCTTTTCCAAGACTCACCTGATGCCACACTAGAGATCAGGTCAACTGTTAACTCATGCCAAGACCAACTCGTACACATTCCTGGCAAATGGTATAACACGTAAATGGGCCATTTTTCATCAGTATACAGGGATTAGTGACCTATATCAGGTGCAGGTAATTTATCTCTACGTTATACCACAAACCTGCCTCTAGTCAGATGGTGTCAAATTGCCAAAATTTCAAAGGAACTGCCAAACTGACAGCCTGTAGACATCAGGTGACGAGTTATGACCTCACATGACAAGTGTTGCCTCCACTGACATCAGATTATTGGGGGAAGGAAGTTAGCATAAATGATCACAGGTGCTGGCTCTGATGCAGCATCATCATATAAAGGAATTAGACTTTAGCATAATTGTGGACAAGTCTGCCATCAAGCAACCCAAATGGATGCTGGTAATGTACAAAATTGTGACTTTTCCTGTCAATTTATTTCTGTAACCCCCCAAACCCACACACACAAAATCCTGGATCCGTCCCTGGGGCCTGGGGGTTGACCTGTAAATAACAAAACAATTGCTTTCTAGTCAATATTTCCTTCCTATAAAGGAAACAAAGTGTTTACCAGGTAATTAATTTTGTAAAACACTACTGACTTCTTATGAATTTTAGCATTATTGTCAAGCTTCACCAAGTGCATAAGTTTGTGCGATCATAAACTAATAAAAGGTGAACATAAACATGGTCATGTTAAAAATATTTATGTTCATATTATTGGCTTTTCATAACCTTTAAGTAAGTGGCTGCTCCTATATGTGAAACACTCACAATACAGTTTACAGCTGTTGCAGCTGCTGAAACACAAGCAATCTCCTCTTGTGATAAGTTGCTAGGAAATGACAGTACTCTCACATTAGGGTCTACAGCAAACTGCATTATTTGCTTCTCAACTATTCTCTCAAATTCTGGATGTACACCAGGAAGTACAGCAGCATTATTTATGTTTTGGTTCTTAGTTTCTTTAGCCTTCACTGACTTCTCCTGGTGATTCTTTTGTGTGTTACCTTCTGGATACCTGAACATTCGCTGGTACATGATCTTCTCTTGTGCTTCATATCTAAGTTCATTATGTAGCAACTTCTCCAGCTCTGTGCTGATATCTTCGTTGTTTGGTTTGAGATGCTGAGCTTTCAAAAACAGTTTACGAGCACTTTTGAAATCATGCAACATTGCCTTTGCTTTGCCAAATCTGTGAAAAAATAAAGTATCATAAATGCCAGACATAACGGGAATGATGAATCATCAAGTTATTCACAAACCATTCAAATAAAGTCATCAGGAGATTAACAGCCCAGAGATGATCATTTCCAATATACTATACAATACAGTTGATGAAAACCTCCAGGTCAAGTGAGGCAGCACCTTCCCAACATGAAGAGTAAGTGAGCTATTGTATGACCAACTCTTACTCTTACAGTATAAAATCTTGAACACTAACCTAAAATATAATTTTGCTTTTACTTCATTTGACTGCTCCTCTGACACATTGAAACCCAACTTGCACTGGGTACATGCTTTGGCCGGCTCTTTCATGTCGAGATAAACCTGCAAAGAAAATGTTCTTAACACACCACCAATTTAGAAATATTTCACATCACTTTTGTCAATAGTACTTTCCCTCTACAGCACAGTGTGACTGAACTCAAAAGAAACATGAACACTCCCCCAATTGCTTTTTCAAGTCAAATTACCATGTATCCATCTGCTTTATCCGTGTTGCTTCCTACATAACCCCAGCATCAAGAAGTGTTTACAATTTTCCCATAATTATATAAGGATTTTTAATAAACCAAACTCTAATTCATATTAACAATATTACAATAGAAATTACTGATCTTTTTTGCATTACTTTTTTTACTCTAATTCTCTTCAGCAAATATACTGTACAGTACTGACCAAACAACACAATATTCTTGGTCCACGTTACCTCACCTGTGCTAAATTATTTCTCATCTTGAACAAGACAGAGTTTCTCTGAGTTTCCTCCTTCTCATTATTTAACTTGGCATCTTCCAAGATCCAAGCAGCACGAGTATAAGAACTTTTTGCTGCCTTAAGGTTCCTCTCATGGTACTGTTCATTGCCCTGAAGTTACAGTACAGTACATCAAAGTTATGCCTTGAAACTTTTCTATGTTTCTCATAAAAAATACTGTAAATTGTAAGATTAATTATTTTTTTTATTAAACTATTTATCTGAATGTAACACCTAAGTAACATAATTAAACTCTAAATGAGTATGTAGCTTATTACAAAATTATGAAAAAATATATAAAAATTCAAATTCTCCTAAACTCAGATGGAGTGATATCATGCTTCAATATATCCATACTGGCAACACACTAAACAATCAACTCCTATATTATTTTTTAAATTGCTTCATCAGTTTGACTTCCATCTCTATTTACTCCATAACTTTCATACACAATTCTTCACAACAATGTAAGAGCCAGAGATGTAGTCGAGACCACTACATCACTGGTATGGGCTCTCATTATCCTCCTGGTAAACTTTATTGGTAAATACCAACAATATTACAACAAAATGCTTCGTTTAATGATTTACCTCCACCCCCACCCCCCTCCTCCCACCCATTATCATAAAACTATCACTCAACCTACTCAACATATGTCTACTCCATTCTAAAAAACAATAATGGCATCCATTTATAAGTGATATCTCCGTTAGCCGGAATAATTGGTGCAGAGCATTACCGGGAATGAGAGATTTCCGGGTAACGAGACGACTCTCTCAAAGATGGAAAAAATCTCTCATCCCCGAAATCTTCTGGGTAACGGAAAAATGTTCTTAGAAGTTCCATATTGCCCATTACATCATCTCTCAAACTTGGAAAAATATACCCCATTCCCAGAATTTTCTGGATACAGTACAGCACTGGAATCTGTATCGGAATTTCCGGAAAATGCTCCTGATTTTCATCTCTCAAACCCAGAAAAAACTCCCCCATCCCTAGAATTTTCAGGGTATCGGGAAAATTTTCTCGGAATTTTCCAGAAAATGTGCCCCCAAGAAGATCTTTCCCAAAGCTGGAATTTTCTGGAAATTCTGGCTTTTGGAACAATTTTCCAAGAAAATTTCATTTCCGGCTATCGGAGACTTCCAGGTTTGAGAGATTCCGGCTAATGGAGATATTACTAGTAACATTACACTTAGACACTCCTATCCTTTTATACACCATATCTTTTTTCTGTCAACATCACTGCTATTATTCTTCTGGAAATATCAGCATACAATAATATACTGTACCCAGATTCTCTCCATTCAGTAATCAGAAATAGGAATATCTTTATCTAGCATATGTAGCTACATAAGAATCAAACACCAAAGTAAATTTACCTTCCGATGTAACCCCCGGGCAGCTTCCAGCTTCTCTTTGAAAGTTGCAACACACTGTTCCTGCTCATTTAGGCCACTATAAGCATCTGCAGCAGCACAGTCAACAAAATACAAGACATCTATTTCATACAAAATTGTCTCATTGCTGGGAATCCTGGGTTGGCAACCCATCTGAAATGTTGTGGAGTCATATCAGAAGCTTAAAGTTAGTACAATGCTGTTTTTGGAACCTATGTATGTACTTGAGAGAAGATCCACACACACACAAAAATTATCTTCTCCAACCCTAAATAATAATTAAGATGTTTCAAATCAACCCATCCAAACTTGTAGAATTTGTTAGATACAATGATAAGCTCTAAGTCACCACATCAACACACACACAGTTAAAACTGGCTGATGCTGAAAAATAATTACATGGTGTAATAGCATAATACAGTACCTCTCCAAAGGCATATTCTGGACTTATAAGAAATCTGGCCTTCTCATTCTTCCTCATGGTCTTAATGGCAACATTGAGTCCTGGCAGCAGTCCTCTAAAATCAAGAATCTGCTTTTCCGGTTTCATGCGAAGGTAGGATGAATCAAAAGGTTCATCGCAATACTGAAGGTACGCACTGTAGTGGAATGTGACAGCTGCCCCACTAGGTATCCCTCCACCTATACCTGGACGTACTTCCTGCCAAGAAAAATTATCCACTTAAAATACAGTAATGAATTACTTGACAAAATATTTTCCATAACACTAAATAATAGTTGTCATTGTTATAAGTCTGGGTAAAAGATGAGAGAAGTGCTAGGTGTCATGTATGGTGAGGCAACAGTACACAATGGCCACATGACTGGGAAGTATGGATGATTATAAGTACTGTGCCACATGAATACATAATATTTACTTCAATTTGTTTCAATCTTAACCAACTGTGATACTCAGCACTAAAACAGGAATAACATCTAGCATTAGGTCATATCTTTCCAGTGTTACACAATTTAATACACTACATCTACATAAAGAAGGAGTGTGCATGTGGTAGATCCCCCATTACTCCAAATGCACAAAAATAAAACTCAAGCAACTTAAAACATCCACAGATGATGGCTGCCATAAGGGTTAAAGAATTAATATTTGATGATACCAGATCTTAACCCTCAAAGCTGGCCATCATCTGTAAAGCACCCATCATACCTCCACAAGTTTCGTGTTCTTTGAGTTCCATTTTTTTGCATATGGAGAGGGGTGGGAGTGAGGAATCCTCTACCCAGTGATTTAGGTTTGGAGAAGTACTGATTGGTGATATTGAATCTAAAGTAAAAAAAATATATATATATATATATATATATATATATATATATATTTCATATATATATATATATATATATATATATATATATATATATATATATATATATATATATATATATATATATATATATATATATATATATATATATATATATATATATATATATATATATATATATATATATATATATATTTCATATAGATCCACAATGAAAACGTGGATAAGATAAATCTTGATAAAATCACACGGGAAAAGGGAAACAACGGAGCACCTTAGCTTTGAAAACCTTTGATCTAGATGTATGATAGTTATTTAGTGGGTCCCTTATTTTTGACCTGACCTGACTAGTCACGTCACCCCCTTCTCTTAAGCTCCTCTACGTGTGTGTTGGTGTGGGGATTAGTGGATGACATCATTATGACCTGACCTCATGTTTAATAAGGTCACCCTGTATATTTAAGCCTCTCTCTGTCCATGTAATCCAGTTGCATCTGAAGATGTCTTGAATAAAGCAAAAGCTAAGGTGCTCCATTGTTTCCCTTTTCCCGTGTGATTTTATCAAAATATATATATATATATAAGATAAGATTAATTTGCCCAAGTTACAATAATCAACTCACCATCTTCAGAACGCCACCATCTCCAGTCATATCCTCCATTTTCCGGGCTAATTTTTCGAAAGGCTCCAAAGTTTCATCTGAACCTAAAAAAAAAAAAAAATAGAGATCAGGATTATTTTGTAACTTTCCCCTCCTTAAAATACAGTGACAATACAGAATACCAAGATGCGATGATTATTTTTGTAGTGTGAATGTTTTGGATACATATTATTCATGTATTTATAAACTTAAATAATTCAATGCCTTTTTTTTTTCTATTATAGTTATATCCAATATTACTGAAACTTGATGTGTCTATTTTACCTCTTTATAACTCAAAAAAGCATTTAAGTTTAGGTAAAATAAAGCGAGACTGTTTGGTAAGGCTGACTTAAATTACACTAGGTTTGATTAAGTTAGGTTGGGTTAGGTTACAGTGGGTTGGATTGGGTTAGGTTACAGTAGGTTGGGTAGGGTTGGGTTGGGTTTTGGTTACAGTAGGGTTAGATTTGGTTTTGGTTATGGTAGGTTTAGGATTAGGTAAAGTATATTAAGTTAATGAAATTAGAGATTAGGTTAGATCAGGCTGACCAAAATTTTATGTCTAATATTATAACTTTACACAGTGCTTTACCAGGTTATTTCTAAATCACTTACAACAGGTAACTTACTTGAAGCTTCCTCCTCATCCTCCCCAAATACAGCATTGCCAGCCCCCAAAGTGAGGCTGTTAATTAACGTCTCATCTTCAAAAATATTTTCTTCTTTATCTGTACAATCTTCAGCATGCTCCTGTTGTTCCGAAATCTCAAATACAGTGCCAGTCTCCGAGTAAACATCACTGAGGACACAAAATGCTACATTATTGTATATTCTGCAGTTTGGTAACTCATAATGATTACTGTACTGTACTAGTGGACATGTTCACATCTACCAGAGAAGTTTTGTTGTTTCACACTTTTTTGTCACCTTCTACTCTTGTACTGCATCACTCTGCCCTACTTTCCCCTCATTATTACACAGCAAAAAAGCTACTTAAATAATCAATAGCAGATATACAGTACAAACTTTAAATTAAGAGCCTCAGTTAGTTTAACTGGACGAGAATTCAGTTCAATGTCATCTTGATAATTTGCTGCAGCTCCATCCGCCTGTGACATTTTGGATTTCTTCTCATCCATAAGAACCTGAAAAAACAACAAATAAATTTACACAAGATTTTTACTTTGTCCATTTTGCTTCCCTATTTTTGAAAGTCCTTTCCCAAAACAGCACTGAGAAACAAGAGTCAAATAACTATCAGCGTCATTAGATCTCTCCCACTGCCTTATGGTACGGAACAGTATACCCCTTCCACATCAAAACCCTTAAGACGTCCACTTAGTTTACCCATCACTTCATACATCAATTACTTATATCACTGCAAATGACACATTACCCTGGCACCACTCACCACCAATCCATCCCCCCAAAAATTAATAACAAATATGTGCAGTCCAGTTTATCTTATCTTTGCATCTTACTGATCTTTTAATATACATTTTAAGGATTAATAGGATGTCTAATTTTTTTCATTTCTTGCTGGGCTTCTGACAGCTAATGATATTAAAATCAGACAATTCCATAGCCTAATAGGCCAGGTGGTAACAACATTAACCAGTAAACATATGTGGTCTTCAAAAATAACAAAATATAATCCCACATTAAGGCAGATGTACTTAACACTATAAGAACTCGGTTTAAGGAGTCCTCATAAGCTAAACAACAATGAGCCAATAACCAAATTAGAGGCAAATAAGTGAAGCTGTGCTGTACAGTACACAGTGTGAAACAATGTAAGTGATCTTCAAGAAACTGACTTCATGCAGTACTCCGAGTTGGGGAGATATTTTGCCCCTGCTCTTGTATCTAAAAATATGAGAGTTATAAACTTATATAAAGAAACCACTCACTGATAATCAAGCATAAGGACAAGCACATATCTACTGTATATGGCTTGTACAGTATGCAACTTAACTTATTAAAATAATTAGTTACATTGTAAAGTGCAGTATGTTGCTCAGTACTGGCTAACATTTTCAGATCATTTAACATGCAATTAATGAAACCTGTACAGTGTATCTATTTGTCCACATTTCTATTAACTTTAGCCTATCCCATTTTCTTGTAGTGGGGATCAGTGGAAAGAACACATACATGAAAGTTAAGAAGAGTGAAGGAAACTGATGCAAAAAGTAGAAAAAGTTAAAACAAGCAAAAATGTGCCAAATGCATTTCCTCATGCCCTTAAGTTATATACACATTACACTAAGGGACTTCTTAACCTCCAGCCTTATGAACATAAAAATTCACTGGGTGTGTTAAGTCATAATTAATATTGAGCAAGAAAAAAATGGCAAAGCAGGAAGAAAAGTTATTTGCTCTTAGCTTACTCCTGAACCTAAGCATTGTGGTCACGGTCATGGCAAACCAACTGCATGCAAAAGGCCTACATTTAAACACCTTTTGTATCAAGTTTTACAGCACAAAGTCCACACGCTGGCAACTCCATATGGAAAATGCATATTTTCCAAGGTAAAGATAATAAATTTGCTCTGCCATCTTGTCCACAGGCAAGATATGAAACATTCTCATGAAGGGAATGCATTTCTTCTGACTGTTCACATCCAAAGAAAATAACAGCCACCTGTAAACAAAAAATACACCGATTGAAATTCAAGTAGCATACAGTATAACCAAGTACAGTACTGTATACTGTATGGGATATAAGTACTTTTTCAAAATTTTACAAATTAATACATAATTAATGTTTCATAATCTATGGAAATAATACACACTTGTTCCAAAAAGTAGCTTTACGATTTTGAGACAAAATCACATTACTCAACTCAAAAAACAACCTAACCTAACCTAACCTAGAATGAATACCTTACTTAGCAGTGGAGTCCAGGGGTATTGTTGCATTTTCAATCAATAGGCAATAGTTTTTTTTTTACTTAAAACTGAATAGATCTCATCAAGAGCTATCTTCTGAACCCTAGCTTTACATGTTAGCTCTCGACGATATCTATTAATTGTTAAAGACAAAAACATTCGGCTGCATATTGGCTGAAAATGCAACAATACCCCCATCCTGACCTAGCATTGTTTAAAAAACCGTGAGGCGCTAAAGGGACAATCAGGCTATAGTTGTGGTCATCACTAACTCTCTGCCAGATAAGGTTGTCCTCAATAACATCTCTCTGTGGCATAGTTTATTCGCTTTATTTACTAATCATTATATTTACAGTCATCATTTATCATCTTCATCTCACCATGAGACTATAGAAATGTTGTCAGTACATTAAAGTCAAGAAAATGGGGGTAAATATTTACTGTACCTTTAAACCACGATGTCAACAGCCAGTAGAAACAGGGTCATTAAACACGGTCATTTACTGTACTGTATATATATATAGTTTTGTAATAGTGTATGAATATTTATAAAACTTTATTTTACTAATTATGTTATTTTAATATAATAATTTTATTAATTTGAAGAAATTTAATTAGTTTTAAGTTTAAATAAAAATATAGATAAAATACTTGATAATATATTTTGTATTTATAATTGCTTATACACATACTTAATTTCTCGGATTTTTTTTAAATATAATATTGTTGGACAACTTAAACAATAATTATTTTAATGTATGAAGAAGGGCCACAAATATTTAAAGTGTATAAGAGTCAAGATACAGAGATGGTCGTGACTTCTTAGTGTATGATGTTAAAAAATTCCCAAGGCTGAGGGGCACTAATTAAAGTTGCCTTTGTTTATACAAATTTGCACTAATTGTGTCAACCCGTAAGCATAATGAATTAAAAAGTACTAAAATAGTACAAAACAATGTTATATTTGTGATCCCTTAGGAATTGCGTGTTGGGGTATATATCATTCCAATATTAATGACGTTTATTTTACATCAATGATTAAAATTTGATGATAAGTTTTATAATTCCTCCTAAGAAAATTGATTTACATATTTTGATAAATACTGAAATTAACAATATGAATATACTTACATATCTTATGATTCCAGGTTATTCAAAATCCTCTGATGTCTAGTATCGTGCTATTTATTTTATTTTTTTGTATGAATTTTATTTTAAATACAAATGATCAAATGTAATTGTATAAGGCTCAAATTTTATAAACAAATTCTATGTTTTTTTTAAATCAGAAGGTGTATGACCGCCTCCTCACAATGTACACAATACCCACAATTCCTTTCGTTCTTCTTCACAACTCCGGGTCGTAATGGTTGGTGGGGCGATGAAACTTTTTTTACTAAATCTGTGTATATCTGCTGTATCCGTCCACACATCACTTCATCGTTAATGAGGAATTGTGGAATGGTTCCTGAACTGTGTTATTTATACGTTTTTATAATTTCAGGGTAAGGATATATCCCACAAACACGATCGAAAAGTGATCAGGCGGGAGCCGAAGTCTCAGGATGTTTACTTGAGGCTTCTGGTGAAGGTGAGTGTTTTATGTTCACACGATAATGGAATAGACTAGTGGTCGTATGTATGGAGTTTAGTTATGGCCATTATTACAAACCGAAGACTGTTTTGGCATATCTTGAGTTCTGTGAAGGGACTCTAGAAAAGCATGACGATTCCACGTCCTGGATATTTTTGTTATAGTTTATGGCTGACCACTGTAAATATTGCGGTTCTCAGTAAATGTGCAGAAGAAAATAGGGTGAAGATTCGTTAGTGATCACAATAGGGAGTGAATAACCAAAATAGGCATTTGTTTTTCTTAGTAATTTAAAGACTTTTCTTCGCTGTTTATGCAGATTTGACTCGCTACCAAACGACAATTGGTACTTACAAACTGGGCAGGGCGATGAAGTAGAGGGAAAATGTGGGATAAAAACAAAATAATTATTAAGAAAAAAAAACCTAACCAGAGAAACCAGCCACATAAGAAAATAAGGGGTCTGCAATAGGCCGGTTGGCAGCTCCTATCGAATTACTACCACTCTATCATCAATGAATCTATCTAGCCTCCTTTTAAAACATCGCCTAACCATTGTCTTTAGTAGTGGGGTATATATCCATAAATAAATATCATTGACAAAAATAAGGGTGTACATTACTCCAATAGGTAATGTCTGAGAACAGCACTGCTATCAGGTGTTCTATTTTGTTCATTTTTCCATTGATATTATGATAGTGGGTTAGAGCAGGTTCTATTAGGTTCTAGTAAATGTCGCCTCTTTTAAAATACTTACTAGAATGATACGAACATATGTGGAAAAATTAATGAAATCGAACAACTCCGTCAGGTGGTAGTGCTGTTCTCAGAAATTATCGCCCAATAATAAATAGGCAGTGGATATTTTGCCGTGACTGGCTAAGTTCTTCCAACTTTAATTTACCGTGAGTGTGCTCTGATTGACTCCTTACCCTGGCTAGGAAGTTAGGTAGGTTTCTTTGGTTGGTTTGGTTCTGGTGGTAAATTTCGCCCCTTTCTTTACTGATAAGATTCCATGCACAGTAGAAATATGGTTATAGCTACACATGGCAAAATAAATGCTAACTGCCACCAGAGTCACGGCCAACTATAGTTCTCGCGCTCACGGTAAAATATCATTGGTAGGAACTTAGCCGGTCACAGCAAAATATCCACTGCCAAATAAATACTGTACAGCACATTTTAAAGTATAAATAGTTTATATTAGTTTTGCAGGTGGTCAGTTGAACACAGACAAGCTTTTCTTATCTTAAGTCGAATATTTGTATGTAGAGGAGCACCTGTATATTTTAGTTGCATTTTACTGTTTTGCGGTGCTCTTCTTTCATCATTTTCATTCCCTTAACTTTGCTGATTTGTTTCTATATCATTATCAGTTATACATAAGGGATAGAGTAAAGTGACTGGCTGTTAGGAAGATTGGTGAATATATTGATCTTCTGGATGGCCTGTGTACATACAGTACTTTGTTTTTGGAAATCTTGGCTTGTGTTTGAGAAAAAATTATTAATGAGTACTGTATGTTGCTGATGGAAGGGTAAAACTGTTCATATGCTTTCAGCTGTATCGCTTCCTGGCTCGCCGCACCAATTCAAAGTTCAACAAGGTCATTCTGAAGAGATTGTTTATGTCCGGCATCCACCGCCCACCTCTGTCTCTCTCCCGTCTCGTACGCCTCGCAAAGAAACAAGGCCGTCAGGGAAAGATCGTATGTGTTGTTGGCACCATTACAGATGACCTGCGCATTTTTAATGTCCCAAAACTTACAGTAAGTATTTTTTTTCCTTCATTTTCAATTTTTAAAGGTTTATGTTTGTAAGAATTAGTGCCATGGAAAAGTACAGCGAGTGTTATAGTATTTCACCTGCTTGTAATAAGTTTTGGAAGGCTTTTTTTATACTGTGTATGTCAACACAATAATCAACCATCATTTTTGTGCCTGTGATAGTTAAAATGAGGGTACGTATGTACGCTTGCTTCAAATATGAAATATTTCCCTTTGATAATTAATTTAAGAAAGGGGTTAGTTAATGTTAAAAAGAACTTTGGATGTTAGTATCAAACAGTGGTTGGATTTTGCAGTGTTTGGAATGCTTGTCTCGTCCTATTTTTAATCTCTTACCACTTGTTTGTGTTTTATGATCAGTTAAAGGTAACAAATATAGTCATCGGCTTAGGAATTTTCATTAGATGGTGTAATCATTTGAATAACCTTTGTACAAAATAGGTTTTCTTCCACTTAATAAGAACATAAGAAAGTGGGATACTGCAGGAGGCCGACTGGCCCATACAGGGCAGATCCCTTTCACACCCATCCCAGCACTTCCATGTGCCATATCCAACTTCGTCTTGAAGCTCCCTAGCGTCCCCGATCCTACTATAGCACTCGGTAGCCTACTCCACATATCCACAACTCTATTACCAAACCAGTGCTTGCCTATATCCTTTCTGAATCGGAATTTATCTAATTTAAAGCCATTTGTTCTAGTTATTTCGTTATTACTGAGCTTCAGAACATCTTCCATTTTACCCTTGTTAATCCCACTTACCCACTTGAACACCTCTATCATATCTCCCCTAACTCTACGCCTCTCTAATGAATGCAAGCCTAAGCTTTTCAGTCTTTCTTCATATGGAAGGTTTCTAATATTATGGATCATTTTTGTCATTCTTTTTTGTAAACGTCAGTACAGTAGATGCAGATGCCACAAATATATATATTCTATATTAAGTGTAATTAACTTATTCTTAAAACTGTAGCATGGTATCAAGAAGTGTTCGCTGCTTCTCTCATCACAGGAAATATACACTATCTGTTGTGAAGGCTTGTCACTGGAAAAAGATTAATGTTATTTGTTTTCCTGTAATTCTTATCCCAGAATAGTAGCCTTTCATTTCATGAAAATTTTATCATACAAAACACAGGTGCAATTAATGGGATTGTTTGCTTTGTTGTAGATCTGTGCTCTGCGTGTGACAGCCCGTGCCCGTGCTCGTATTGAGAAGGCTGGAGGAGAGGTCATAACCTTTGACATCCTTGCCCGTCGTGCACCCACAGGCAAAAACACTGTTCTTATCCAGGGTGAGTATGTTGTAAGGTTGGACAGTGTATTGTCTATAGGGTGATTATCATGAGGTATGCAACAGTGGCCTCCAACAGTCTATCCATAATGCTTGGGATATACTGTATACCAGTGCTTGATGTAATTATCTTTACTATACTGTACTGTGTAGTAAGTGGACTTCAAACTAATCACAAATGTTTTATTCATAATGAGCATGTGGCATTATAAAGGTGCAAGTTGCGTTTTTTAAATTGTCATAAAATTTCCAAGAAATTATACAGCTTACTTTTGCATTACCAGTGAAATGAATCGAAACTGACCACAAACCTTGAATACACAAGAAACTTTGCATTTGACATGGTGTTAATCTAATTTAAACAATTATATAATAATACTGTGTTGTGTTTTTAAGATGGTGTCTCAAGATACCCAGCATTAGTTTTATGCAATAGTAGTGGTAAGATCTTAAGTCTAGTCATTTATTTAATTTCCTCAAGTCTTCTGGGGTTGCATTGGAACAGTCAAAAGACATTAGTGGACAGAACAGAACACCGTAACTTACAATTTATGCCATGTATTGATGGTCACATGGATACGGGATCATGTTTTCAGTGTTGGTATAGAAAGCGAGACAGATAGAACTACAGTATTACTGATATTCCAGTTGATACATTGTGTTTGTTTATTTTGTCGGCTGATTTGCCCTGAATGGGTTTAGAGCACTTTGTAGGTTGGTTTACCTCAGTATCCCATGAAGCATTAGCAGGAGATGAATTAAGTACACACGTGTACTAAAGTTAGTTTTCTGATAAATAGTTATTCCTGTGTTCTGCATTCATATTGCCACTCCACATTTGTCTTGTGCTGCTGATGTCATTTTTCTTATCCTTATTGCTTGTACAGTAGCCTTGGGTTGTTTCCTTCAAGAGGAACCGAGAATTTTCACACAATAAAGAAACCACAAAATAAAAATACAGGTACATGTAATTGAATACAAAATATGGGTTTAGGGATCATCTTTGTCTTAAAGCCTATTACATCACAGCCATGCTGCCTCCTTGGTGGCCTACAGAGTCGGCAGTAATGCTGGATAATGGTTATGCTGTACACTTTAACCAGCAACTTGAGATTATTCTGTTCAAAAGTGCTTTTGTACTTCATGAAAAATCAAACTTATATGTATATATATATATATATATATATATATATATATATATATATATATATATATATATATATATATATATATATATATATATATATATATATATATATATATATATATATATATATATATATATATATATACACAGTTGGTTCACGCTGGCCTCGCATTCCGCTGCTAACGCTGCGCCTGCCAACTCTTTCACATCCCTACAGATGATATATCGTAGTGTCATTGGGCTCGACTCCATTCCACCAATCCCATGGCAAGTTCACTTTACGCGCCTCACTTTCCGCTGCACCTCCGGGTTACATAACCGCTGTAATATGAGGACCAACTGTATATATATATATATATATATATATATATATATATATATATATATATATATATATATATATATATATATATATATTATATATATATATATATATATATATATATATATATATATATATATATATATATATATATATATATATATATATATATATATATATATATATATATATATATATACATACAATGAACCCTCACTTACTGTTAATGTAACCTGGAGTGAATAACATAACATATCGGATTAATTGAAATGGAGTCCGGCCGATCCCCAAACTCCACTTTTTGACGCATACACAACTATGTTGTAGTAAAAATATTATCTTAACTTTATGATGGTATGCACACACAATTAATAATTAAGAGAAATATCAATAATATTAGGTTTTTTAACACTTACATTAGTAGAAAAAATGGCTGGGCACACGGGGATGGGCGGTTGGTTCCGAGGCAGAGGGCAGATTATTGGCCCTCACCTGTGTCACTTGTATCAATTGTATCACTATCCACCACAGAGGCTTGCAGGGCCTCTTTGTCAAACTCCCCAAAGTCCATCTAAGTCCATATCCTCACCATAATTATCACTATCACTGACTTGGGCCGGCTGTGGTGGGTGGCGGGTGAAGAACTGGCAATGTTTTGATGACTGGGCCACCTTGTGCGCACCATGTTCGCGCAGCTTACACAACATGGCGGATGGCGGGAGGTTTGGATCCAAAAATGGCGCGGCTCGCCAGCCACTCTCCGCGTAAAGGGGTACACGCACCGCGGAATGTGAGCATCCTGGGTTCCGGCAGGGCACCGCGTAAACGTGGAAACGCGGAATGTGGGACCGCGTAAAGTGAGGGTTAACTGTATATATATGTATGTGTGTGTATATATATATATATATATATATATATATATATATATATATATATATATATATATATATATATATATATATATATATATATATATATATATATATATATATATATATATTATATATAATTCCATCCCAGATTTAAACTTTCGAGGTATAGTACAGTACTGTACTGAACTATGTCAGTGTGGCCATGTATATGTTCAGGATGGCATCCACATAGTCGATACCTACTGGATATAGGTAATGGAAAAGTGGTTAATTGTGTTTTATTACTTAACCTAGGCTAAACATTGTCTAACTGGAAATGAATATAGGAAAGTGGTATTAATTAAAGTAGCTGTGGATTATCCCAAGGCTACTTTTACACTTACTAGCATGTTCTGCTAGCATTGCAGACTAGTTTAAAGTAAAATATTTGTAATCTTATGTATTTTTAGTTCACAATAACATTTTTTTACTTATTGTGCAGGATGGATGTAATCAAGATACACATCATTCCTCATTGGCATTCATTTAAGCTTCCTTTCTATGATTTAAAAAAGGGAAGTACATTATTGCTCATACAGTAATGATGTATTTGTATCACAGGTAGACGCAGTGCTCGTGAATCATGCAAGAGATTTGGACCCGCTCCTGGTCTTCCTCACAGCCACACCAAACCTCTGGTGCGCAGCAAGGGACGCAAGTTTGAGAGGGCTCGTGGCAGGAGGTCCAGCTGTGGCTACAAGAAATAAACAGTGTGAATATAATAAACAGGCTAAGAATTTTGTGTTCTTATCCAACCCTCAATGGCTACTGGGTTTTACCATATTCAAGTGTATAAGATCCCTAATCAGGACTGTACTGTAGATTTGGGGGACTAAGTAAAAGAAATGTGCTGTAGTTTTATTTTAGTTTTGCAGTGTGATACTATATCAACTTTTATTACACAGATCAAGCATAAATGTATTCTCTGTGTTAAAGAACTTTTAGGGGAGCAAAGCTTAACAGTTGTGATAGGATGGATGGATGGTTGTGCTGAATGTAGTTGTTGTATTGCTTTGGTTAAACTTTTTAGATTTAAGAAACGAAGATACTCACAAAAGGACAACATGCACTAAAATATTAAAAGTTTAGTGTAAATTGCAGTGAATCATAAGGATATACAAGAAATGACACAGGAGAATGAAAAGTGTGAGGAAGAGAATGGAAGTAGGTGACACTCAAAGTCTGGGGTGTTGTGATCCTCTTGGGGTGGTCAACAATACCTGGAAAACACCATAATATATCCCACTTGACTGTGACCCTGAAATCCATAAATTAATGTCATAATTCCTCAAATATGCCATCATGAACTGAAGAGATATAATACTGTGTACAAGTACTTAACCCCTTGTATATGGGCTCCCCTTCGAGCTGAAAAAAATTGGTTGGTGGTGTGAGTTCATGTGTTTAAATAACATGTATGTTCTGGTTATTTAATGTCTTCCTCCTTGGATGATTACATGAAACTAACATTAATAGACATGAGAATGGAAGCTGTGATGTTTAATCAAATGCAAGTGATGCATTGGATCCTGAGGGACAGTTGTAGAAATGGCAGTAGCTTTTTAAAATTTGGGCAGATTTAGGGGTAAGTGCTTGAAAGAGCTAAGTACGCTACTGTAATATTTTTATTTAGATTTACCTGTAGGATGTATTAGAACTAGAGGCTGTTAAAAAGGTTAGATATAAAGGAGTAACATTCAGCCAGGAGAAAATGGAATATGGTAACTTTAGTTACCCGAGTAATGTAAGGAATAGGTGGGGTCCTGAGCATTCGTTACTAGGTTGTGTTTGAGTGTATGGAGACAAAACAGGTTTTTGTAATTTGATCCATCCCACAAAAAAGTGGAAGAGGGATAAAGAGATAATTGTTAAGACTGATGGAGAAAACTAATGACATTGTTGCACAGTGAATGATGTATCTCGCCACATATACTTGGGCTTAATGTTCCTTGTTATTGTATCCACCCATAGCACAACACCATGTAAACTTGTAGGACAATAAAAAAAAAAGTTTAGCTAAAACTTGCTTCATAAATCCATATGACATGGAGAAATATTGTCCAAAAAGAAATCCTACTAGGTGGTAATTCCATTAAACAGTTCTACAATAGCAAAAATAATAATAAAAATTATTCAATAAATTGACAAACGGGTTTACAATTGGATAGAAATGTATATAAATTATGTAGTTTCACAACATGAATACCTGTATATTGGATAGAAATGTATATAAATTATGTAGTTACACAACATGAATACCTGTATAGTCAGTGTTGGTAGGTATTATGGTGCACTTTGCTGTGGGAATAAATTTCCTGTGCCGAGGCAGTGCAAGTACCATTACTGCACTGGAAGGCAATTTGACCAAGGGTAGCCAACATAGCTGTCAGGTACTGTATTAGTGAAACTTTTTTGATAAATTCAACTACCGTTATATTGTACTTGAACTATCTGAGGCTGGTGGATCACAATACAACATTTTGTGGTCAAGCATATAAAACTCGCTCTTCTCTTTTTCTAGCTTCATCTGACAGTTTTAGTTTTGATGAACTAAAACTATATTATTTGGAGTTTGCCTCAAATAGATGCATTATTTTGTAAAACGACGTCACCCTGATACATATCGTCTCTTTAATCCTGGAATACTTCCAACTCGCGTTAGCACAGGCACTCAAACCTCATAAGTGGCGAACGAATCCCAGATGTAGGTGGAAAATGATGATAAATTAGGGCCGTTTTCTGAGCGGAATTGGTGTAAGTTACAGTTACTGGAAAATGACATCGGGTTGAAGACGAAGTACATTCAGATTTGCCCCCGAGGGGGCTAGTTTATTGAGCACCCCCTTACATCCTGTGCAAGGTGAAGCGTTTACAGCGCCCAACAGGGAAGTATGAAAAGTTCATACACTTGCCTTTATGACTCGTACATTAAGGGCGTAAAAGCCTGAAGGGTCATAGGTTTTGTCAAGTTACATAAAGTGAGAGAATGATGAGTGTGTGGGGGGAAAGTTCCCGGTACATTTTATCTGTTTATGGCAAAGAGTGGCAGGTCCCTAATAATGTCAAATGCCAGGCCTGTGACTAGGAGGAGGGATAACGAAGTACATTAGTAGACAAGACTAAATTAGCTAGACACATGGGAGAGGTAAAGAAATGGTTAGACATTAAACCATTTAATTAAAAATAAATGGTTTTAATGACCGCGAGAATAGTGTTAATCAAGAGGACTAATGTTAAAGGCATATGTACTAAGAATATAATGTATATATTTTAGCAGGCAACTCAGATCTATTTTGATATACCTTAATAATCCTTACAAAGTTTCTGTATGGTCGAAATATATTTCTTTTTCTTCTTAAAAAATATGCGGTTTTCCTGGTGGCGTGCTTTTTTAACATTGGACAACTGCTTGTTGCTTCGACTAAGTCTTGGCGGGAATTTATAGGACGCGGGACGTCAACCCACCCTTCTTGAATTCAAAGTTTCAGGGGTTTAAGTGCGATATAAGTATCGGTGAGGTACTGTAGGTTTATTAATTATATTGGATACCACATGTGAGTGATAATGGAGCATCAAGATATCGCCAAGAACGCAATGCCTCCACCACAATCACCAAAGATCACCGTTGGTCGAGCTGAGTATGTCTGTTGACTAACCAATTTATATATATAAACCAATAATTGTTTTGTTAGCATGTTGCTCACTTTGTCTATTCTTTTATGTCTTTTTCTGTGTTTGTCAACGTTTGTTAACACTTAGCAGTGCAAGATTAGATATAAAGTTCTTTGCAATGTTTTGGTACCGTAGAGTTGGATGATATGGAATCTGTCGGTTTTTAAATTTCGTATTTATCGATTTTTCGGGCGCTAATATGACCGATCTACAGTGTATATTAACAATATCACACATGGACAGGTACGGCCGATAAAGCCGAATGGAGAAGTGGCCAGCACACCCAAAACCAATCCAGAATTTACATAAACTTAGCCTAGTAAGAATGTATCGTGTACAGTAAACACGACAGCCGCCATACAAGAGGTTCAACCAAGCTTTACCTTACAAACATAATTTAATCTTCCCTTATTTAATTAATACAATATAGCTTTAAAAAACAAAATGATTTTACTCTCTTTAGTTTAGTGCGTTTTGTGTCGTCACTGGTGGTGCACCCAGAACTATTACTGGAGATCCCAAAAGACGCCATTACTTTTAATATCCTTGCATGCCGGTATTTCACAACTGCAGTACAGCTGTACTTAAAGTTCTTGTGCCAGTTTTATTCTTGGATGGACAGTGAGAACTAGTGGTAGTAGACACCAAGTAGATTGTTGGCTTTAAATAAATTTTATCGGTACATTAACCATAATGGTGTCAGAATATAAATGTTAGTAGTCATGCATGGTTATGCATCTAAACAGTATGTTATTAAACTATCAATAACAATTTAATTTTCAATTGTCGTTAGATCATTGATTAAAACACGCTGTAGTATATAATTTTTTGTAACGCATGAAATTTTACATTAAAAATGCAGTATAAAAGTTGTCAAAATACGATACGATATCCCTTTCTCCCTCCGTGATAATGTAGCTGTTTGTTTCAGATTCAACATGCAACAAAGCCAAGTGAAAGATACGTACCGCCAGCTCCTGACGGGTGATCCTCTTACCAAGAAACAGAGGCTGTTAGAGGGCAGTGACATCTCATCCAACATAATATTGGAGACGGCTGCCACTAATCATGAAGACGCCACAGTTCATTCTAACCCAGTTGCGATTTGGAAGAGTAAGCCACTGTCCATTTTAACCAAGCTCTAACTTGATACAGTGTATAGTCAAGACTCGGATATTTCAAGTACTGTACTGTAGTTAATTTATTTTTATTTTTTTGTTTTAGATTTTAAGTAAGGAACTGATTGTTAGTTCCAGTACGCTAGTTGTCATGATCTCAAGTAAGTAATTTAATATTTGTTAACGTTTAGGACTTTGAGGTTCCGGATTAAGGGACTCTCACTTACAGTATATGTTCGAACCTAACTATCACTAGGCTTCGGGCCCAGTTCCAAAAAGCCCCAATCCTTATGAGCTTCAATCCTAATTGCGAGGATTGGTACCCATTTCACTTGTCTTAGAATTAATGAGAGGCTGCGACCAGTGGAGATGGATGATACATCATACTGTACTGATAAAAGGAACCACCTGAAAACTAGCGCATCCAGCTTATTTTACCTGATGATTAAATACCCTCATTGCTACTTGACGTTAGGTTAAGTAATTTTTCATTAGGTTAGGTGAATGGTGGTTAATATTAGGTAAAATAAGCTTGGATCTAATCTTCAGGCGAACATAAAAAAATTTGGATTATTTTGTTTTTCTATTCGACTAATCTCAAGTTGTTTGCGATTTATAAATTGCTGTCTTGTTCTTGTAGGAGTTATCTTACCACTCTCACTTTATTATGTCAGGTCTGACATCAGATTTGCGTGTTCATTTTAGCACACCATTACCTTAATTTCAGTTACCTTGACCTAGCCGTTCCTCTCCTTTCCTTGCTTTCAGTACACCAAATTGTTCCCTTGCCTAAATTGCTTTATCTTTTCCGTTCTCTTGATTTCCTCTCACCAAGTTTATTGTTATACACCATTCATCGTATTTATAATTGTCTTGTTCATATATATATATATATATATATATATATATATATATATATATATATATATATATATATATATATATATATATATATATATTGTTCTTAATTGTTTACAGGCTGCAGTTCTCAGGTAGTAAACGAACTTGAGATAGCTAGCCAGGAATGGCTTAGCAGTTGGTGTCAACTGAATGAGGAAGAAAATGCTGCTATGAACCACATCCAGGATCTGTTCAAAACGTCCCAGGAAATAAACATCGGGTTCCGGCAACAGGTGTGTGTGTGTGTGTGTGTGTGTGTGTAGAGACAGGTGTTAAAATTTGCAACAAAAAAGAAAATACCGTACTGGAAAAGTGTATTAATAACTTTTGCCGAGAACTGCGATCAACACCAAAAGACATTGCCAAATTTGTTTTCAGTATATCTTAGTTTGATCGATATCTAAGGCCACAGACACGAGCTGGCGATCGAAGAGGATAAAATACACTGTACTGCAAAGTAAAATTATTTTGGTGCTTTCGAGATTTAGAAGTTCATATTTTCAATGTACAGTACTGTATACTTTTTGTCTAATTCTAATTTTATTACAAAGGTCATCAGTAACACGATTGCGATTTTTTTTCAGTTGGACAGCCTGCACAGCACTGTGGTGGATGTGGTATCGAATTTCAAGAAGAGCTAAAAAAAATTTTATGCTCATGTTTTCCTGAAGGCTGCCCCACATCGCCAGTAGCACGGAGAATCACTTACAGACATAAATTTTCTGTATTACTTATTTATTAGTTATGACACGGGAATATAATTTTTTTTTAATTCTTGCCTGTATATATGTGGAATTTTTTGTCTGTTTTGTAGACAGGTTTGTACCCAAATACTGATAGAGATTAATATGTTGGTTGCCTCTTTCAAGGATTATGACTAATTAATAGGCATTATTTTATCATACTTTCGTTTATCTACTGTGCATTAAAATTGCAGTACAGTACCAAAATTTTCATATATTCTCAAATTTCAATTAAATGTAAAAGGAATTTAGTACTTGGTATACGATGATTTCAGTAAACCTAATATGTCGTTTTCGCTATCCTACTGACTAGATTACGTCTTGCATTTACTACAGGCACTTAAAGCTGAAAATTAATGTATCATGTTTGTTAACGACTTGAGTCTGTGAAACAGCTGAAAAATTATGTTCATACTGCCGATGATACGAGACAATAAATTTCCTGTTTCAAATTCGAATAGTTTTAAAAAATTATGCTCTTAACATAAATAATGCATTGGAAGTTTATTTTACTTTTGAGTTTATATGAACATTAATCCTTGCTAAGATGAGAACTGTCAAAACTAAAGTACTGTATTTGACGACGACACGCACAGGCCAGACATAAACATTGAAGTGTTAACTAGTTCTTAGGGAAGTAAGGTACTGCATTCAGCTAAGCCACTACAGTGTATGAATACTCAAATTAAACATAAATCATATCAAACAGTAATTTATTATACAGTAATATATTGTTACGGTGTATAACAAACAGGTAATTAAAATACGTCTACAGTGTACCTACACCCACGAGTATTTAGCTACTACCCAATACAGCACGTGTATGCATGCAGCTGAATTGAATCTACAATATAATGGTAAGCATTTTTTATATCCTTGTAATATAATAGGCATACAGTGAATATTCACTTTTTAGCTGTGTTAGGTATGTAGGCACGATATAATTTTTTGTAGTCTATTGTAGGGTACACATCTTAATGACTGGATTAGAGCCATAAAATTGGGGAATTAAATAACTAGATACTTAACATAAGAGTGGAGGAAACTGCAGTGGGCCTATTGGCCCTTACTGGGCAGTCCCACTTACACCCAACCCCTATTGCTCATATATCCATCCAACCTATGTTTGAAGCTATTCAGTGTATTTGAGTTAATGATGATGTTTGGTAGCTTGTCCCATTCATTCACTACTCTATTTCCAAACCATTGTTTACCTGTTTTGCGCCTAAATCTAAATTTGTTTAATTTAAAACCATTGTTACGAGTTCGCTCCTGGTTGGATAGTTTGAGTGCCTCTGGTGCAGAAAAACTCAAAATTTGTAAGGGAGGAGTAGAGAAAAACAACTGAATTTACTTAGGAAACAACAAGTAGGTCTTGGCCTCTATTCTTCTCTTAATTCCTTGTTTCACTGGTAGTATTACTGTATTATCGTTTCGGTCATTCTGCAAAGTTTGGTAGGTTTGGTTTGGTTGCATTTGAGAAGCAGTGCCTTGACTGATTTTTACCATTTAGGTGAGGTTCCAAATATTTGGATGACCGAAAAGATAATTTTACCCTTTCACTAATATAAGTTACATAGTGGATACAGGAACAGCAGCTGTATGCCAAATATACTGAATATAGTTACAGTACAGCAGCCAAATTGATGGATGTGTTGTTGATGATTACTTGATTAGGGTTGGTTAGGTTATATTATGTAAGTCAGAAAGAAGTACGTCTTAGTAAATCATTGTACCGTATAGTCTCCCCACCACGTTTGTGCATTAGGCTACTGTACCAATAGACAATATTTCACATATGGCTGCTGTACCTGTATTCCGTGTCATTGAGTTAAGATAGAAAGTACCGTGAGCTCTGAGTTCTTTCTTTATCTCTTAAAGTTACATACCTTCCCTTGATGTCACTTCCCAAGTCTCCAATCATGTTTTCCCTGTATTGTTCTCTCCCTAGTTTCAATCTACGGTTCATACCGGTACTTGCCTTCAGTCCTATATACTTTACTTCCTCTGCTATTTTATTTGGTAAAGGTTAATTTTTTGTCGACCACAGAAACTACTAACAAAAACAGATTTTCCTAGTGTACTTTATGTTGTTTCAATCAAATCTGACCTTCAATTCTGTTGCAGTTGAGACAATATGGAAAATGACCCCCCCTCTCCCAATTACCAACAATATTAGTTGTTCAAGGTATAATTTCTGTACAGGTGTCCCTCGTTATCCAAATGGGTTAAGTTTCTTGAAAACCAGTTGGGAATAATAGTGTTCTGTTCCTCGATGAAAAGAAAACTCCAATATTACAGTATACGTAAAAAATTAATTTTATTCACTGACAACCAAAAAAACCTGCCTTACTACTGTAGTTTAGCATCTAACTACTGCAAAGTAATTGTTATACTAAAAATATACTGTACAATTGGTACATTAGCTACCTTACTGGAGAATGGTCAGGGCTCACCTTGGGGGGTGAGGAGGGGTGTACAGATTGAATTTTCTATTGGGCCATCTTTCAGATAGTGAAAAATAGGTGTAAGAATGCACTTATTGGATAGCAAACATTCGGATAACAAGGGATACCTGTACAAAATTTTGTGCTGTCACCAAAAGTAGCTGACAAAATAAATCGGCTAGACTTAACCTAACCTATCCAAACTACCTCAGGGATCTTAAAGAAGGTTGGATTTATGTAGGTCGTGACTGGCTTCGTATACTCAGAATCAGTCTCTTATGCTTAGTGATTACTACTTCAGTATTTTGTTTATTATTATTTTAGATTTAGGTACTTTACTGTATCTTTGTTAAATGCTCAAAATTCATGTACACATTTTTATGCAGAGTGAATTTAGCCTGCGACGACAAGCTAGGCTTCGTCGAGAATATCTTTACCGCAAAAGCATAGAGGATCGTCATGCAACCATGCAGCAAAGGAAGGAAAAGATCAAAGAATCTCTTCGAGGTAATTCACCACTACTGTTTTTACAAGTCTTTTATTTCCATTGGAATTACTGAATATTGTAAGTTTAATATTTCATTAGGACTTTGCAACATCAAGCATCCACAGTCTACAGGAGTGTCACTATTGTATGGGTAGGGGTTCCTAAGAGCAGTTGAAGAGTGTAAAGAAAAGAAAATGTGGCAATTTATGTAATGTAAATAATAATACAGTGCTGTACAAACAAGATGAACTACTGTACAATGACTGAGCAATGAAGTGGATACAAATTAATTAAGGTTGAGGCAGTAATTTAGTTACCAGTTAAGAGGAACACCTGAACTGGCCCATACATCACTTGAATTTGTGATTGACCAGCAGTCAGGCCCTCGTGCAAGAGTAAAACAAATAATAATATTTGTTGAAAGTGAAAATATTAAATAGGACAAATCTTAGAACAGCATTTTATCTATTAGAGCTCAGACATATAATATATCATGGGCATGCAGTATGAAAAGGGAGCTAAGGAAACCCTGAAGCTCTCTCTCTTCAATACAGTATTATGTTTTGTTCACTGTCTGAATATAATGTGATATACTACTTCCAGAGGGCAAAGAAATTCCCACTACCCTGCAGTCTAAAGCTCTGAAACTGATGGCTGATGGTGACTGGGATGACCCTGGGCCCCAGCTGGCAGTAGAACTGGGTGGAGAAGCAGCTGGTGGCTCAACGAATGTCGATGATGAGTACAGGTGGGCAGGAATAGACGACCCCAAGGTTGTCGTAACCACATCAAGAGACCCGTCGTCAAAACTCAAACAGTTTGCAAAGGTTTGTCCAAGTTTTATCTAGACTATATATATATATATATATATATATATATATATATATATATATATATATATATATATATATATATATATATATATATATATATATATATATATATATATATATATATATATATATATATATATATATATATATATATATATATATATATATATATATATATATATATATATATATATATATATATATATATATATATATATATATATATATATATATATATATATATATATATATATATATATATATATATATATATATATATACAGTATATATATATATATATATATTTTGAGGAGGCATTATCCCAGTCAATGCAATGCTTCCTCAATATTTCCTTGTAATTCAATTGACAGTAGGAACATAATAGAATCTAGTCTCATTAAACATACCGAAGCAGTCAACATGAATTTGAGTAATGGTATGTTCAAACTGGACAATTTTGTAATTAAGAAGATTTGTAACCAGGTGAGAAGCTTGGGTTCACCTTACCCTCTGACTTGACTACCGACCGTTGCAGTGTTTTTTAAAGATTAGTAGGGTCATTACCTAAATCCTGACCATTGTGGACCTGATCTCACCCTCCTCTGTATATATACACCTTGTTTTGTACTTCTTCTTAGTCTGTACTCACCCCTGAAGATGTGAGTTACACGAAAGCGCTTGGGAACTTCGTGTTTTCTTCTTTCCTTGTGGTTATCAGCATATCAGCATATACCTGGATCACGCGCAACTACAGTGATTTACTTGCATATATATATATATATATATATATATATATATATATATATATATATATATATATATATATATATATATATATATATATATATATCACTGTATATATGTGTTGATGGAATATTCATTCTACAGTTGAGAAAATTAGGCAAAACATATGCTTGACTTGAAAAAAGTGTTACTACTACACAAGAAAACATTTCAAAATAAATTTTGCCATGAGTAAAAAATTTACTAAATGTTACTGAGGAATGTGTTAGGGAGATTAAAAGATTAAAATATTTTTATTCTTTACAGGAGATAAAAATTTTGTTTCCCAACTCTCAACGTATAAATCGAGGTAACTACGAGAGCAAGCAACTTATAGACGCTTGCCGGGCAAATGAGGTCACAGACTTTGTTGTTCTCCATGAAACCAGGTCAGTTTACTGTTGTTGTTGTTGTTTTTGTATTAGATTTGTATTATAACAACTCATAACAATTTAACTTGTACAATAACCCAACCATCATGCATAAAGCATTGTTTATCTTAATCACTAGAAGGTATGGTATTGGTTATTGATATACATATACTTGATCATGACAGAGATGATGACTACAGTATAGTCTTCTGTTTATGTACAGTCCCCCAAAACTTATCTTAAGCCATGGAGTCTTTGTGATATGAGGCTTTCCAAGCAAAGTTACTCGACCTGTTTCAGGACAGTTTGTAGTTCTACATCCGCGACCTTTGATCGTGAATGAGTACATTTGTTTTCGAAAGATGTCATTCCTCCAAGGCTTCAGATCATATATTATAACATGACTTGTAGCGGATATCATAAATGGATACCAAATCCATTCCAGTCATCAATAGGATCTAACATCAAATGAAGTGAGGCATTATCGAGGAGACATCGCAAGGTGTTTGAGGCTCTATCATTGCCCTTCACAACGAGAGTATATGTAACGCTGAGATAGCATGGCGAACCCATAGTATCACAATGGGTTACGTGCCATGAAACAACTGGTGCCACACTGAAAATTACAACCACAAATATCTTACTAAAAGTGAACGGGGGTTGGTTTTGTTGCATGCAAGTCCTTTGATTTGAAACCTTATTTCGGTGTTAAACCAATACAATGTACAGTAGCTAAGTCAACTATCGGTGCTTACTTTGTGGGACACAATATGAGACCATGGGCGATAAATTTTGGTATATGAGGGCTGTCATTAGTCACACGTAAAATTTCGGAGCATATCGACCCCCACCTGCACATATACAGTCAGTCCTCGACTTATGACGGGGGTTAGGGACCGACAACCAAGTCGTAAGTCGAAGTGGTCGTAAGTCGAAAATGCAAAAATAATACATAGAAAATCTAAAATGGGTGTCTCTTTTTCTTCTCAGCACAACGAGAACTCTCACTTTTACGCTTGCCAGCCATTTTAAAAGGAATTACAAACAAAATTTTGTCAGTACACAGCGCGATCACTAACGTCGGGACCCGAAAATACGTAATTTGAAAAATATTTTATACGACTGCAGTGGTCGTAAGTTGAGGAGTACCTGTAGTTGTTTTAGCTACTGTACATATCAGTAACATGGCAGATCCCATGTGTACACTCAGTAAAAAAAAGTATCTTTCATGAGGGCTCTGATGAATTTTGAACTGAACAAACCACATGCAGGGCTACCAGTGTGAGGTATCCCTCGTGGGCGTTTATCAAAAACCTACGTTTGTGGTGTCATTTTGTTTCATACAAGATTTGTAAAGATATAGCTGTAGTTTTTTTTACCAAGTGTACATGGGATTGATATATTGTGTATTGCTGTAGCTGTTCACTCTAATATCAAGTACTGTTTGCTTATTCCCTCTTTATAAATCCTACACCATGAACAACATGAGTAGGCATATTGTGAAACTCAGTATGAATGAAACTCCATTAATACAACAATTTAATGGTGAAATGTGCTTTTTGAGGTCTTGGTCTCAGTTATGATGTTCCCAAATACTTCCATTTAATGTATATTTAAGTATACATATGCCTTGCTTCTACCCAGCACGATACATACATTAATGGATTTCTTGTTATATTAAAGTATCTAGTATGTCATACGAGGATGACCCCCTCCCTCAGCCCTACCCCCATCTCTAGCTGTTGCTGATATGGCAAACAGGCATACCAACTTATGATGATGCACTGAGCAACATATCAAAGCATTTTGTCCTGCGTTTCAGATTGCAGCAACAGATAATCTAACAATACACATACATTTTTTTAGGACTGTACATGTGCAATATGACCCTTAGCATGACTGGCCTAGCTGGCAATATTTTCATCCATTCAAGATAATTAGGTTTTGATTTGTGTAATTGGTTTAATGACTGCATCTATTATTCAATATATTCATTTAAATATTGAATTCAGTGGCCTAGGTTAGGTTTTGAGTATCTTGATTAAACTGTCTTCACACATTTATCACCAAGTGCTCTGTAAACTACCTCACATATTGGAAATTTATTTGCTACAGGCTTGTGTAGTTGTTATCAACTAGGCCCTCTACAAGTCTAACCACCCAGACCATGATTTAGTAGTACTGTATAATAAACCTTTATCATGAATGCACCTTTAGTTTTACCTCTTTGTGTTTCTCTTTTTGTTTGTTTTTCTTTTTTGGGCAATATTAGTGTAATTTAATTTTTCCACAGGGGCAATCCAGATGGATTGGTGATAAGTCATCTTCCCAATGGCCCAACAGCTTATTTCACCCTGGCAGACGTTGTGATGCGTCATGATATTCCTAACATTGGCACCATGTCGGAGCAGTACCCACACCTCATCTTCCATAACTTCAAGTCAAAATTGGGAACCCGGGTAAGGAAGCCATTACCCATACATCTAAGCATTAGCTTATGTGTAGTAGAAGTGTTACTCTTGTTATTGTGGTCATTTTAGTAGGGCAGTCACTATCCTTCATATCAGTGCTTATATGTCTGTTAACACCACTTTCATAAATACTGTAGTTTTAATATAAATGTATCTGTATTTATATTTCAGACTTTAAATATTCTCAAGTACCTGTTCCCAGTTCCAAAAGATGACAGTCAGAGAATAGTTTCATTCACCAACTGGGATGACTGGATCCTCTTCAGACAACACACTTTCAAGAAGGTTGATGGAGGGAAGGACTATGACCTTAAAGAGATTGGCCCGCGCTTCAGCATGAAATGTTAGTTGTATACTGTATTTATTATTTAGGCCTATGCTTCTGCATGTAACATTGGCCATTTAAAAGGTCAAGAAGCCAAAACTAAAGCCAAGGCTTTTTAAGACTGCACCCAATTTTAATGCCATTACTTATTATACATATAATATACTGTATTACCTTACATGTTGATGGGAATACTGTACATATGATATTCTAAGTTGTAGCAAGGCTTTTGGATATGCTGACTTTATTTTAAGCTGATTGTTCTTGGGGTAAGTTTTGACTCTGTCTATAAACTAAAAAACAGTTATTTACAGTAAAAACTAATCTTCATAAATTTTATTTTATTCATTACTCCCAAAAAATTGGTACTACTGAAAATCTACTAAATATACATACAGCTCCTCCCCGACTTATGATGGGGTTAGGGACCCAAATCCAGGTCATAAGTCGAAATGGTCGTAAGTCGGAAATAATACATAGAAAATCTAAAATGGGTGTCTCTTTTTCTTCTCAGCACCACAAACACTCACTTTTAAGCTTGCCAGCCATTTTAAAGTGAATTACAAACTAAAAAATTTTCTGTGTACTGACTTTGGGACTCGGAAATACGTAATTTGACCAAATTTTGGCACGACTGAGGCAGGTCGTAAGTCGGGGAGGAGCTGTACTGTAGTAATTTACAGTCACAAATCACATCACAAAGAAGCATTGCAACAAATCATCTTCAGATTTTCAAAGGTGCTGTCAGTCAGCCAATAGAAATAGGATGGGTGTGTTTGTGTGGGAAGTGAATGTATGTGTGGAGCTGAATATGGACCTTATTTTTTGTACAGAAGCAATTATCGCTTTAAAATATTGAGAAAGAGGTGTAAGAATAGAATTTTTGGATAAACGAAGCTTCACATAGTGAACATTGGTATAGCAAGGGATACCTGAACATTAGAATCACAGTTATCCAGCATCTATGGGGATTGAGAGGTGCCGGATGGAGTTTTTCTGATTACAGTAGTTGAAACTCACTCTTAGGATCCTCAATAAATCCTTCAATACACAGCTGACCTCACAAATTCGTGTCTCTGAAAAACGGACTTCTGTAACACGTACTCCACTCTATGTAAACAATGTAGCTTATAAATAAAGAAAATGTAATAAAAAACTACGAAATAAGAAAAATGAAGAGCATGAGTGTGTAGAATGTGTGGGAAGTAAACGTGGGCTATAACTATGTTGCTGACTCACCAGTCAGGCTGCTGTTTTGTGTTATTTGTATTGAAACTGTTGAAAAATCATTGCCATACCCTAATATGGCTTAGAAATAAATGAAATATAATATAACATAAGAAAAATGAAGAGTATGTGTGGGAAGTGAATGTGTATGGAGGTGGTTATAGCCAAGACCTTGGCTACAACTCGTAGCTGACTCACCAGCCTTGTATATTGTTACTTGTAATGAAACTAAAAATGTTGGTCAAAAAATCTACAATGATCTAATGTGGCTTAGAAATAAAGGAAATATAATATAAAATAAGAAAAATTAAGAACATGGGTGTGTATGAATGTGGAGGCAGTGCACTACATGTTCCCTCCCAATGTGACGTCATGGCATTCACACAGTGTAGAGCAGCAGCCACACGTCTGTGAGTCAACTTCTTGGAAGTGGGTTACGTCGCCCAAAGGATGGTTTGAGTGTGGAATGAACTATTTTTTGTACTAAATTTTGTGCTATTGTATTTTATATAATGCTATGTATTGATTTTATTGTGTATCATAGCAATAAATATGGCAGTTCATCCCAGTTGCACACGGTATTCAAACTTACGGTATATACTCGCTGATTTTGGAGGAATTTTTATTATTTCATTTTAGTACCAGTTAATTGAATCTTCTGGTTGCCTATATACCAGCAGATAACTGGGATTTTATGTACATGTATTTAGGAATAGAAAATATGGCTTTAATATTCAATTAACTCTTCTATTTTAAATGCCTCAATGTTTAACTTTTAATTTTTTTTTTCAGTGTTTCGTATTATTATGGGAACCATAGAGCAGGCTCGAGCAGCGGATACCGAATTTGTCCTTCGTCCTTACATGAACACAGCCAGAAAACGGAGGCTGCTATCAGATGATGATCCTTGGTAGTAGATTGATGAAAATAAGTGTACAGTATGACCAAACTGTCACACTCAGGGGAAAACCTGCATGCAGCCTCCCACAAGTTATGTTTTCACACCAGCAACTACAAAAGTATAGTACAGTAGTCTTGGTGTTCCTACACTTCTGTCTTGTAATCAGTTGGTCATTGGTGAGTAAGGTTTGGGAGGAATGCACAACCCATGATTTAGAGGAGCATAGTGATTGGCTACCCTTTTTTCTCTCCTTTATTCTATGTACACAAAATAAATGATTGTAATGTCTTTTGTAATCTTATTCTCTGGCAAGCAGCTGAAACCAAACTACACCAATTTAACTTTGGTGTTTGTCAAGAAACTGCTGATGGTGCAATGGAAGGTTATAATTAATTAATTTTACATCGCAATATTTAGTTATGATGAGGTAATCTCAGAATGGCACAACACGTAGTACCCACACGAGATGTGCGGGAGGCTCTGCCCCTCAGTCGGCGGGTCTTTCGTATGTCATGAGGTTGCAGGTAGTACTGGAGGGGCATTATTGTGTCGTGGTATGCACAAAGCCAGTCACTGATGTCATGGTCAAGGAGTAGAAACACCTGTGACAGACAACACTCATACATATACTGTACAACATCTGAGAAAAAAAAAGGCAGAAACTGGGTTGGGTCAATATTGTATAAAGGAAATACCTGTAATTCTTATTATATGTACTCTATTTTTCTGCAAGTGTATGTGTTTGGTTCCGTTTAGATGTTAGTGATAGTGACATTTTTTCCTTTGGTTTTTAAGATGTTTTATGTAAAAGAGTGATATAGTTTGGGGCTGCCTCTTATTCATTTAGAATTTAGTTAATGTTGCGCTGGATCACAGTACAGTCGGCCCTTAACATACGCGGGGGTTACGTAACAGAGATACCCGTGGATGTTAAAAATCCGCTTATATGTGCTGCCCCCCCCCCAAAACCCTGGCCCCCCATGTCCTTATTTACCGTATATACCTGTGTGTAGTTCAAGTTTTTAAGACCAAATTATTTGGCAAAAAATTGGGGGTCGACCTCTAAACGGGTAATAGTTTCGTTAGGTTGAAAAATATTTACTAGTAACCACCAGTAAACAATGGAAACGATGCACCAACACACCACCAGCTGTGAGTGTCGGTACAGTTGCTAGGGCAGATCTCTTGCGTCATTATAGCAAGCCCAAAGTAGCCAAATGCATGGTATGGTATGCACAGGACGATGTAAAACATAGAGTATTCATTTTTTAAAGTTTATTTATAGATACTGTACATAAATTTTTGTTCATTACATTTGAAACATCAATCTTTGTTAATTAAATTTGAAACAAAAGAAAACTACGATACCGTATTTCTAAATACCTGGTATTTTCATTAGAATATTACATCACAAGTATATTTTACCTTAACTGTGACTGAATGAATATAGGTATTCTCAGAAATAAATATGGAAATATAATATTTTTGCTGGAATGACGTACATATTACAGTGGAAAGACGAAAACAATGACTTTCGCTTTCTTTCGTTATTCAAAAGATTTTACCGTAATCGCTTTTCGAATGGTTTTCAGTTAAAAAACTGTTGTACTCATACTGTATTACAATAATATTCTATCCTATCATTAGCCTTATAATCCCACAACTGAAAACCATTCGAAAAGCGATTACGGTAACATCTTTTGAACGAAAGAAAAAGTCATTGCTTTCGTCACAATTTTATCCCACTTTCCACTGTAATACGTACATCATTTCAGCAAAAATATTACATTTCCATGTTCTCAGAAATAAATGGTAGTTTTGTTGTAACGTAATGTACAATATGTAATATTAAAATGCAAAATAGCTATAAAAACAATTAATACACCCGTAATGTACTGGCTGGCATCTCCACTCATTCCTGCTCCTGCGTCCAAGGTCACCACTCCTCCCAACTCGCTCCCTCCTCTACCTCCTCTGCCTCCTCCCCGTCACTACTGCCGACAACGAACATTAATGTTTTGTGAATAACTGCACCTCCACTTCCTATGTACAGTACTGAACTGTACTGTGCTGTGCATTTTTACAAACAATAAACATGGCAAGAAAAGCTATTAAAAAAAAAAAAAGATAAAAATTTCACTTTACTGTACAGTTCATATCCTCGGCGACAGGACAGGGGTCATCGGGCACATCGTCACTCAATTCCATAACGGGTGGTGAAGTGGGGGCGACGGTGGATTCAGCTGCTTCCTCACTGCCGCCAGTGATTGATGGTGTTAAATCTCTCCTTCGGTGATGGGGAGTTGTCGTCTCTTTCTTTCATTTCTTCCATGATGTTTTTGTATGGAGCGAAAACGTCATCCATCCCTCGCATGAATTTCAGGGCACGCACCATGGAGGGGTCCATACTATAGGCCAGGTTTTTCAGTGCCTCAATATTCCTGGTCATCTCCCCCAACTTCTCCAACGTTATTTCTTGGTGCTCTTCCTCATCCTCTTTCCCTTTCGCTTCCTCTTCCTTGCCTGAGTCTACTAACTCCTGTAGATCCTCCTCGGTCAGCTCAGTGTCGTGCTCTTCAATTAGCTCCCTAATCTCGTCCTCTGCCATGTCCCGGAAGCCTTCAGCAGCCACTTTCCTTGCCCGTGCCAGGGTCTTTCTGAATATTTTCATTAAAATCCATCAAAATCATTTTCCTTGTCATCGTCTTAAGCACCAAACAGCTCCTCCCAGTCTTCTCCTTGAACAGGGCTAGAGGGTATGTGTTTTACGAATCGTTTTCAATTAAAAAAATGTTACAGCACATGTATATTTTACCTAAACTGTGCCTGAATGAATATATTCTCAGAAATAAATAGTAGTTTTGCTGAAACGTGATGTATTTCAATGTAAAATAGAATAAAATACATGACGAAAGCAAAAGACTTTACCTAACCTTCCAATGTTCAAGAGATGTTACTGGTTTTTTTAATAGTTTTCAGTTAAAATACTGTTATATTACAATGATATTATATTCATACTGTGCTTGATATACTACATTCACGGAAATGTAATATTTTTGCTGAAATGACGTACGTATTACAGTGGAATGTGACGAAAACAATGACTTTCGCTTTCTTTCGTTCAAAAGATGTTACCGTAATCGCTTTTCGAATGGTTTTCAGTTAAAAAAACTGTTGCATCACAAGTGAATTAGGATAGAATATTATTGTAATACAACAGTTTTTAACTGAAAACCATTCGAAAAGCGATTACGGTAACATCTTTTGAACGAAAGAAAGCGAGTCATTGCTTTCGTCACTTTCCACTGTAATACGTACGTCATTTCAGCAAAATATTACATTTCCATATTCTCAGAAATAAATAGTAGTTTTGCTGAAACGTAATGCATTTCAATGTAAATTAGGATAAACTACATGAAAACAAAAGACTTTACCTAGCCTTCCGATGTTCAAGATATGTTACTCGTTTTTTTAGTAGTTTTCGGTTAAAATACTCTTATATTAGTGATATTCTATTCATACTGTGCTTGATATAATACATTCACGGAAATGTAATATTTTTGCAACTACAATGCTGATGTCAACACAAGCGTGGTTACAGCGAGACTGACTGAGTGAGGGAGAGCTGTGCGTGTGTGAGGTTGCGGGAGCAGGCGGTGTCCTGTGTTCAGTGCCACGCGCGAGTTGAATGGCGCGCAATTTGAATGTACTTCAATTACTTCAATGTACAGAATATTCCTCCGGCGGGGCAATCCGTGTATTATAAACCCACGTATGTTAAGGGCCGACTGTACTGTACCCGTAATTCATGAGAAGCTAAATAATCGAGATATGTAACTTTGCTAATTGAAAATAGATGACATACAGGTACAGTTAATCATAATAAAAATTATGAACTTCACCAGCATCACATTCACTTGTTTTCTCTGATGTAACTTCAGACAAAACAAGATGATTTTCATTTTCATCTTTGACACTTTTGGTACATTTTACCCGAAACAGAGATATTGATGTTTGAAAACCAGAAAAATTCTAAGCAGTAGCGAGAATTTTATTTTTTACTTAACGAGTTCAGACAAAAAAAGACAATTTTCTTCTATGACACTTTTCTCGGATGTTACCCATAACCGAGATAATACGTGGTTGATAGCACCAAACAAACATAGCTAACTTCCTAACAGGTGGGACCCCCCCCCCTCCCTCGGCATATTAAATATGTTCTAGGTTTCGCTAGGAAAACGTCATAGAAGAAAAGGGTCTTACTTTTGCAAAGAAAAATCCTGAGATTCGTTAGGTGGCAACAGATGCAATGCTGTAATGGCTTTTCTAGTTTTCCAATTTTTCAACTCCTGATTTGTTTTTCTTTTTCATGGCCTTTAATGTTCCTTCAGCATGGTAAATGAGAAGTGGTTCGAGTGCAAGAGGCGGCAGGAAAGATCCCCAACTTGTGTAACGCAACGCAAACCTCTTCAACTTCCATCGAGCTACAAATAACGTCAGTACCATTGGGCCTCCCTCATTGTCTTTTGATTACTCTATACACACACACACGCAAAGTACAGATCACATGGCTGCTGAGGAGTGAATATTACCTGAGTACATTTACATTCAGCCTGAATGTTTCAAGAGTTTATTATGATCAGTCAGCCGTTTTATAGAACTGTCCCTTCCCAAATGCAGTATCTCATCTAGCTCGGGAAGTTACTGATGTTGGCCATCATCAGATCTAGACTACTTACAGAATTTCATGTATTTAAGTAAAGAATCATCGGCTGGATAGTGTTAACCCATAGGTTCACCTGCCACCTATATACCGATGGATTTGCTATTAAGTAATGTGGGAGTTGAACGTATATTTTCACTTTACAAATGTGCAGCCACATACAAAATAAACTCAATCAGTTTATTATCTACCATCATAAGATTGAGAACAAGACTGCACTTGAATAACAACTGTTGCAAGGATTCCAAAGTTTCTCGGAAGATGCTGAGCTTATTTAATAACATGTACGCAACATTTCAAGTTCTGATGAAATCAACAGGCCATCAACTTTTTATGCATAAGAAGACAACAACAATGATTTGACGATATAATTGGAGTGGTTTTAGCAAATGGAGTTAAAAAAATTGAATACATTGGAGAAATTCCCAATAAGTATTATAATTATTTGGTAATTATTATTAAAAAAGTATATATATTTATATACTGTATATAGCAGTCCTTATAGTTATGATTTGGCATTTTAGGTAGACCATTTCATAAAAAATCAACATGGTGAGGATCATTCCCCCCAAGCCACTACTCATTTTCATTAATTATGCAAAGTGCTATTCAACCTTCATGGCTTCTGCACCATCACCAAGGCCTAGTAGGAGGGGAATGAAATTTAAATAAGTCTTCAAGAAAAGGTGGCATTTTAAGTGAATAAAAACATTTAAAGGAATATGTAAGCAAGTTAATCTTCAGTTGGTTCTCAAAGTGTTTACAGTACAGTACAATACAGGGGTATACAGCGTATATGCTGTAGTGCAGTGAGCACTCCTATCATGGGACACCAACCACATGACATAAGCTTGAATTATCCTCATCCTTCGCCTGCAACACTGGCAAGCGACAATTTTTATGAAAATTTTCCAATTCTGGTAGGTTATTTTGACCAATAAGTCGAGTATTGAGGTGGGAGGCAAGGGTTATGAAAACCGAAAGACTGGGAGGAAAGTGTCCCATTAACTCTAGGTAGTTCACTGTATTAGATCTAGGGTACAGCTGCAGTTTGTGTACACCATACATGAAATTTTTCAATATAATGGTTGAATTTAATACTACGACTTCAACAATAAACAACAAAGATATTGTGGTAATAGACCCATTCATCATGTGGTGTTCCTATAATTTAAACATTATATATTGAATGTTATAAGCTTTACAATTATCACCAATTTTTTTTGGCTCAAGTATGTTAACCGATTACCAAATGATGGCTCTCCATGTTCAGCAGTCTCTCATTAGTTTTGTTTCCGAGTTCATTTCTTACCTCACCCATGTTACTCTTGGCTTACCCCTCAATCTCCTCCCCTGCTTTTAAAATTGTGGATCTTGCAATCTAGTTAATCACCTCCATTCTCCCCACTTGCCCATACCATCTCGGCCTACCTCTATAAAACCTTGTCCATACTCTTGGTACCCAGTTATCCTCTTGGCTACGATTAGCATTTTCCGACACATTGCACATTCATCGCACTAGTGGTGTCTATATATTTCACTACATAACCATTAGCTCATGTTAACTTAAGAAACTCAAGTAGAAGCTGGATTAAGTATATATAATTTTATAATTGCTAATCAAACTGGTTAGCAATGAGTGGTTTCCTTTCCACAAGCTTCCACTAAGAATTTTCATCTGCACTCTCTCTGTATTTCTGTACTGTACTACCTCCAAATACTTTCAATCTTCTTCCAATTGCATAAGGTTAAATGTAAAAAAAAAATTCTTAAGTATTTTTAATAAATATGTAAATGCTTAAAACAACTTATGGATTCTAAAGGTTAAAAGTAAAGTCTACAAAACTCATTCACAAAGTGGCAGTGGTCTGATTATGTATGAATTTATTTAAGATGCTGATTGGGGCTGTTCCTTGGTTATTTCATCTGTTGCCTTCTTCATATCTTCTGCTGCCTTCTTCTTGATATCTTCCACAGGCCGACTCTTTGATGGAGATTCCTGTGGATATTTGTTTGGAAGTTGAATGACCACTTATTGCATAATTAAGAAGTTTAAATACTCAACTATTAATAGTATTGCTTATATTCTGTATACATTTCAATATCAAGAATACCTCAAACACAGAGTAAAGAAATTTTTCTCAACACAAAAATTCAGATTTGTATATCTGTGAACAACACAATACAAGTTTCAATAGTCTGTTCACTTAAGTTTTGCAACTGATGCTCAAGGTCAGTTTGTAGTAAGGCAGCCAATTGACTGGGGAAGCCAAAATTTGCATGGAAGATGCTCTGGTAACACAAAACTTAAAGAAAAAGATTACAAAATATCAGTGACACCTTCCACCTCGCTGCTTGCATCATGCTGCAAGTAGTTTGTCTCGGAATTTGTTCACATTTGTGTTCCCATTATGATATTTAGGTTACCAAAGCATCTCGCAAACTAATTTTTGGTTTCCAAAATGTGGAAATTATGACATCCAACACGTTATTATTATCCTTTAAACTTTCAAAATATAAATACTAAATAATAGTTGCAACTTTCCGTGTCCATCAGAGCCAATCAACTGCCTTGCTACAAACTGAACCACACTATCTAAAAAATTATATCCTGCATGACCTCTATGCACCATCTTTCCCATTCTATCCTTCGGCATATTGTGTCCAAACCACTTTGATAACCTTTACCCATAACCTTACGTAATTTAAACCCTCTGCCTGTCAATTATTCCCAATAAAGTACTTAACTTCCTTGACTACTCCATTAATCCAAACAGCAACTCTCAAATAACTTATTATCATACCCAGAATGTTAAAGTATGTGAAATACCCGCACTTCCATATCACTATTTTTTTAACCTACTGAAAGCAAGCAGTTCCATAACTTAACACCCTTACCTTTTTTTCATCTTCAGTTTCCATGCTATCTGGCTGTCCATTTGTACTCTTTGTTCCATTGGTTGTGGCAACTGCTTCACCATTCTCAACTTTAGCCTTCTTTATTTCTACTTTAGCTTCTTCCTCAGGCTTCCTCTGCTTGAAAAATAAAGGGATAAGCTAATCTTTTCAGCACTACAGGGTATTTGACTACAAAAGCTTTTTTCCCCAGTACCCAAAATAAAATAACCTGTAATAACACCATTCAACGAGAACAATGCTTAAATTCTACGAGTTCCAAATAATAAAATTGGCCTGGGTTGTACCCAAAAATTGAATTGAGTGTAGATTAAGAACCAAGGATATGAAGGATCCTGCAGTCAGGAGATACGACCCAAAATTATCCGAGGAACCGATTGAGGTAGCAGGGTTATAAGGGCATGCGCCATAATGTAGTGTAACAATATTAACCTCTAAGTTTGCCTAGATGTAAATCCTCAAATATTAAAGACTGTCAAAAACAGTAGTCAATGCTTCATTTTCACTTCCATTTCCATTACAGGATTGAAATGTGCAGGGGCTAAATTCCCCAATGACTTACCGTCATCCTTACGAGCAACCTTAAGACTGAACAGGGGATTCAACAACAGTTTATGACGCCCGTAACTGAACTTATCGTACAGCAAGTTACGATGACCTCCGAAAGGCAGAAAGAGGTTCTTGTACCTCCTGTTTTTCTACTATACAACCCATACCAAAACACACACAGCTGCCAGATGTATCGTACTTATAAGTTTCACTCGCAAGTGAAGATGGAACCAAGGATTGCTTTAGTTCATAACCATGCACTCTGCAGGGAAAGGGCATTTTGGGATCCATTGGACCCAGAACAAATCAGTGACCACCTACTGCTATGGTACTACATAGTTTCACACAAGGATATACAGTACTCTGGCAGCTATTGGTCAAGTGGCAAGGTCTCGTGCGGTCCCAAGACTCCCAATGCATACGCCTGTGCTAATAGCTTCAAGGTTTTTCGTAAGTAGAAGTTTCCCGAGTGTAGAAGATGTTCCTGGCTTAAGCCAATCAACAGTGTCAAGAATTATGAAGTGACATTAGCCCTTAAAATAATGGTAATAATAATAAATTAGTTTTATTATATTAGTATTATTATTACAATTAACAAAAATCTCATTGAAGAAATTCAGCTGCCCCTTCTCTGAAACACGTCCCTCCAATGTTCTTCTCACCTATGACTGCTTCAGCAGCTGGCATGGGTAACTTGTGATGGTTAATATTTCTTCAGTGTGTTTGTTCTGGGCACAGCAATTGGTTTAGCGAAGAAACAAATCAAATGCACAACTCTCAATGGCAGTAGCTTGCTAAACTTACTTGTGGCCCTGGTACAAACAGTTAGTGAATCATCTATTACCAAGACCGTATGGTCACAGTAACCTCTCGAAACAAGGGGAAAGAGGAGATCAAAGTTAAGGTCACGTTAGTGAATCTGAGCCCTGATCCAGAGAAAATGACCATCATTCAGAGATGATCTTTTAAACCTTAAAGGTCTAATGGTATTCTGGAGCTAACAACATAGTAAGGGTCTATTGGCGTCCCAGAAGCACTGTGTTTAAAATTTTCCTTAGTAGCTCAACTATTTTTGTGGTATTAGTGCATCCCCCAGGCTGAATCTTTGGTAAATAGTGCGTAAATAATCAGTATAACAGTCACCATGGTAGAAGAATGCGTGTTGACCTCTTGGGCTTACCCACTTGGAACCCTGGCTCTCAAGGCTAGTCACTACAAAGCACAGACTAACTTCACCCGAAATAAGTCGGCATTTATTTCAAAGGGAAGAATATTCCGAAAGTGAAACGGATGACCCAGACAGCGAGTGGGACACGCCAGCCCACCCACACTCAAAAGCTGTTGCATGACCCATGCCACAGGCTGCATCACCTCCCCAGCAACAGCCCTGGACTTGCTATTCCACAACAGCCTGCACTTCCTGCTAATAAACAGTGTAAGGGCCAACAAGCGAGTGGGAAGAGATGACTTTCCCCACATTAAAGTGCACCTATTTGAGCACTACAACCAGTACCAGCTAGTGATTTAGTGTGGCATAATTGCCAGATTTATGAACCAAATACTTCTGCAGAGCAAATGTGGATAACACCAGTTACTTTGATTATTTTTGTTCGTGGTCCACCACGACCGCCTTGCTGCATGAAACTACAAGACTTCATTATATTACGGCCATGCCAGTTCCAGAAGTACAAGGAAACAAAGCAAACAACAAAACAGGGCTCAGCTTCACTACAGGGTGTGTGCAGATAAGGAAACTTACAACAAATGCGCCAAATGTCAAGTGCCACTGTGCATTCAAGTTTCACTCGGTACCACTCTCAAACACTTCTAACCCAAAAGCAAGTGGTGAATATATTGTAGGTAGTGTAATTAAAAGGAACCTTCTGAAATTGTAAGAACAGAGAGATGGCAGTGCATCAACAACACGTCTGACAGTTTGCTACCAGATGCACATTAACTGCCAGAGGGGTGCCAAGGCACGACTAGTCACCAATAACCATAGGTGGTGAGTACAGCAATAATTATGTTTTTTTCTTTTGACTAACATGTATGTCTTAACATTTCATAAGACTAGAATGTACATTTTATGGTTTTCATTTTTTAGTCAACTGAAGGTTAGTTAGACCTTTAAGGGTCAACAGCTATGTTCCGTTATGATGCTCCCCGTCCACATCATACTAATACAGTACATACATACCTTCTTTCTGACCAAATGTGCAATTGGTTTTGCTTCCATTTTTGAAGAACTTGAACTAGGGGCATCAAATCCAAAGCCTGTCTGTGATGATCCAGCACCATCAGGCCCTGGTGTTCTGCCTCCAATTGCTTGAGCCATTAATACTGCCTAAAATTAATAATAAAATAATAGTCAAAACTTGCAGAACATAAATAATAATACCCTACAGATGGGACATACATCTAGACGGATGGATACTTTTTGTTCCAAGAACCATGGCACATCATTTGTAATGATACAATTTTATAGAGAAAAAAAAAAGGCAGTGTCAATTTCATACTATTTACCTCTTATATTCTCCTGCATTATGTGCTAACTGACCACTCAATATAACACCTTTTTCTTGTGTGGGGGGGGGGGGAAATTCCACTAGGCAAGTTGTACAAAATTGATTAAAAAAAATTTTGCCCAGAAAAGTTTCTATACCAATAGTCAGGCAGGTGATCCACTCCTTTATGGCCAAGTTACTACACCCCCCCCAGAAAGATGGAGGTTTTAACTTTTATGCCTTTTAGCCACTTCCTTACATTTTCTTAGTTGTTTTAATGAAATGGTTCAACATGGTAGTAAACTACTAATTTAAATACACTACAAAAACTATGGTTTACAATGTTCTAATTTTCAAAATAAATGAAGCTCACAGAAGAGCACGCTAGTAATGGCATAAATAAAAGTGATAACCTCCTACAGGAGTCTGATGGAACAAGTGCTCACATGTAGGTACAGTATACTCACCACAGCTTCAGAAGATGACTGGCAAAAGTTAGAAAACAGAAGATGTAATAAACATCATAATTTCACCAAGTGCAGGCGACTCTGTTTTAACACATCACACAGCGCTTTTCTCCCCAATATTTAGGACTTCAGTGAAATTAATATTTGGTTTTACATTAGTATCTCCATCTTTAATAGAATATATAGCAAAATAATGTTTATATACCATTATATCACTTGTAAATGTACATTAATCAAGTTTATACCTGTACTGATTACTAAATCAAAGTATGTCCACTAACCTTGGCAGTTTTCTGTAATTTTTCCTTAGAATCTTTCTTCATTTCCTCCATGTCTATTACCTTTTCTTTAATTTCAGGTAAAAGTTTATTTAACTCATCAATTTCTCCTTGTTCTGTGTAGAATGGATCTGGTCTCTCAACAGCTGCAATTAAAAAAAATACTTTCCAACATGAACACAATGCTGTTATAAGCTTGGCAACCTAAAAATCATGTTAGTATCCATTACTCCTGAGATATATCAAATTTTGAAAGAAAAAAATGCATACAGTACATGTAATCTCATTAGATTGTGTCAATTTTTGAATTGAAAACCTTCTGTAATAATAAATTTGTAATCCATAGGAACCAAAAATAATGGTCAATTAAACATGTTGATTAGGCCCATTCACTTGGGATAGGGGGAGGGGGGAGGAGGAGGAGTGTGGAAATGATTAAATGGGTCACCTGATGGTCACTGTACCATTATTGTCACTCAAAACTCTGCTCTAAAATTTCAGTGCATTCTGAAGGATACATTTTATTTTATATAAAGGCACTGTATATACAGTGGTCCCTCCATTAACGAGCAGTCAAATTTTCGAGATTTCCGTTTAACGAATTGACTCCCACAAGGATTTTCAGTTCTATTAGCGACAGCTTGGAAGGTTGAGGGCACATTAAAAAAAAGATAAGCAAAACTATCAACCCTGTGAGGCATTTGAAATGAATACTTGCAACTGAAGTCCATGTTAAAACACACTGTTGAATAACCCCAGGTGGCAAGGGAGAGAACAGCCCCTTGATTCTACATCCCCCTACAATTAATAAAGCAAATAAAGACAAATTGTAATGTCAACATACCAATATATATTCATTTGCGGCTTAAAGTATTAGGATTAGCAGAGACCACGATACATTCTGTAAAACTCGCTAGGATAAAGAGAGCAAAGAGGGGGTTTGAATGGCTCATCAATATGCATAACGGTGGCTGGGCTCGACAGGTGAACAAAACAAAGATCTATTGTTTGCTGCTGGTGGCCCTTAGGAATCCACCTATCAGGTGCACTGGGGGTCCACTTTCACCAACTTTGGTTGAAGAAACTATAGGGAGTTTACCACAATAAGCACTGTACCATCACTACATACACCAGAATTTTTTTTTGTATTCATATTCCTCCTATTTCCTTACCATCCTTTGTTCTTTGCTCTTCTGTCCATCCTTCCTTTTCTTTTTTCTTCTTCTTAAGGTTATCAATCCTCAGTTCAATTACCTTCAAGGCTGCCTGAAAGCTTTCAACAGCCTTGTCAAAATCATCTGAGAAAGAATGTGCCACACCCAACTGGTAATGAGTTTCTGCTATACATCTGTTGTCCTCCTCAAGAGATTTTTCCTGAAAATAGTATAATGACATCAAAGAACAAGAAAGTACCAAGAACAGTAGAAATACCCACACACTTGCTCATGCCTAAATATTGCATTCTCAGTTTACAAAGAATGGTGAATCTTTGTTTCACTGCCTTAACATTTAATGATAAATTTAATTGTGTTAAAGTCATCTAGTACAACAATACCAATAGTAGTACACTTCATTTTCTGAAGATTTCAGTCAATCATTATGTACATCTACAGAGCATGAACTCCGAGTAAAATATGAAGATAAAATGGAAACTGTTCTAGGAAAGGTATTCAATATAACCTAGTAAAAAATTTTAAAATAAAAAATACCACAAACCAACCTAAGTAATGGTAGAGCATGACTAGCATAGCTGTCCCTACTGTTCACTTTTGAATATTTCCATACTCCTTGACCCATCCTTTACAAAAAGGGGAGTAAAGAAATTGGATAGGCTTGCAACAGAATGCAGATCAGGAACACTGAAGCCTATTAAGTGCAGGACAGCAAAGACTTGTCAAAAGGCCAGAGACTAAGGCAGTAATTTCTAGTTTGGTTATGAAATTATAAAGTAAAACTGAAAGACTGAAGCAAAAGACAATCGTGGGAGAAGACACCAACCATCTGTATATCCTTGAATGTCCTCACAAGTCAAAAGAGCGATTACTTGCCCCACCAGTTGCATCTGGTACACAATATAGTCAGGTACCATAACCACTATCAATGAAGGTACCATAACCACTATCAAGTTTCATAAGTAAAAATCTTTAGGCATTTAAAAACACAAAAATGAAGTCAATTAAGGGCAAGTGTGTATGGCCCTAGTTCCAACCATCCTGTACCCCGAGGGAAAAAGTAATTACCCTGTAAAAGTAGTAACAGCAACTGCCAGCTCCTGTACATAAGAAACTAAGCTTACTTGTATCTTTAAACATTGTGTGAAGTCTTCAATACCCTGGACATAGTTCTCACTCTCCAAGCCAACTTCTCCCAACTTCAAGTACACCTGAGCTACCTTCTTTGTCATCTCAGGATTTGATTCTTCTTGTCTAAAAATAAATTTAAGATATTGAGTGATTAATCAAAAGTTGTACATTAAAGTTGATATTTTCACCCATTAACATCCCATTGCCAATAAATATCCTTAATATGGCAACAACCCACTGGTTAGTGCATGTGGAGGACCCCCTACCTTCTGTTTTATAAAGTTAAACTGTTTACCAAAAGCCTGGGAGCCATTTTCCAGCGGAGGCACAAGGAATATAAAAGTACAGTTTTTGCAATTCAACAACTATGAATTTACAATTCTTAGAATATAAACATTATCTTTTAAATGACATGCCCAAAAAATTTTCATTGAATTAGAAAAGCAAGGTTCAACCTAGACATTGCCTGAATTCTGCAATTCAACCAGAAAAAATCAATTCAATTCTGATAACTATGATTAAATTTGACACCCTCACTACTAAGACTTCAACCACTGACCATCCAGGTCACATTCTCACAATTAAGCATCACCTTAAGGTTAACAACCCTAGTTTATTTCACTATATTAACTACCCTTATGCTACATCCCCCAGGTAACATTACAGCATTTAATTAAGTGAAATAAAGTGAGGTTTACAAAGACTAGTCCCCTAAACTTACTTTTGGAAAATAACTTTGGCCAGCTCCAACATCTCCCAGGAAAGCTGCAAGTTGGACACCTCTTCTTCCTCCTCTTCAGTCTTCTCTCCTGAGGGAAGATGAAATTTTTAACACCATTTTACTAAGCCATAGGAGAAAAGCCCCCATGTTATTGGTTGCACTTCTCTTAAATGATACTTTAATCCCTTTCATGGCGATGTACAGTCCCAATTTTAATCTAAACGTGCCAATCAAGAGTTTTTATTTATATTCAAAACCGAGTTACATGCGAGTACAGCCCTTAGTAGGGGAAAATGTGCTTAACAGGTTTTAAAAATTTATAAGCTTGAGGATAAAGGCTCGTATAGGTTACCTTCACCTTCTTCCTGACTCTTGGCTTCATCTTTATTACCCTCTTCATCTTGAGATTCACCTTCCTGTGATTCACCATCCCCTTCCTCCTCCTCCTCATCGTCGTCGTCGTCATCATCTTCCTCTTCCTCTTCATCCTCAGTGCTTCCTTCTTCTGCAAATTGAAAAATGTGAGAAAGTAACTATTAGTAATATATTAATGCCAGGTAGTTTCAGATCACCAGAACAACCTCTGACAACTGAAAAGTAACCAAGCTTCCCTTGCATTACTGTTCTTAACTGCTGCCCTACTGTTATTCACCACCCCTAATTCCCCAAATATAATTATTCACTTTGTGATAAGCTTTTCAGCCTGACCCGATTTCAAAATCTTCTTGAACTCCACACAACACAGGAAAATGCAAATATGGCACCATCTTCATATAAAGTAACCTAAATAAATTTTTGATTGCCAGATTCATATAATTTATTGTATCCAAATATATTGGTACACAATTTCATCAAAACTACAGATTAGTTCAACATTAACACACAGAATACAACACCACAAGATCAAAATTTGTCAGCAGTTGAAGTTCATTTGTCTATCACCTAAGAAGGATTTTCCCTAGACCAATGTATCCTATTTAAGCAACAATACATCTGGATTTTCAGACAATTTACAAAACATTTTTCTCCAGTAACACCTGGAATTTTTTTTTATCAAAACTGAAGTAGACATGTGTGTGTTCTTGAACATTTATATCCCTCTGCTGTCAGACTGTAAACAAGTAAAAATTCTTGTCCCTAAACTTTCCCTTTCAACATCCCGGAATTTGGAAAAATCAGACATGCTTCAAAAGATGTCCTGGGAAAAAGCCCAATCAAGTAATTGCAAATTACTAGCACTACAGGAATTAAGATTATCAAAAAGAGGGTGGCCATAGCAAGGGCAGACCAGACCAATATTAGTTAAAAGATACATTTAATATACTTTTCCCCCCCACACACAAATGAAGTCCTGAAATTTATCTCGAGACAGAACAGTGTAGGACTGCAAGGTGCAATTTAGTTTTAGATACAGAATATATTAATACTACGTGATACAAAACTACTTTTCAGAGAGTAAGCCATTCATTACACTACCCGAGAGTAGTCCAAATTTGTTTTAAACTACTTCATTCTGCCAAATACTCCCCAAATCCCTTCACCAGAGGAGCAAGATGAAAATTTTACTACTGTAGTACCAAATCACTGATTCAATGCACATTTACACCAACTATCTTACTATTATTTTTGGTTGGCTCCTCTTTGCCGTTTTCATTTTGCTGATCCTTTTTTAACTTTCCATCTTCGGTGAGTTTCCCATTTACACCACCATCTTTTACGTCCTCCGTTTCCATTTTCGATTCCTGGTCCTCGTCTTCCGTTTTGAGTTTCTCCTTACCATCCTTGTTACCCTTCAAATCTATCTCCTTTTGTTCTGCATTTTCCTTTTTTTCATCCTCAGGATCAACAGAACCTTCCTTACCAGACTCTTTCACCTTTCCCTCCCCAACTTCCTTTTTCACCATTTCTTTAACAATCCTCTTTTCCTCCAACTTACTGTAGTTTTCTTCCAAAGCTCCACCAACGTCTTTAGAAACCTTTACCCACTCTTCCTCTAATAAATAAATAAAAGAATCCAAATAATAACCAAAGTTTTTCATTAGTACACTAATGTTACGGTCACATATATACAGTATATCATTTGCATTAACCCCCTTGACTTGGTACATGCACCACAAAAGACCCCATAAGGTGACCAGTGGGAAACCAAATCTGCCAAGAGCACATTTCCAGTGATTAAAAATACATTGGTGAGGAACCCTGTGTATTGTCAGTTCCAAGAAATAATCAAACTAGCTTTTTTAAGTCGAGAGCTAAAGGGCAAATACAATTCTCAGAGCCCTGACAAGTAAGGTTACAAATGATTATTACAGTACACCACCACCTGCACCCACCTAACACCATAGCTCTTCTGCATACATGGATGGTAGATTCTGTATTATAGTTCAAGAGGCTGAGAATGTGATAATTCCTATGACATGTCAAATAGTGAAATTCTATAATAAATTACAAATATAAAATTCATTACAGGGACTGGATCTTTTCAGATACAGGGGGGTACCAATATTTAGTAAAAAAGACTGCCGTTACTTAGCAATAGCGATATTTACAGTATAAATTAATAACTCCAACGAATACTACTGTACTAAGATCGCACTGCCAATAACTATATCCATCACGCATTTTTTCAAATCAACTAAAGGAAATTGGCAGTTTTTTCCATAAACTATATTGGTATACAGTATTATGCAATTTGCTATTGAAAATGACAAATGGATACCAAGACTAAACTAACCATTTCACTTAACTTCGGTTCTTTAAACACTAATTATATCACTGACTAACACTGCAATACAGCACAGTACGAGATTTTAGATTAATAATTTTAGAAACTAATTTTGTGTATTGCCTGCAGTATACAGTAATGTTTTAGCATATAAAAGTCCTTGCATCAATGGCACACCACGTACATAGAGCCAAGGGGGTCAAGATCTAACACTCAATAACCTATTACCTGTTGCCTTCTCTGAACTCTCCACCTGGGAATTATCCATGTCCTCTTCATCAGGTACTGAAAATAATAATCAATATGAAAGACCACTCAACTCTTATAAAATCTTAAAATAAATAAATAAAAATAAATAAATAAATAAAAATAAATTCTCCATAATTCGGGAAAGCTTTTTCTTCAAGTGCACTTACCTCCATCTAAGGCATTTCCCAAAACTCCACTCTCTATACGCGCAAGCTCTAGCAGGGCTCTACCATAGTGGAAATAAGCATCTCCACATTCTGGGGCAGTCTCTCCGTACTTTTCCGCAAGGAACCGACAAGCCTCCTGAAACATTAAAATGCAAAGTAACAAACCAACCTTTTCACAAATTTATTCATAAGAACATAAGAAAGTGGGATACTGCAGGAGGCCGACTGGCCCATACAGGGCAGATCCCTTTCACACCCATCCCAGCACTTCCATGTGCCTATCCAACTTCGTCTTGAAGCTCCCTAGCGTCCCCGATCCTACTATAGCACTCGGTAGCCTATTCCACATATCCACAACTCTATTACCAAACCAGTGCTTGCCTATATCAGTAGAGTAATATAAAACACACCAGCAACAAAGGTGACTGGCAACCAACATTTTATTCAAATAAAAGTCTCTTACTGATCCTAACCTCCATATTTATGACGGCATAGTATTAAAACCTGGTAGACATGCAGAACAAAATCAGCTCCCCCAAGGAGACTATATTTCCAGTTGCTAAAGTTAAAGCGGACCAGCAAGAGGAAACACCTTAACAGCATCAAGTAGCAAGTACTGTAACAACTTTACCATACATACAGTACTTCTATTTAAATTTCATGATGGCTGCCTCATTCGAGTTCCAAGTTTCAAACCTAAGAAGCCACCCACAGGTGAAGTTTATGATAATGAAATCATAAAAAGGTAAACCTAGACCATATGTTAATTCCAGTATTTAGCTATGTTCAGAGACTTCCACAAGTTCTGTACCTTCTGAGTGAGTTTATCTGTCATTTGAAAAGCCGATCAACAGACAAGTGATTGCAAGGGTATTTAAGTGTACAGTAGTTTTTAATGGCAAAAATTTAAATAAAGCTTTTCACACTACATACTGTACCTAAGACGTCCTGTATCAGTCACATTTCTTAAAGCTTTGATATAATGCAACTAAATAATCTGATGAAGATTAGCAACCCCACTTATTTCACCTGATGATTAAACACCCTAATACCAACTTAACCAGGCCCCCATTTAGCGGGAGTTCCTAATCTTCACGAGGATCCTGACTAAAGTAGTTACACAGTATTCCTTCACCAAAGACTTAAATCTGGGACCATGAAAACTTTTATACAAAGGCGTGCATTTACAATGCAGGTAGTCCCCAACTTACGACAGGGTTAGGGACCCAAATCCAGGTCGTAAGTCGAAAATGTGAAAATAATACATATAAAATCTAAAATGGGCGTCTTTTTCTTCTCAGCACCACAAAACTCGCACTTTTAAGCTTGCCAACCATTTTAAAGGGAATTACCAATGATTTTTTTTTCAGTACACAGCGCAATCACTAACGTCAGGACTCAAAAATACGCAATTTGAAAAAAAATTTTGGTACGACTAGGGCGGTTGTAAGTCGAGGAGTACTTGTACCTGCTATTACTGAACAGCTGAACAAGAATAAGTGCAAGATCTGTCTAATTTCTAATTTGTAGCCCAATCTTAAGAGGTTGGCCATTATTTCTTACCAGTATGTGCAACACAGGCATACTGAACTTGTCCAAGTCAAAGCCTTCAAATTTCTAGGACTTCTTACCTGCCAAGTACACCTTACCAGTACTAGCAGAGGATTATCTAAAACGTTTCACTGTTTATCAAAACTACTATAGTACCAATTACCAGGAGTAAATTGCAATGCTATAAATCATAATTTTTAATACTGCAATCAATTCAATAAGGACAACAAATACTTTCACACAAAGGTGATCTACAAAACTTTGGCTTTCTGCTCACCTGTAGAGAATTTACTGCAGATGGAATATCACCAACAACCAAGTGTCTTTTTCCTTGAGCAAAATGATTCAATGCAGCAGTTGCAGCATCACTGAAAAACAACAATCTTTTCAGTTTAAAAAAACAGAAAAAAAAATGGATCACCTGAAGAATCACCACCCCAGTTTATTTCAGCTGAAGATTAACCAAACTAACAGAACTTAACCCCATCCCCCCCCCCCCAAACAGTGTTTAATCTTTACATAAAATTCGTGGTGGTGGAGATTCTTCAGGTGATAAAAAAGATATGTTTTAACATCACGGATTGATTCCACAGTATACACTATAGTTCATTCGGCGCAGTAACACCGTAGAAGTTTAGTCATAGGTTAAGATTCAGTAGAGAAAACCCACAAAACTCTATATTGATTTGTATTTAATAGTGGTTCTGAATCTTTTTCACTCCATTCACTCCTTGGGGAACCTCCAAAATAATAACTGTAAAGTATAACTATACAGTACTGTACTACAGGTAAAACTATAATTTGACCATTACCATAATAAGATTTGAAGTTATCTCGCGAGCTATTTAGGTCAAAAAGAAATGAATGACAGCTAATTCTACCCTGCCAAGTTGAAATGCATAATAAAACAATATTTATTTCAGATTTCCTGAATTTTCTTAAAAATTTTTCCAACTTTACATAACCTGCCATGAACCTCCTGAAATAATGCCATGGACCCCAGTTTGAGAACCAATGGTACAGTAAACCCTCAGTATAATGGACCCCCTAAACCTATCGGACAAACCCTCAAGATAACAGATGTGCCTTATCCCCGAGGAGGAGTGTTTTGATAGTTCATCACTGCTTGTAGACGCTGTATTTCAGACAAATTTCTTCCCGAGCGGTGTCAAATGGCCAGTGCAAGAATGCCTACAGGTATAGTGTTCCACCCCTCACTGTACAAAATACACAGTGGAGCACAACAAGGGTGGTGTTTACGGCAGTGGTCCAGAGTTCAAACCGAGACAACGTGGCCTCTGACACTGTGCAAATTTTTTTTACTTTTAAAGTGAAATTGAAATGTCAATAACTACCGGTACCGACAAATATAGAAAATTGTGATGAAAACACATGTAGTTATTTTTCCTCTATCTCCCTAGATGCAAATCAATACAGAGCTTCATGGTTGTCCTCTACCAAATCTTTCTTTAACAGAGTTATGTGATGCCATATTCACCAATTGTCTTTCTTGGCGACATAATTTCATATTTTTCATTCTATCATCTGATACGTACAATTGCTCCAAAAAGCTTCTTTACAATTTTGTTTGACAATATGAAAACAGAGGAGGGATTCTGACAACCCTACCGAGACAAAATGAGTCCGTGTTAATTCTGATATTCATAGGCACCCTCCATGAAGATACTTTTTAGTGTACGTGTGCTGAACCCAATGTGAATTTTGAGGAAAAGTTACAAAAACAATTACCGGTAATCTTTCCAGATCAAGAGGAACTCTTGTTGTATAAATTTAGATTACGTTGTTCATGGTGGTGGCAGCGGTTACAGTCCAACTCGGCCCACATCCAACTCGGACCATCAAATACCAACTCAGACCATCTCGGATACCCAACTCGGACCACTTAGGTTAACGAACTCGGACTAAAAAGTAAAAGTAAAAGTTTACACATTTTGCATGAATGACAAAAGTACAATGATAAAAAGCACATAGATTGTAGGGGGGGGGGGGTTATTTGTTATTATTTATCTTTTCATTCCATCTTATTAATATATTAATGTACATATGTGGTAGAGGGGATCTTTTTTATTTAATTTTATAATGTCTATTTAGTTCACAACTAAGATCACTTTATCTGGAGACCTGACAACGACACCCTCACAAAATATGTTGACCTGATCGCGAGATCCGAGGTAGAGTTTTACAACTTAAATAAGGAGTTACTCAATGCACAAAGGCAGAACATACCATCCAGAAAACTCGGATCAAATAACAATGACCCCAAATAGATAAACAATTATTTAAAGAATATTATTGGAGTATAAATTGTGAAGTTTAACTCCGAGATTATTATAATTAGGGTTAAGACAGATACGAAAAGTGAAGAGGAATAATGAACTGAAGGTAGCAAGGGAGGCAAAGTTAAAACCCAAGGAATTCTTTCAAATGTATCAAACTAAAACAAGTCCTTAAAAATGGGTGTAGTACCAGAATCCTGGAAGATAGCAAATGTAATACCGACTTTCAAAAGGGAGATAGACCACTATCCTCTAACTACCGTCCAATCAGCTAAACATCAATTGCGGGCAAATAACTGGAAGCAATAATCAGCTGGAGAAGCACAAGTTGATCAATGATTCCCAACATGGCTTCACAAGCGGGCATTTATGTTTAACTTATCTATAAACATTCTTTTCAGCTGTTTTCGAATCAGTGGCAAGGGGCACGACTATGATGTGGTATATCTTGACTTTAGCAAAGTCTTTGACAGAGTCCCCCGCAAAAGACGAATAAGAAAAGTGGAGGCTCATGGAATTGGAGGAGATATTCTAAATTGGATTAGGGCGTGGTTACAGAACAGAAAACAGCGGGTGAGCATTAATTGCACTAAATCCGATTGGAGTAACATCACAAGTGGAGTACCCCAAGGCTCAGTACTTGGACCATTATTATCTATTATATACATAAACGACATAGATATCGGCGTAGACCGTAACACAAGTAAATTTGCCGAGGACACCAAAATAGGGCGTGTAATTAAATCTGACCAGGACTCCGCAAAACTACATGACGATTTAAACAAATTTTTCAAACGGTCTGAAAAAATGGCAGATGAAATTCAATGTAGACAAATGTAAAGCACTTAATCTAGGAGATGTAAACAGAGAAACCAGATATCAGATGAACAACAATGTTATAGAGAAATCCGAATGTGAGGAAGATTTAGGAGTAATGATAAGTAGGAATCTTAAGCCAAGTAAACAATGTGTATTTGCTCGAAACAAGGCTAATAAAGTAATTGGGTTCATGCAAAGGTGTGTTAGTTACAAATCTAAAGTGGTCATCCTGAAACTATATCTTACACTTGCGAGACCTCACTTGGATTATGCAGTTCAATTCTGGTAACCGTATTACAGAATGGATATAGAATCCCTAGAAAGAATTCAGAGGAGAATAACAAGACTAATCCCGGGCATCAGGAACCCCGAGTACAGAGACAGGTCAAAGCATCTTAATTTGCACTCCCTCGAGAGACTTAAAGAGTGGGGGGTGATTGAAGTGTATAATTGGAAATCAGGGCTAAACAAAGGGGACATAACAAAGGCACTCAAACTATCCAACCAGGAGCGAACTCTTAATGGTTTTAAATTTGACAAATTTAGATTTAGGCGCAAAATAGGTAAACATTGGATTGGAAAAAAGGTAGTGGATGAATGGAACGAGTTCCCAAACATCATTGACTCGAATACGTTGGATAGCTTCAAGCATAGGATGGATAAGAACATAAGGAGTCTGCAATAGGCCGGTTGGCCTGTGCATGGCAGCTCCTGTCGATAGTTACTACCACTCACTATCATCCATGAATCTATCCAGCCTCCTTTTGAAACTTTCCAGCATTCCAGCACTTACTACAAAGTTGCTAAGCTTGTCCCACTCGTCCACCACCCTATTTGTGAACCAGTTTCTTCCTATCTCCCTCCTAAACCTAAACTTATCCAACTTAAATCCTTTGCTCCGAGTCCTATCCTGCTCGAATATTATAAGAACTTTATCTATATCCCCTTTATTGATTCCTTTCACCCACTTAAATACTTCTATCATATCTCCCCGCACTCTTCGTCTTTCTAAGGAATGCAAGTTAAGTTTCTCAAACCTATCCTGATATGGAAGGTTTCCAAGTCCCGGAATCATTTTTGTCATTCTTCGCTGCACCGACTCTAGTGAATTTATATCCATTCTATAATAGGGGCACCAGAACTGAACCGCATAATCGAGGTGCGGCCTGACTAGCGCAAGATATAGTTGCAATAAGACCTCTGCACTCTTATTACTTACACTTCTAGATATAAAACCCAATACTCTGTTTGCCTTATTTCGAACATTAACACTGTTTTCTAGACCGTAGGTCCGGGCTTACAAGTACCCCTAGGTCTCTTTCAGTATATGAGCAATAGGGGTTGGGTGTAAATGGGACTGCCCAGTATGGGCCAATAGGACCGATGCAGTTTCCTCCATTCTTAGGTTCTTAATAACAGTGAGCTAACCGATAACGACGGAGAAATGAGCATTAATCTGAACAGGCATTTTTCAACAGTTATCACCACCGGAAATTTAAACAGAAGACATTCATTCCCAAGTAGGGTTGTCAATAACTGGAGACGGTGGAAAAGTTTTAAGCAAAATTAGATACTGGAAAAATCAAGAACAAGTACATAATTATAGGGCACAAATATCCGCCACACGCAGCCATTGTCCGAGTAGAGAAGAGGCTATTGAGCTGGAGTCACAGGCGTGAGCCTCTTCCAGAAGATCATCTGCAAGTATGATACCCGAGGCGAGATAGTAGCGACTAGTAACTAGGATAGTAAGCAAATAGACTAGCTAAAGCTTAATTAGTCACCAGGTCCTGACGAGATATTTGACAGAGTAATAAAGGAATGTAAGGAAAAGCTTAGTATGCCATTAGGAAATGTGATACCGATTTTCAAGAAGGGAAGATAGATCACTATCCTTTAACTACGGTCCAATCAGTTTAACATCAATTGTACGCAAATTGCTGGAAGCAATAATTTCAAACCCTATTCTAAATCACCTGGAGATGCACAAGTTACGAATGTGAATCATGGTTCATCGATCAAGTTCTACTAACAAACTCAGAAAATTGGTCCTTCACGACATTAAACCCTCGGTATTCACTCACTCTTATTTGTGAACCAAGAGACATAAAACATATCTCGAGTCATCTACTTGTTTGAAGCGTGCAAGGTGGGCCAAGTTAGTAATGTGTGGGCCCAGTTGGTTATTTAAGATGGGCCGAGTTGGAGGTACATCGTGGCAGCTAAGGTAAGCTACATCTGGACCCTTATGTATACAGTACAAAGTACATTACAATATTCAGTACAGCAAATTGTTTATGAAATTTTGAAGAATGACAAGATTAATCGTTCAGGAAGAACCAGTTGTTTCCTCTTACTGTCCATTACATACAAGTTTCACCTACCGGAACATTTAACCATTCCTGTGAACGATTTCATCCACTATTGTGAACCAAATTATTTGGTTTACACATGTACACGATGTCCCTACCTACACGTTAACGAGATAATTAACTAATCAGGCACGATCATTACACACACCTGTTACGCGTATTCTTATTAGCTCTTGCGTACTGTGCTTATAAGACATGGTTAACGGACTTCCAGTCAGCAGCACACAAAGCAACACACTAGGCTGCTACCAACACTCACATTTCCTTCTTAGAGGGCGAGCTCTTCGGGCTGGATGTCCCTCCTGTCTTCTGCAGAGACTCTGACATTCTAAAAATCACGAGTGCTCACAGTAGTCTTCCAACAGTCGATAAAAGAGGTTATTACAGCCACCAGGTATGTCACGGACCACCACCAACTGGCGAGGACTCCCGGCACGACTCCTCTTAACACTTTTTCCCGCGTAAGCAGCCATTGTTGCCGTGACGTCATAGTGTCCACTACATTATTGTGGTCTTTATATCTCAAATTATGGTTTATATAATGGTTTTATTTTTATGTTTTTACATACATAACTAAATTTTTAAAAATACAGCATAATTACCTTTAAATTATGAGAAAACCGGCAAAATTATTAACCATCATAGAAAATGAGTAATAGTGTGTATGAGTAACATAAATATTTTTACTTTTGACTTCATAAGATAAAAAAAATATCTAAAACCTTGCAGTTATATGCTAAAGTCTTTGTTTTAATGATAAAGATGATGATTATAATTTTATAAGGGCTTTTAACTGGATAGATATTAATTAAGAATGTTAATGCCATAAACAAGAATTAAAACTTATTCAGTTCAATCGTATGTAGACAACCATCAGCTAGAGTGAGTGAAACTAAAATAATCAAGAAAAATGCAAATAAATGAAAGAGTTTGCATTTGTTTCCTTAGATTCGTCCTCAAATATTTTGCTACAAGGAAAATGTAGCGCAAGAACCCCTGACAAGGTAGATAAACTAACACATCTATTCAGTAAAATCTCTTTGGTTCCTGCCCTAGTGCAATGTTGTGCTTGTCATAACTGTGGTCATAAATTAATTTATGTATTTTGTGGATTCACTGTTATCTCAAACCCAAATAAGTACTCCGGTAAAATTTAGCCATTCGTAGCCTCCTAGTAGGCTATTACTAGTAGGCTATCCTTGGTCGACCTTACCTAATGGACCCCATGTTGAGGGAATGTTATTTGCACTACAGTTTATTAACCGGCACACCTATTTTTACTTTATCAGGGGCGGTTTTACTATACAGTATTTGGGTTCTGGAACTAATTAAAATTTGGCGGACTCGTTTCTATACTTGAGAAACAAATATAAAAGAACCATAGCACGGTTTATTTTGCCGTTTGTTAAAACAAAAGTATAAGTAAAATTTAATTAAGAGTCTGCAGAACGTTAAATAGAACTGCAAAATTTGTTTTTCTGTGTACTGTCATATCTAATCAGCAATTTAATTTATCTTACCAAGAATAATATAATATTGTAAATCCATACAAATCTATTATGATCAACTATCTAAATTGCTGATACTTATCACCATTAGTTTATCAACACTTTTGTTGATATGAATTTGGCGCTAAAATGGTGCGCGTGCGCGGACGGGCGGGGGTGAGCGGCCTCCACCAATCAGAGGCCGAGGACGGGCGGGGGTGAGCGGCCTCCACCAATCAGAGGCCGAGGACGGCAGCAAAACGCGTGAACGGCACACCATGGTGCACAGTATAAAAATGACGATGGCAGGGGCAGCTGATCCTGGAATAAAAGTACGAATTTTTATTGCTCCTGTTGTCAGAATAGACAAAGTTTCATTACTATTCGTTGTGTTATTCTGTGGAAGTATCGTGACCACTGTGGTGTTGGTATGTGGTAGAGAGTTGTTCAATTACCGAAATTAACGGGAAAAGTTCATTGTTTACTGCAGTTAAGGCGGGGACATATAGCGTGTATATTATCTATGTGCACTTGAGGTGCATGTGTGGAGATGGCCAAGATGGGGAAACACTGTGATGAATCCTAGAAAATTTACATTATTAAACAGACCTATGTAGCAGCAGAAATGTCAAGCAGGTGAGCATAAACAAGTGAAAAACGTTAGCGTGAGGAATGTTTGAGGGGCGGCCTTGACCACCCTACACAACCCTTTCATTTTTAATACACTTTCAACCACAGGAATCCATATGTTATGTTGGTAATCACTTGCGTTACTCTTAATATTCCCGTAAATCTACTCTTGATAAATTAACTCCCAAAACTCATTAACTAACAATAGCTTCAATCCCTGGTGTCTTATTCTGGGTGAATTGGTATGAAGTTTAAAGAAATTTCAAAGTGAAAGATTGCCAATTGTCTTGCCAGACTGCCCTTATAACAACCATAAAGCTTTATATTAATTTAAGAACATTGGTGTTGTGAGGAGAAAGTAAGAACATGAAACATTGCCTGAGGGTGGAAGGCCATAGCATGGTCCAGTCAGCTGAGTGATTATCATGTACTCATAACACCTCATTACGTCATGTTAAATGTCATGCATCACTCCCCATGTACACTGTATTATGACACTGGGAACAACAACTGGACAAATAGTAGGAGAGGAGTGTTGTCAGGAGTGGATTTTTATGTGACCTAAATTCTTTGTGAATGGCCTGAGGGTGACTCTATGGTAACAGCACCAGAAGAGGATATAGTAACAGTGTGTGGTATAAAGAACTCCCCACACTGTGAATAAAGTCATTTGTTTTGTATTGGTTGATGGGCTGAGAAAAAGTACAGCATCTGTCACTCCTAACATTGTTGACATGTGGGTGTGATTGCTTTGTGTAAGAAACTAAATACTTGTACATAGATGTTAAATATTCCATAATGACCATTTACAGAGCATTATATTGATTCTTATGTAGGGATATAGATCAAAGAAAAAGTAATAATTTATAGCATTTCGGTTTTTTTATATTTTTTTATTTTTGTTTTACTTCTTGGTTTCACTCAAAGAAATGTAATTTTGATCAGGCAAAGTGGGCTGAGCTTTGAAGTACAGGGAAATTATGGAGTAAAAAAACCCCCAAAACATTCTAAAACAAACCTAATAAGTCAAATATCAGTATACGAGTACATGTTTAGCTTAACCTAACCAGAGAAAGGCCCCCCCCTCCCCCCAAGTGTGTAAACCTAACCCCCCAAAAAGGTGGATAATTATTTACGACTAAACAGTATTATCGTGTTGGTCATCCAGTGAGGTTAGTTTAGGTTGAAATTGTTTTCCCTATGTTTTTTGATGTTTTGAACGATTCTGACCATTTCAAATAGGTGGATGACCGAAACGATAATTTTACCGAGAAACGGCAAATATTGACGACTACACTGCCAATGCATTACAGTATTTGTTTTGATGTTTATATTACTATATTTTCATCAGTGAGTTGATAGATGATAATTTTTGGGGGGGTTTGGTTAGTTTAGTTTAAGGTTAGGCTAGGCTAAGCTAAGCTAAGCTAAGTTGAACTTTTAAATCAACACTTTTTAACACATTTGCCACAACTATGACAGCATCCACTGTAAAACACAGTGAAATTGTGGCATTGCAAAATTATTTTTCTATGAAAATTCAGCGGCTGTTTAGTCGTCAATAATTACCGAAAAAACAAAGGAACCTAAAGAAACAAAACCTGAAAACGTGAGTATGGTGACATATACAATTATCACATGACATCGACAACTTCTGCTGATTGAATAAGAAAGAAGTAAACACTGCAGTATATTCAGTAAACTTGTACAGTACAGTACTCTCTTAAGTGAAAATTAAAAGTATAAATTTCTGATGGAAATGCTATAAAGTAAAATTGTATTTTTTTGCTCTTATCTCTATATAAGAATCAATGTAAAGTTCCGTGAATGATTAGTATAGAATACTGTACTATAAATCAAATACAGTACAGTCGACCTATACAGTATAGGGTATTTATGGGTTAAATTTAAGTAAGAGTAGATTGTAGTGTTTGGCTCGTCATTGATTTATACAAGTGGTTGGTGTTCATAAGCCAGATAGGATATATAAAGCATCTTAATGTGACACAACTTAACCTCTTCACTAATGGGACAACACTTAATATTCCATTTGGCTAACGCTAGATGATTTTATACAGCTCGGAGGGGAGCCCGCACATAAGGGGTTAACTGGTAAGGGATATTATTAGACTGAATAATCTAGTGTATCAATACCCTGAGGATGTTAAAGGTTCAGTGTTGTATCTCGCCTGACTTATTGTATTTGATGGTGACCTTATTATTGTGGTTTAGTTTTAATGCATAAACTGAAAATCTAGTGAGGTGGAAATTTGTAGGAAGCATTTACAGTGCTGTACAGTATACAGTACAGGTCATGTCACACATACAAGCCCACAAGTAGTTTCATTCACCCATTAAAGGTAATTGAAATATTTACAAAATAATGAACCTAATCTAACCTCATTTATAATTTGCTTTTCTTGGATAGTGTAATGATTTTTTCTCATGCTAAAATGTTCTATTTATCAAGTTTCATTGACATCTGTTACTGAAGATGTAATGTTGGTAAAGGCGTATTATACAATATACTCACATGCTTAATAATGGTGTTTGTTCTTTGGGATTTTTACCCCCGAAAATTATTTTAATGCATAGATTGTAAATGCAATGAGGAAGCGAGGAAAAACCTGTTTAGATGTTACTTAGGGGGCAAACGAAAAATCTCTGTTCCTTTGGCATTACTAGTACAGTACTGTACAGTATGCCTTTCAGCACTGGTCTTGTCCAGCTGTATCCATTTTTATTCTTGTTAATTAAATTCATAATTTCTTCATTTATTATATATCTCCTATTTTCAATCCCATAATTAGAGTAGTGTCATTATTTCTTGATGGTATAGTACTGTATTAATAAAACATCACTGGCCACACTAATTGGTCATTTCAGGGATTCAAAGGTGGTATGGTTCTGTTTTGGAGCCTGTATGTGTCAAGATGATACAGTACTTACGTTGTGTATAAATATCTCTCATCTCATGCATATACGTACAGTACAGTACTGTATGACAGTTCAGGGGCTCAGAGTTGGCATGATACTTATTTTTGAGTAACTGATGCATTGCTGTTTTACTTAAACATGAAGTACTGTATAGTCTTTGTAGAAGCTCTTCGTTGTATATTTTTTCTCAGTGAATTATTATGAAGCCAAATTTATGATTTATAGAGTATCAGTTAACATTCGGATATCAATTTTTTTAGGTACAGTATTGTACAGTAATAATTTTGCAAAAAAATTAATAATCCAGCCCCATATGCTTATTAATAATGTACATTAAATAACTTACTTCAGATTGGACCGACTCTTCTTGCTGTTGGAGAATGGAGGATCGGGCGTCACTCGTCAAGCAGCAGCACAGCAGTTGGGTGAAGTTGTGCGTCTCCACCCGCATGAGCTTAATTCCCTTATTAATCGTGTTCATGTGTACCTCAGCTCAAAGTCATGGGACGTTAGGATTGCTGCTGGACTCGCAGTTGAGGCCATTGTTAGCAATGTTCCTCAGTGGAATCCTCAGCCTCTGCAGGTTGAACGAGGTATGTTTGCATTTTGTTACCTTGTGCTTTTTACTTTACTACTACAGGTAGTATATCTTATTTTAGAGTTTGCGTTCAGTTTGATGTGTATCACTATGGTATCGCTATATATACTGTACTGTATGTTATTTGAAAGTTGAATTTTTCATATTAAATTTATGTTGTTTCAGGTGTCTCGGAGGAAGATTGTGTTAAACCGTCGAGTGGTAGATTATCCCTTGGGACATTCAATATCAGCCATGTTCTCCAAAAAGGATCATATCTCATGGCAGCAGATGAAAAGCTTTTTGAGGCAGAGGATGAAAATATGCGTAAGTTTTTTATTCAATATTATTTTGATAGAAGTCCCTTCTCATAAAAAAATGGTAATGTACCCTTGATCAGTACATACAGTACTATTTAGATGATTATAACTATGATTGCATTGTGCTGAACTATATGTATTTATTTATCACTAGCGCTGAATCCAGCGGACCGACTTGCTTGTCAGCGCCGTCTTGTGAACCAGAGACTTGGTCTGGATATTGCTGAGGCAATGGGAATAGACACTGAAGGTATCTTTACCAATGATGACCTGGCTGAGTCTCCAGTGGAAGGGACCTTAATCAATGGCCAAGGAAAGGTATGAGTACACTAAAAACTTTTTGAGAGGTTTGGGTGATGATTATCTTTGAAAAAATTGTAACAAATTGCTAAAGATTGAGAGCTGTCTGTAAAATCTGTTTCTTTGTTTTCATTGTATTTTTTATTGTTATTTTTTTAATTTCTGTACGCTGTACTGTAGTATACGCTGGATGCTAAATTTTTAAACAAAGATATTATGAAGAGTAAGTAGCCAGTGTTGATTGACTAAGTCAACTGAAGAATTTGTATGTTTATAGAATATTATATTTACTAAATTATTACTGTATAGAAGAGTTGTCAAGGGAATTTCTAGTTGTCAGATTATGTATACAGTACAGTACATACATACCGGTATGTCATAAGCAATATTATTTTTTTGTATGTACAATATATCTTTTGATATTAATACATTAACCTCAAATTTTGCAGGAAAATGTTATGAACATTGTCAAGAAGGAAATTAAATCTGCTGAATTGGCTTTGAGTTCAAGGGAGTTGAATCGGGCTCGAAGGAAAGCTAAACTGTTAGCCAAACAGAAATCAGTTGATGTATCGGAATGTGTAAGTACTGCTCTGATGTTTTGTTCCCAACTCTAGTTAAGAGCCACTTTTACTTGGGTCTAATTTATTTCACTTTTAAGACTAACCCCTATAATGCTAACATAACCTAACCTAAGCTTGCCTCCCAGGTAGCTTTAGGGCGATTAATCATCAGGTGAAACAAGTTGGAGCTTAGCTTCAGGTGATCCAGACTAATAAAAGACTCTTGTTTGCTAGTCCATTCATCTGAGGCTAATAATATTTATCTTGGGCTAAAAAAATATTCACCTGAGAGTAATAAAAATTGTACCTGGAGCCAGTAAGAGACATATCTGTGCTAACCTTCCAAGTGAGGCCGATAAAATTTACCTGGAGTCCAGTTAGTTGATAAGAAATCTACCCAAACTGAAAATTTTAAGACAACCCCAAAAAAGATAAACATAGCACAAAGAAACGAGAGATAGGAAATGGTGTTTCCTGCCTCACACATCTGGAAGGAATTCCCACGTCTTTTTTTAAAGATGTATCTATGAGTAACAATTTAATATTTTCCGTCACTGCAATTGGAAATGCTTTGAAATGATCCCCAGTGCATCATCATAAATTGGTATGCCTGTTTGCCAAAATCAGCAACAGCTAGAGTTGGGGGAGGGAGTCATCCTTGTATGACATACCAGATACTTCAGTATATCAAGAAATCCTTTAAGCTATACTAATGTATTTATTGTTCAAAACTACAAACTCCTTCATGCTCAAAGGTCACTGATGTAGGACTACCAATAGTTCAGAAACAGGTTGAGTAAAATTGCTCGGGAAACCTTGAATCACATTGATCCCATGGCTAACGATATTTTTTGGGGGACTGTACATACAGTACATATATTTCTTTAATACTTCCTGATGATTTTTAATTCTAGTTGAAGAAAAGTTAATTTTGAATACCTGTACTGTATAGAAAGTAACAGTATGCTTAAAGTGGAAGATGGTAAGAATTTTCTTACTTGCCAGCATACCAGCTGCTTGCTGTTATACACATAGCAATGTTCTCTGTTACAACCTAAATTTTTTCCCTGAGAACTTTGTAGACTTTAACCTGGGAGTTGACATCTTGCTTCTGTAGTAAGAAGGTCTCCCAGTTTCTCTGCTTTTTGTTTCAAAGCAGTCACCTTGTCTCTCAAGCTGTAATATCCTTTTGGCCAGAGGAGGTATCACTGGTTTACCATTAAAAAACTAATAGAATTGTTGAATCAAATGGCCAAGACTGGTGATAACAAAGCTCATGTTTGTTCATCATGTGTAATGTGAATGATGGGTAAACACATCACTATATACAGTGGTTCACTGTAAACGAAAACAATAAATTTTGGGATTTAAATTTTTTTTTTGAGACCACTTCCTAACCACTTGTTTCCCATAAGAAGTTGGCTGAATCATTTTGAACTGAATTGGTATTTCTTTGGTACTTTGATCTTGAGAACATTCCAGGATCATGGTACAGTACAGAGTGAATCCTTAACTTCTATATTAAATCTCAACACCATATATTACTAAAGAATTTTGGTTATTAGGGACAGTGCACGCTGATGGTAATGTGTTAAAGTGTGGCATTGGATCTACAGGTAACTGATGAAGGTCCGGAGAAGAAACGTATGCGTGTTGCTAGTATGGTGAACCAAGACCCAGCTGGCAGTGATGATGATGAACGGATGGTTGTGGATGAGGGACCACTGGGTCTCAACCTCGGGGAGGAGGTAAGATTTCATTCTTTACTTTTTAAGTGAACTCTTAATTGCACATAATTTTTTGTACCTCTGGGGGACATAATGCTTGTCAGTTCATAATGCAATATGTTGTCTCTGCTCAGTAATTTGAGAATGTACAATACTTACACTACTGTACTGGTATCCCTTGTTTAACACCAGTTCACTTAACTTTAATTCAGTTTAGCAGTAGAAAAATTATGACACCCTTTCTCACTTAACATTAGGTAAAAAATTTGGTTTAGTGATAGCTTCACTCACTGGGAATGGGAAAAACTATGGGTATGTGACCTGTGAGATAGCATGTTGTCATTGTTACATGTAATGAGACGATTAAAGTTGTGGAAAAATCATTACTGTGCAATACTAATGTGGCTTATAAAAATAAACAAACTATATAATAAGAATAATGAAGTGCATGGGTGTGTGTGTGTGAAGTGAACATATGTGTGGAGGCAGTGGGCTATAACTGGATTTAGTCATTTCTTGCTGACCTCCATTAACTCCATTCTTGTGAAAATCTTGGTAAGCTATGTCCCAGCCTAATCTAACCCCTGTACTAATGGGATTCTTATCCTAATGGTTAGGTTGGCTTTATTATGACTGTGTCCCATTTGAGCTTTCCTTGGTAATATGATCATTATCTATTATATTGTATTTTTTTTAATACCTTCAGTACATGCAGTTAGTGAATCCTGTACTTTATATTTTCTTGTTTGAAAATTTGATATGTGTATGGAGTTGGTTGAAATCTTTAAATTGTGTAATTGCTTAGTTTAATAGGTATTAGGTATGATTCTGTTTTCTCCGTTAAGTTGCTGCTGAGGTCCTTGTATTTAGACCTGTACATGCTATATTATCTGGCAGGGATGTGAATGGCCCTTGGAGAATTTTTGTGAAATCCTTGCTACTGATTTATTCAGTCTGGCATGGGAGACCCGGCATGGGGCAGCCACAGCACTCAGACAAGTGATCAAAGTTCATGGGCGAGGTGGTGGCAAGACAACATACCACACAAAGGAGCAGGTCAGTTTTGATTTTTTTTACACATATTATTGATTTTAGAATGATTTTTATTGTCCTGAAATTATGTAGAATGTAGTAAGGTTTATGCTTGTCTCAAATACTGCATAACTTAGTAAAGTGTTCTTCAAGTTGAACCATTATGCCACTTATTCCTTTCCATATCCAATATATTGGTTGTTCTTTTTCTTCATTGTCATGCCTTTCCTTACTATGATATAGGGTGGCTGGGCAGGTTCTCACATCCTCAATCTTGGCATTTGACAGTAGTGGGTTACCCCTCACACATGGCTGGATGCTAGTCCACCAATGTTCTAGCCTTGCTGAGTGTTCGTGGATTACATAAATGTTTATTATTATTTGATTTTTTCTTTTTCTTTAGATGGAACAGAACCATCAAGCTTGGTTAGAGGACATGGCTGTGAGACTCATGTGTGTTTTGGCTCTTGATCGTTTTGGTGACTTCGTGTCAGATCAAGTTGTGGCACCAGTCAGAGAAACATGTGCTCAAGCTCTGGGTAAGTTAGTACTGTATTGGTAGTTTGTAAATTAATATGACATGTGCTGTGTTAATGTACATTTCTGTGTTTGTTTTGCTATAAGGTTCTGCAGAAAGTATAGCTGAAACAAGCAAATGCATTTTTCTTGTAAAGACTAGTGTTTGAAAGATAATTTTAATTTATTTACAATAAATAATGAGGCTCTTGTGCACAGTGGGCTGATGATTTATATGGGGGCCACATTCTTGAAATTTAATGTTTGTGAACAGTAAAATATTCAGCCGTAAGGAGAAAGAAAAAATTCATAAACAACAGCAAATGAAAGATTGTATTTGATCATGATTATGGCTGCCCTACAGTGCAGTTTAATAGGAAAAGTTTTGTTAGAGAGTAAATGTAAAGACTTTAACAGTACCTGTAGTACATTTTGATCTGTTTAGCTTTCTCATTAAATGGTGTTCATGGATGGTTCTATTACTTTTTCTGTGTTTGTTGCTTTCATCATTTCTCACCATTTGCACTTTCTACCAGGCTATGAAGGCATCTGAAAGATCCAATTCCTTTTCTGTTTTATATCATCTTGTAGAACTTCATGTCTACATTATTTCATTTATACGCCAGACTAGCGCTCAAGACCTCCTTGCACCAGATTGTTTTCCTATATTATAGAACTTCCAACACCTCATTAAGTAGTAATAGATTTTATCCACCCCACAGGTAGTATCCTGCACCTGCTTAGTGAAGGCGGTGTGTATGGTGTGCTCTCTCTGCTGGAGACCATGTTGTCGTGGGGAGACTGGGAGGCCCGGCATGGTGGACTGTTAGGTCTTAAGTACCTCCTGGCTGTGAGAGAAGACTTGAGAACTAAACTGTTCACTCATACCTATCCCCACATTTATAAAGGTATTCAAACAGTTAATGACCTATGGTTACCCTCAAACTCTTTAATTGGCAATGAAATACTATTATTACAGATCATACGGCACCCAATCCTGATAGACCCTAACCTAGCCATTAATACAGTATTGGGATCCATTAGGACTTTATCTTAGTACTAATAGATTATATTAGGTTCCAGCTTATTAAGATCAGGGGTGATTTATCCAGTCATAATTTTCATGGTTACCACAATTTTAGGTTTACTGGATGAGATGGACGACGTTGTAGCTGTGGCTGCATCATGCCTTGTCCCTGTGGCAGACAGTGTGGTGAATCTTCAGGATAAGGAGGTGGTGATGAAGCTGGTGGCCACACTCTGGGATGCCTTGTTAGACATAGATGACCTGACATCTTCAACAAATTCTATATTAATGCTTCTTGCAAAGTTGTTGGCACATCCGGGTAACAGCGACAGGTGGGTGTGTTATTAACCTGTAGAGGGATAATAGCTGTTTTAAGTACTGTACCTGTTTTTTTAAGTTTTAGTATTTGTTATGGAGTGATTTATAAAGAATCTCCAAAAATTAGGATTACCAAAAGAACATAATTTCTGCAATAAGGATGTTATGTGGAGCTGAAATTTGATTGAAAGTTGGGAATATGAAGAAGTGTGTGGGTGTTGGTGTGGTGTTGCTCACTATTGGTCTGTCACTTTCTCCTTCTTGCTTTATGCAACTTTCTCCTACCTTTACTTTCTTCTCTTGAGGTTTTGCTTTCCCTTGATTCTCCTCATGCAAAAAGAGAGAGCAATTTCTTTTCTGGTTTATGGATTTTTCTTAAATTTACAGGGATAAAAGCCATAATACCAGAAGTATGAATTTTTAAGAGAATAATTGCATGAATTATTCTTCGAATTTTTTTGGTGTAAATGTAAAGGGCACATTGCATTTTATGATATGTGAGGAACTCTGGATGAGAAAAAGACGAGCAGTAAAGCAGCTTGAGATGTATTTGTTATATTATAATCTTTACATTTCCCTCTTTTGACCAGAAGAGTAAGACATCACAAACCTCTTTCCTCTTGTCTGGTTCTTGGTCTGAGCCTCATATGTGTTATAATGATTTGACAAATAAGGAAGAATATTTTAGCGAAACATGTCTCACAGCTGCAGGAATGAATGGCTGAATCTGTGTATATTCCTTATTCCATCCACCTCATAGTATAACAGGAAGAGGCTTCTAGAATGGGAGACTAGAATGAAAATGTTAAAATTATTGTTTTCCCCAACAGTGTGAGAAGCAACTTGGGTGAGCTGGTTCCTCGCTTGTGGCCGTTCCTGTACCACAGTAGTAGCTCTGTCAGAGGCTCTGCTCTCAAGACTTTGGACACACTTACAGCGTATACTAGTCCAGCCAAAGTGTCCACTGATACAGTGCCTTTGACAAGTGTAGTTAAAGAAAAGTCTGCAAAAGAGTCGCATCAAATTGAAAAATCAGAACAAAAAGTGACTAAAGATGTGGAAGTTAAAATTGAAAATGTAGAAATATTAACAAGTAGTGAATCAATAAACACTAAAGTAGATGTAGAAAATATAGAACATAAAGTTAGTGAAGCAGAAAAAGAAAATAATAAATTGTTGGATACAGAACGACAAAGTGACAAATCTGTTATAAGAATAAAAGAAGAGAAGGTGGTTGACTCAGTGACCACAAAGAGCAGGGATAATGGAATCTTGTCCCAAGTTACCAGAGATAAGGAAGATATTAATATGGAATCAACAATCAAAACAAAAAAGGAAGTCAACGCAGAATCACTATGTAAAGAGGAGAACACTGAGGGCGACCAAACAAAGCAAGAAATGGTGCCTACTAAAACAGAGGAAACTACTACTGCAGGAAGCATATGTTCAAACAAAGCAGTGAGTGATACAGAGTCGTCCAAGGAGATGGATGTTGGATCGGTTAAGACCACAGATTCATCATGTGCGTGGCTTTGTTCCATCATCCAGCCAGCTCTGACCCACATATACCAGAGAGCTCTACTAGAGAAGTCCACGGAAAATCTTGATATGGTGTTCAAGGTGAAGTGTATTTCTGTTTGGTCTTATTTAGAGAGTTTTGAGTACTACTGTATTTTGACGTGCAAAGATGATGGCTTTGTTGCCTATCCTTGGTTAAATTCCCTTACTATTTATCATTGTTTGCATACCTGCATGGTCTACAGTATGTACAGTACACTATATACCTGCATTGTCTAGTTATCTAACTATATACTGTATAATGTATAGCTCTTGTATGCTTATTCTGAAGGCAGTTAATTAAACAAAGTATTTACATTTACCTTCAGTATTTTGATTTACAAAAATGAATTGTCATTGAGCAAGGAATTTAAGATGTGATGTAACGCTTGTTTGTATTAATATGAAGGGTCAACAAGCTTGGACTGCTAAGTTGTTAAAGTGGAATGACCATACTCTTGTTGTCAACAGATCTGGAGGCAGATGCTGGCTAATGTGTCCTTGGATTATCTTCTGCCTGCAGTGTGTCCAATGGTTTCCCAATGGCTCTATCTCACAATGGCCAATCCCAAAGTGCCATTAGATGTATCGGTTCTTCTCATTGCTCATCACAATAAGGTTAGCAGTAAATATGAGTGAAAGCAAAGCACTATTATTGGTTGTTATTGAAGGAAAAAGGATTGTTTAATTTTAATAAATGTTTACCTTCTGTGTGAGGGATTGGTCCTGTGAGACCTCCTTTAGAAATCATATAAATGAATGTGTACATTTATTTTACTTAAACCTTTTTACATAACTTATAATCCTCTCAATCTAAACTTTTTCAAGAATAGTGTATGTCTTTATAAAAATGTATTTAAAGCAAATTTTTAGTGAGACTAGGTGTTAAGGGTTAAGTGAGATAATTGTCTGGCTTACTCTCTAAAGGAAAACTGGGTAACTCACCATGTGACTTCTTAAGGTTTTTGTTGAACAGCAGCACAGCTGTCATCTGTAAACCTGAAGCTAACTTGTATTGTACAGGTACTTCATACTAATGGTAACTACATTCCTTCACAGTCAGGAGAGGGACGGAGATTGCGCGGTAGTGCTTTAAACGACCCAACAGACAAAGCGGAGGTGAAGTTCTACCTGGGGAGTTGTGACCAGTTTAGTGACGCCAACAATAAACAAAAAAGTGTCATCAGGGCTCGGTGTGCAGCAGCAAAACTTCTTGGTAAGTGGAGTCATAATTAGAGAGTTTGAGATTCTTTATTATATCTACAGTGTAGCTACAGTATTTGATATTCAGTATTTATTGTTGTAGAATTAAAGTTATTTCTTGAAGATGTGATTTGGTTTGACCTTGTCGCCAGCATATTGTACATCATATTCCAATAAAGTATCTTCTTATTGTATTTTATTTCAATGTTGATTCACTACAAAATTCACAGCAGAGAGCACCTTGGTCACATGTAGTCAGTACCTTAACTTGTTGTAGTTTGTATTGAATATATTGCAGTAGTCTTCATCTCTCTTGGCCTCAAAGGTGTTGTTGTCATTTTTAAATATGGTATCCCCTCCAAATTATAGGTACCATATTGTGTTGTCACCTCAAACTATGATATTAACCACAAAAATTTTGCAACTGTTTGCATATACTTGAAAGAAAGATATTGTTCCAATGATATATGTTTCTTGATTTCCAGGCCGTCTATCTCAGTATGTTATCAAGCCAATGCCGGGTGTGGAGTATCCACCTGAGGACACTCCAGTTATGTGCTATGTGCGCATCCTCCTTGCACATCTCGTCTCACAGTCAGCTGTTCAGCGTCTTGGTGCTGGGGCAGTAGTGCGAGAGTGGGCATCAATATATCCCAACCAAGAGTGTCATCCACAGCTCCAGAGTGCTCTTCAAACTTGCCTTACTGGAGTTGCCTACTATGATGAAATTGCTGTTTCATTTACCAAGTCAGTAAATTGATGTAACGTTTTGTCATTACTGTAATGTAAAAGTAAAAGGTTCTCCTTGTAGGCTTTTAAGTAAACTGAGAATATGAGGATGTATGAGGAGTGTTACTATTTATTGTCTTAATGCTTTCTCTGCTTGTCTTGCCCGATTCTCCTCTACCACACTCCCATTTTCTATGAGGTTATGGTCTCCCTTTATTCACTCCACACAAGAGTAGGTAAGAAGTAAAGATAGAAAGAAAAACTTAAGTCAGAACTGATGTATTAATCTGTATTGATACCAAATAAGTTAATTTCATTGGAAATATTTGTCAGATTACAGGAAGAGACCCGGGATTTCATGGCGATGCTGCGGCACTACAAGCTCCCCTTGGACGAGTCATTCACATCAGCTCGCGTCCTGACATTAGAACAGGTGTGAACCTTTTTTGTTTATTTCAGAACAACTACAGGAGTCCTTTGATTTATGAAAGGGATATGTTCCTGATAAACCTTTCATTATCATTTTTCCCATTAACTACCTTTATATAAAGGGAGATATGTTCCTACAAAAGAAAATTGCCCCCAAATATAAAAATACACATTTTTAAGCAATTTGTTGTGGGAGACAATACTTCTAAGTATATGTATTAACCACAATAACATTAATAAAGCAGTACTGTATATCCATGATCACAACCAAGATTATCAGGTGTGTGCGTGTGTGTGTGTGCGTGTCGAGGTTTCATAAATCAAAGGACTCCTGTAATCTTATAGTTTGGATGGATCGCTTTGAAACTTGGTGGGCATTGCCATTACTACTCAAAGATGTGACAGTATTTCAACAATCTGTGATAGCAGATAAAGCAGTTTCCTCAAACCTGATATGAAACATTGTAAATTATTGTGACGGTTAAGGATTCTCTCAGCATATTTTGTTTGAACACAAAATGGAGATGTGAGGAATTAAGAGTTGGGTGTTTATGCACGTTGTGTTTGCATTTTGTTGCTTTTAACATATATCTTGCACTGATTTTACTTATAATTTCCTCCCTTATTTTAGATTTCTGTTCTCCATGATCCACTTCATACAAAACTGGGAGAGGGATAGAGACAATAGATAGATTGATAGAAATGCTTTTGTTTCAGATTCAGAATCTCAGTGGGCACATTGCACTTACTTTGTTTTCTGGAGGTCGTCTGAGGCCCAAGGTTCATGCCACACTAGAAGAGAGACGGAAGACCATTCAGAGTAGCGTCTCCCAGACCTCCACTGATCAAATAAGTTTAGCTACAACGTGAGTTCCTTTTTATGTTTTCTTGTTGCAGTTACCCGAAGGGATCCTGGAAAATTTTTATTTTCTCACTCTTCTGAGCATTTTCCCACTACTGTATACTGCACGATCAGAATCAAGAGCAAATGCACACACACACACACACACACACACACACACACACACACACACATATTCTTCCTTTGCTGACTGTAATCTGTTCTAACTACTGTAATAGATTTACTGTACAGTACAGTATTCCTCTTCCTGGCATTTTTCTTGTATAGGATCTCCCTCACTATAAATGTAGACTTTTATTGGTAGGTAGTGGGCAGCTGTCAAACAGGGAGGTACTACTGCCATAAAACATTGATGATGATATTTTACAACACAGAACAGTCTGTTTTCTCTCTTTTTTTTCAAATATATTTATTAAATTTTATTGTTTAAAGAATATTTACTTACGCATAAGTTTAAAGCAGACAATTTTCACTGCTGATAATGCATTTATGCTTTTCCTTGAATTTGTTTATTTCTTGGAAATTTTTGGAGATATAGAGATAATGACTTGAGTCTTTTTGGCTGATGTATGGAAATGTTTTGGTATAGATTACAGGTTAAGTGTGAAAATGAGAAGCTACTTAGACATATGGTACATGTATACAGTATTCCCATTAACTCCTGTGTTTATTAACAGGACTCAAGCAGTAATCTCTGGTGCTGTTGTGAGGTTTAGAATTCTACCACGTAATCTCAACCCAGTCATCAAGCCTCTGATGGACAGCATCAAGAAGGAAAAAAATGAACAGCTACAGGTGGGTGTCTTATTAAGTGGGCAGTAGTATTGTTAATGCTAATTTTTAGCGTGTCTTTTTTGTAGAAATCGGAAAATTGTCAGTAACCTAATGTTGGCTGTATTGTAATCACAATTCAATAACATTTTATTTTTAGCTTATCCTTATACAGATAAAGGTTTATTACTTTTGTTTAGTAATGTGGTGGTAATACTCAACAGAGTCTGGCTGCAGAGGATCTTACTAAGCTTCTTGAGTTATGTATAGATCGACCCACGTGTCCAAACGGTAAAGTAGTGAAGAATCTTGCATCATTCCTGTGTATTGATCAGGAGTGCACTCCCAAGATACCTCAACTGGTAAGCAAATGTGTTAATTTATTTCCTTTGTACACTATATCTGCATTTTCTGTATACTTTTTGTGCTGAACCACATATAAACTTGTATGATGAATTTACTGAATAAATATCTATTCTCTGTCAGAATTGAACCATGTAATTACTGTACAAGAATATGACACTCCTTACACTTGTATATTCGACTTTACTTTGATCTAATATTCTTTGTAATATGTATTTTTAGAATGGTTTGGAGTGTTGTTTGTTTTGAGGAATAGAAATATTGTAGTCGCTGAATTTTATGTTTTGGGGGGAATTCTTCATCTTCAACTACTGTAGCTGGTCACTTGCACAAACTTCTCTTCCACTGACCAACTCCACACTTGTGTTTTGAGAGATTCCTCAATTATACTTGAAACATTTATTGAGGAAGTATATACAGGGTGCAGTGTACTAGACTTGTTGGGCTAATAGGCAAGAGAAGCATTCACAAAGATTTATAAAGAGAATTATGGGAAACAAATGATATCATGGGTAGGTCACTAGGGGCTTTTTTCATTCATTGTGACTAAATATAATCAATTATTATTATTTTTTTAACGTATGTCTCTCATATACTTTATCTTAAGGCAATGATTTTAAAGGGAGTTCAGTTTAAGTGGAACCAAACAGAATATGGTTAATGTTAGTGAGGATAAGGAAATAAGAAATTTTTATACTTCTTATAAAAACTATCTTATTTCTTAACCCTAGTTAACTGTAACCCTAACACCTTGTATAAGTAAATAATTTCTCCTATTCCAAATCCTCGCTATCGTCTGACCTTATTCTCTTTGGTTCCATTTATAAGGAACACCATGTAGTTCAAATGTCTCTGAGCAGTGAAGTGGTCGGTAATGTGAACTTATATTATATTTCAGGAGGGTGTTAATGCTGAAGACCTATATAAAGGCATACTCAGCTTATCTTCACAGTTAAAGGTATGGTGAGAGTGTTTGATAGAGGTGGTGTAGAGTAAACACTTACGTAGGTCTATTTATCTTTTTATCGCAATTTGTTATCTTTCCTTGCCTCCCACTTTTTACACGGGGGTAGGTCAAGGGGAACGGAAACTTCAAGAGAGAGGAAATGGTAGGAGAGAGTGGCATAAGATGGGTGTAAAAAGTGACAAGAAAATGCTGCAACATTAAAATATTAAATACTGTACAGAACAAACATTTCACACCCACTTCTTCCAAAATATACAAAATGAATCCTCTCTGTGTTTCACAGTTTAGGATATTAAGAAAGTGTGTATGAATATTTCAACTCATTGTTTCAGCAAATTTCTCTCCGTTTGTGTATTCGTAATTTTTGGTATTGTCTGGTTCCATAGCCACTTGAGATATCTTAATGGCATTTGTCATGTCAGTGTTCCTTTTAAAGTAGATGTGGCTCTTAAGGGAAGGTGTTTTGAAAGTTGATGTCACATAATCGTTTCTTCCTTGTTACACCCATTATAAAACTGCTGATATCATTACATTAATAAAACGATAATATGCATTCTGATAAGTTTATTAAAAAATTGCCTCCTTTTTTCCTGTCGGGATGCAGATTTCAATTTCACATTCACTTAATAGTTTTTCTTTTTGTCAATTATTGTTTAACCATTCCAAAAGGAGTACTGTACTGTATATAAGGTGTATTAACAGTTAATTTTTTGTGAGGGGTACAAAGGAATGAGGTACAGTACTGTATAAAGAATATTGACACAGAAAAATATGGAATTGTGAATGAAAATGATAAGGATAGCGAAGTGAGGTTCAATGTTTAAAAAAAATTATTTGGTCTTTCAGAATGCTGAGCGCCAACTTCTTCGACGTAGTTCTTCAGTGACTGGTCGAGGACCTGGCAGACCTCCTGGCCGCCCACCAGCCAATGCAAAGCGTGAAGATCCAGCTGAAGTAACTGAAGCTATTCTTGAAAATGAGGTACTGTAATGGGAAAGAGTAACGGACTTATGACCAGGTGTGACATAACATACTCAAGGCTGAATTTTCTGATGTGTGGGTCTATAAACTCTACAGTACATTGATGAATAACTGCCATTGCTATGAATTTTTGATTGTTGGTTAGTAAAGAATCTACCCTCATGGGAAAAGGTTAAATCTTTTTTTTTTTTACATTCAGTATACTTAAGTTGTAACTGGTGTATAGAATGACTCTGGGCCCTGAAAATTTGTGCTTACCCATGAAGCATTTTGTCACTTCCACGGTCACTGGAGCTTAATCAGTCATTAGTCAGACACCAAGACACAATACAAGTAAGTGATTAAGAACTTGATCTGTATCCTCAGAATCAACGATTGACTGAGATTCAGAGACGTGGTTGTACAGTTGCCCTTCAGCGAATTGCTCAATACTTCGGGGAAGACTTGCCCCAAAAAATACCTCAGCTCTGGGACTTAATCTGCAACCCATTCACATCCCCTCCTGAAGGTGACCTAACTCCAGAAACTTCCCAAGAAGCTGTTAACTGGTTCCAGCTCCTAGAGGTGGTTGTTCCAGCACTTCATACCCACTTGGTTGCTCAGGTAAGGTCTGAGTTCACTTCACCTTTTCATTTCATGTATCATATTTTTGTAAATAATTTGTTTAAAATATGTGGAATAATTTTTTTTATGAGTGTGCTTGTCCTCGTGTCATTTACTGTTTTTGGTCACAAAGTGATCACAGTAATCTTTCTAATATGCAGCTGGAGACAAAGCTCCACCTGCTGGATCACTGGCTGTATCACCCCTACTGTGCTGTCCGCCACATGGCCACTCGAGTGATGGGAGCGCTGGCCTGTGTGCTCACTGTGCCCACTCTCACCTATGTGGTTGAGAGTATTGTACCTGCTCTTGGTGCCATTGATAATGATGGCAAGAGACAAGGGGCAGTGGAGTGCATTTATGCTGTCATTGATCGACTTGGATTCAGTGTTGTGCCTTACATAGTCCTCCTTATTGTGCCTTTATTAGGTGAGTAACATTTCTGTGTGTCTCATAATTTATTAGCTAAATCTATAAAGGTTTATTTATGTAATGTAGTGCAATTTCGCATGTTATCTGTAATAGATACAGGGTAATTTTTTTATTCAAGAACCGTAAATAATTCCCATACAAAATATTGTCATCCATAATACAGTATAGTAAACATAGTTGAAATGTCAGGTATTAGTATTCTTTTAAACCTGTTTTTTAAATTTTGTCAATTTAATAATCTTCAAATCAGGTCGCATGAGTGACCCAGATAACAGTGTTCGTCACATGGCCACATACTGCTTTGCAACGTTGATCCGACTTCTGCCTCTGGAGGGAGGTGTTCCAGATCCTCCCAGTCTGAGTGAGGAACTGTTGAAGCAAAAGATGCGGGAGAGACAGTTCCTGGAGAAGCTTATGGATCCCACTAAGATTGAGAACTATAAAGTTCCTGTGCCAATCAATGCTGAGCTGAGATCATATCAGCAAGTATGTATATTAAGTGGTATTTGAAGACATGAAATATGTACAGTACTATATTTTAGAAAGTTTCATAGTAATTATAATAAGAAAGTTGTATGGGTGATTGTAGTGGATGGTTCCAATTGATGGTTTTACAGTGAGTGGCACCAGAGGAAGGTCCACACTATAGTATATTCACACTTTTAATTACCTGTTGTCTAGAGAACACTGATATTTACCAATTTTTCAAACTATCCATTGTGTGTTGCTGCCAGACATAACCTGACCTCTGTATCATGACGCATTCCTTGTTGCTCAAGAGGAAAATAACATTACTGGTTATGTTTAAATAAATCAGGACATATGTTTGTTGGCCCAGGGTTTATCCAGGGGTTTAGATTGGAGGCTAAAGAGTAATTGAAGAGGCTGGACATTGAGGGAGCCATGGCTAGAGAAATGACAGAGACTTTTAGTGAATTGTATGATTGTCATTGTATTCAGAGAAAAACTTTCATCAAGTTAATAATTTTTAACGATAAATAGATTCAGTTCCAGAAACGGTAATACTGTAACTGGTTTGTAAATTAGATGAATGAATTACTTTGACTGGTGACCGATTACTAATATCATAAGTTGCATTACAGAATGGTGTGAACTGGTTGGCATTTTTGAATCAGTATAAACTACATGGAATATTGTGTGATGACATGGGTCTGGGGAAGACACTTCAGTCCATCTGCATCCTTGCTGGTGATCATTATGCTAAAGACCAAGACGAGGTAAGTCGGTCTTGTCATTCTGTATCTTTAAATCTGACTGATCTTTATTCCTCTCCCATTTATGTATAGAATGGGTTAAAGGGAATGGACTCCTAAAGAGTATCTTACTGTTTTCTCAGATATATTCAGTCTCTTTCAACAAGTTTCAGAATTGCCATGAAACCAATTTTTAGGCTTATAGACACAATGAAAATGTCTTCTTTATACAAGTACACACAGATTCCAAGAACAGTATTTTTTCACCTTTTAATCATGCAACCACTAAAACAATCCTCATATTTACATAAAAAAATTTATTTCCAGAAAGCAGGATGCAAAAGAAGTACACCCTTCCAGTCTCTTGTGGTGTGCCCACCCACCTTAACGGGTCACTGGGTGTATGAAGTTGAGAAGTTTGTGAAGAATAGATATTTAAACCCTCTACACTACACTGGCCCACCAACTGAGAGATACAAGTAGGTTTTTGGAGCCCACTGACCACAGGGAAATACAAAATGTGTACTTTCTACCCTCAATGCAGAGTTGTGAACATGATAATGTCAATAAAAATAAAATACTGTAATTTTAAGCACCCTTGGTATGTCAATATATCACAACAAGACCTTACATAAGTCAATATAAGGAAATGTATCTAACAATGAATACAAATACAGTAAATACAGTAGATAAGACCCTTTAAACATGCAATATTTTTACAGACTGCGGCGCTTCTTTCCGGATCATAACTTGATTGTGGCCTCTTACGACATTGTCCGTAATGACATTGAGTTCTTCTCACAAATTAGATGGAATTATGTCATACTGGATGAAGGGCACATCATCAAGAATGGCAAGACAAAGGTATTGTTCTTGTGGTTTTCTTTAGTCACAATTTTTCAAGCAAAATACAAGCTTATGTTATCATAATTTTAAACTTGTAGACTGAACTTGTTTAAAACTTGTATGAGACTTAATCATATTGCTTGTTGGGATAGGGCTATGGTTCTCAAAGTTTGACAAAGTAGGGGTTGACAATTTTTTAATTTGAGAATGCAGTATTTTGCTTTTGTTCCTAATTCTCTTTTTTTATACAGCATTTAGAATTGTGGTTTATGCTTAAGTATTTATCATAAATTCACAAGTTATTATTCACTTAATTTTTTCCTCCAACAGTCCTGTAAAGCCATCAAGCAACTTATAGCTCACCATCGCTTGATTCTCTCTGGTACTCCCATCCAGAACAATGTATTAGAGTTGTGGTCACTCTTTGACTTCCTCATGCCTGGTTTCTTGGGTACTGAGAGACAGTTCATGGCACGTTATTCTAAGCCAATTCTGCAGTCCCGGGATGCCAAGAGCTCCAGCAAGGAGCAGGAAGCGGGAGTTCTGGCAATGGAAGCGTTACATCGTCAGGCACTTCCATTTTTACTGAGGAGAGTAAAGGAAGATGTGCTTAGCGACTTACCTCCCAAGATTACACAGGTGAGTTGGGACACTTACTGAAGGATTGTATGTGTACTTGAGGTACCGTATATACTTGTCTATAACCCCCCGCCGTTTATAGGTCGACCCTGATTTTTTGACCAAGAAATCGTTAATTTATGATATTCCTCGTTTATAGGTCGACCCACGTTTTTGAGGGTAATGGAACAACAAAACCATTAGTAAAAACCTCTACGTCCTATAAACTGAGGCTCGCCGTGCCTGAAACACGAGTGCCGAAGGCAAATTGTTTACCATTTATTATTACGACACTTTACACTGAAACGCGGGTAGTTTCAACAAAAATATTGTATATTTCCATTCAAGTATTTATTCAAGTCAATTAGGAGGGAATATTATTGTAATACAACAGTTTTTAACTAAACCATTCGAAAAGCGATTACGGTAACATCTTTTGAACAAAAGAAAGCGAAAGTCATTGTTTTCATCACGATTTTATCCCACTTTCCACTGTAATACGTACGTAATTTCAGCAAAAATATTACATTTCCGTGATTGTATTATATCAAGCACAGTATGAATAGAATATCATTGTAATATAACAGTATTTTAACCGAAAACTATTAAGAAAACGAGTAACTTCTCTTGAACATCGGAAGGTTAGGTAAAATCTTTTGTTTTCGTCATGTATTTTATCCTATTTTACATTAAAATACATCACGTTTCAGCAAAACTACTATTTATTTCCGAGAATATATTCATTCAAGCGCAGTTTAGGTAAAATATACGTGTGATGTAACAGTTTTTTAACTGAAAACGATTCGAAAAACATGTACCCTCTAGCCCTGTTCAAGGAGAGGACTGGGAGAGGCTGTTTGGTGCTGCAGACGATGACAAGGAAAATGATTTTGATGGATTTTAATGAAAATATTCAGAAATATGGTATCGCAGTATTTATTTAAGTCAATTAGGATAGAATATTATTGTAATACAACAGTTTTTAACTGAAAACCATTAGAAAAGCGATTACGGTAACATCTTTTGAACGAAAGAAAGCGAAAGTCATTGTTTTCGTCACGATTTTATCCCACTTTCCACTGTAATACGTACGTAATTTCAGCAAAAATATTACATTTCCGTGATTGTATTATATCAAGCACAGTATGAATAGAATATCATTGTAATATAACAGTATTTTAACCGAAAACTATTAAGAAAACGAGTAACTTCTCTTGAACATCGGAAGGTTAGGTAAAATCTTTTGTTTTCGTCATGTATTTTATCCTATTTTACATTAAAATACATCACGTTTCAGCAAAACTACTATTTATTTCCGAGAATATATTCATTCAGGCACAGTTAAGGTAAAATATACATGTGATGTAACAGTTTTTTAACTGAAAACGATTCAAAAAACACGTGTACCTTCTAGCTGATACACAACAGCTGGTGGCACGTCATGCGTCGTTGTAAACAATAGGAGGTTGAAGTAGATTACCGGGTATTATATTAAGTGTGAAATATCGAAAAGGTTTTTATTACCTGTATTTTTTGTAGATCAATGAGAACTGTGATACCGTATATGATATGATAAGTTAGCCTGTGCTAAGAACTTCAACATAAGACTACTGAAAGCACGTGTAAGGTAATTTAGCCTATTGTAAGTTGGTGAGCTTCATTTGCTGAAGGAACTGCACAACTTTTCATTACTAATTGGTGCATATTTTACGTTTCCATTGTTTACTGGCAGTAAATGGTAAATGTTTTTCAAGTCTGAAGCTAAAAGTTGCTCCTCGCCCTTCCATCATGCACGGGTTCAACCTAACAAAACTATTACACATGTATAGGACGACCCCCAATTTTTTGCCAAAAACTTTGGTCTTAAAAACTCAAACTATACACAAGTATATACGGTAATTAAAATGGTTCCAGATCAAATTTAGCCCATTGAAAATAACAATAAAATGTTGTGGGTCAGATTCATACTCATGAATGTTAATAATCGTGTTCAGTTGATATGGGAGTTCATTCATATGTTTCAGGATTATTATTGTGAACTGAGTCCACTACAGGAGGAACTGTATGAAGATTTTGCACGTACACAAGCTAGTCAGGACATTAATGAGTCACTCAGAAGCACAGACCAAGGGAAGGATGAACAAGCACCAAAACATGGCCACATATTCCAAGTAAGATACAACTCGATAAAATATATTGTATACATGAAGAAAAAAATAATAATAAATAAAAGCTGTTATGCTAATAGTACTGATGTAATAGTGATTCTACTGTAGTCTTTAGTACCAACTTAGTGCTTTCAGAAATGACAGGTACAGTACTTAAAATTTTTCCAGTTATGTTTCTTAAAATATTAATATGGATGTTATTTGTTGCAGTTGATTAACCATAGCATTAAGTCATATATTCTCTCCTTCACAGGCACTACAGTATCTACGTAAAGTGTGTAACCATCCCAAGCTGGTGCTGAAGCCCCGTCACCCAGAGTATGAACGTATCTCTGCCAAACTAAAGACCTGTAGTTTATCAATGTCTGATATCTCCCACTCAGCCAAACTTCCAGCACTTAAGTATGCTGTTACCTTTCTCAAAAATGTTGAGGAGGATATAGGAGTAGCATTCCACCCAGCCATTAAGTTTTATTATTGGATCCTAATTCAAAACTCAATTCAAATATCTTAAGAAAAGTTTATGTACACATCAAGCTAGTATTAAAAATGTGCCACTTATGAAAAGGATTATCCTCTTACTATGTTATATCCATATTTTGGACTATAGATGACTGTGGTACTTGTTGTTTTTCTTATTATCTAATAGGTGGTTTAGTCATTGGACATGCATAATCAGTTTTCGAGACCAGTGATAAATTTTTCTAATAACTCTCCCGCCTTCCATGCTTACATTATGCCCATACCATATTGGTAGGCTCTCATTCATTCATCTTTCCAAGAAACTTTCTGTCCCCGCACATTTGTCTGACATCATCACCACCACCATTACCATTTACAGCCATTTTTCATACTTGCATATGGTAACCATGACTACCTGATGGCAACTCTCCATGTTTTACAACCTCTGCCCATGCCATTCTTGGCCTACCCCTATCTCTCCTCTCCTCCACATTCAAACTCGTGCATCTCTCAACCCATTCTCTCCTATTTTATGATTCTTCTCAGACTACGGTAATCATCACTTGTACATTGTTAGAGTAATAAATTCTTCATTCAAAGCATTTTATTTTTAGAAAACGGTGTTATCTACCTTCTCTAATTTATTTCTAAAATACTCAGGCAGCTGCTCCTGGACTGTGGTATTGGGGTGGACAGTGGATCAGTAACAGAAGCAGTTGTGTCCCAGCACCGAGCTCTCATCTTCTGCCAGCTGAAGGCCATGCTGGACATTATTGAGAATGATCTGCTCAAGTAGGTTCACTCTTGTCTTAAGGAAATAAATGGAAGATTATTTATCCCACTGTCTGTGTAGTGCCACATAACTTTCTACCTTACATCACAGATGCCTTACCATTCAGTCAAAGATTGCTTTTGAATATGGAAAAGGACATATATGGTGCTTGATGATGATATTAACATTAGAACACTTCTGTGTACTGTACATGTATGCAAATAAATTGAGGATATGAGGAATATATGTGTGGTTACCTCAGCTTTTTGTTCCAGCCTTTTTTCTACTGCTGTCTGCCCTTGTGTTACACCACTCTAGCATTTCCCATATCTTTAATGCTTCTGTACCCTTTGATCCACCACACATCAATGGGGGAGGAGCAATGATAGCCGATGGATTGATATCAATAATCATATTAATATTTTTTCTTACTTTTTCTAGGGTACATCTTCCTAATGTGACATATTTAAGGCTGGATGGTTCAGTGCCGGCAGGATCAAGACATGCACTTGTCCAGAGGTTCAATGGAGATCCATCCATAGATCTTTTACTCCTCACAACACAAGTTGGTGGACTTGGGCTTAATCTGATTGGTGCTGACACAGTAAGTTAATTGGCTCTGTAAACACTTACTTTATAGCATTGTTGTAGATCAAATACAATACTTTATGTATTTCACACATAAATGTGTTTTCCTTGAATTTGGATGTATATTAGACCTCCTCCTTCCCATTGGTAGTTCACCTTATTTTTAACAGCATTTGTCTTTGTAAAATTTTGTTTCTATGCATTAACATCGTGACATCTTTACATATCTTGTATGAATAACTTTATCCGAAGGATTTTATGTTCTTATATGAAACTCTTTGATTATCATTTTTATTTTGCAGGTGATCTTTGTGGAGCATGACTGGAACCCAATGAGGGACCTGCAAGCCATGGATCGTGCTCACCGTATCGGCCAGAAGCGTGTGGTGAATGTGTACAGACTTATCACTCGAGGAACCCTTGAAGAAAAAATTATGGGGTATGTAAACAACAGCCTCAGTTTTGTTGGCTTTTGAAGAATATACCACAAGGCCATGATATACAGTATCACTTGCTTGTGTGTGTTAAAACAGTAACACATTCTGTAGGCAGGGCCAGCCCTAAGATATGGCGAATCAGAGTGATTGCCCTGGTCTTAATGCTTAATGGGGCCTCGTGGGCCTTAGTAAGCATCTCCGAACACCAAGAAATGACCTGACTATTACTGCAAGTGACCTCATTATTGGCTTAGTTTTAAATATGTAGTCAAAGTTATTCCTTAGTGCTGGGGAAATGTTTTATGATCCCCACACCCCTCTAGGGCTGGCCTTGTCTGTTGGATCAGTTGTATACAGAGTTAACAATATTAAGATAGTGGGAATAGAGTGTATATATTATATTCTTTACAGGTTACAGAAGTTCAAGATGATGACGGCAAACACAGTGATCAGTCATGAGAATTCAAGTCTACTCAGCATGGGAACAGATCAGGTGAGTTGAAGTACTGACTGTTCTGTCCAGGATTGTTTTGTGTGAATGTGGGGGAGATGTGGTGAAGGGCAGGGGAGGTGGCTGCTATCAGGCCCCTAGTGGTTTAGAGGGCAATGGATGTGAAATTCATAGTGAGTTACGATATCATGCCGAGTTATGCTGCATCCGAGCCTTATGTCCTTACAGTAATTGGTTTGATAGCTTTTGAGAAATTTACATGTTGGTCGGGCACAGATGTGGGTAAGAAGCCATAGGGTGATTTAGGCCCTAAAAATTATTATAAGGTAAAAAAATTAAATATTAGGAATATATATTTCTTTGGGCCAGTTGTGAACTACTGTATGTTATTTTTTTCATATTTTTTTTTAACCTAATTTTTGGTAGATATATGTAATTTTCTTTTTCCTTTTTCTGTTTTACTGTTACATGTCCACAGTCATTCATACAGAATGTGCAGAAACAAAATTAATTATCGTAAGGAAAAACATAAGAGAGAATAAACATCATGCTCGGGAATTAGCACACACAGCAGAGGAGGGGGAGGAGTATGGGAGATTTCTCAGCTGTTTCTGGTCTCGTGTCCTGTGTGGAGTAAAACGATGGTCAAATTGCAACAGTAATTTTTCAATTTTTTCATTATTATTATTATTTATTCCTCACACATACTGGTACAGTACATGTACAGTATACACACAACACAGTTCAGCCGTTGTGGGTCGTTTGACCTGTGCCCGGGTGGGCTAATTCCCGTAAAAAAGAAAAAAAAAGTCACCAAGCTGATTCAAGAGACGTGTGGCTGATGTCTGTATGCCGTGACATCACATGGGGGGGGGGGGAGAGTGCGTCTGCCTGCAGTTACAGGTTACTGGCTCAATGCATTCATTCACTTCTCGCACATACACACCCATGCTCTTCGTTTTTCTTATTTTATGCTTTTATATTGTATTTTCTTTATTTCTAAGCCATTTTAGAGTACAGTACATATTGTAATGATGTGCACTTGGAGCACAGAATACCCAGTTTTTCTGGCTTCCCTTCCAAATTTTTCACAGCGAGTTAAAAGTTGCTAAACTGAAAATTGACCATCGTTAAACAAGAAAGGGTGGTGAAAAATTTATATTGCTAAACCAAAATATCGCTAAGTAAGTTTCTGTAATTGAATATGTGTGTTATATATTGTTTTGGTTGTGGAAGGGAAGCACTACAGGAGAATACATCTGTGACATTAGCAAGTAGGAATAAAAGGTGTTCCTTCGGCATGAAAATAAATTCCTGAAGTGAAAAAAAAACGTACCCTATATGTGAAAAAGAATAAATTTGTCTAATAACTAACCAATTTTTTGCAGCTTCTGGACTTGTTCACTCTGGATTCTGGCAAGGGTGACACTGGTCACAGCAACAAGGAGTTTGCTGGTGGTGCTGTTACACAAGCACTTGGAGTGAATGCTGCAGGAGCCAAAGCTGTGTTAGAGAATTTACCTGATCTATGGGATCAAAATCAGTATGAAAATGAGTATGACCTTGACACATTTATGGTTTCTCTTAAGAAGTAGCTGTGAGGAGTGAATGATATGTAATGTATGTGTTAAGGATAGTTGCAGGTCAAATGGATCCCAGTCCTAATATGCCCCAGCCTAACTTTACCTAACGATTGTGAATGAGGCCTATTAGGATCAAAACCATTTAGGACTAGGGTCTGTTTGATCAGTCACCATCAAGAGTGAATACTACATTATGCTTAGGAATACCACAAATAACAGTGTACTCAGCCTTATTATATGTTATTCTAGTTGTAAATACAGGTAGTAAAAAAAGCACCATGTGTAACTTATTATGTACAAATTGTGATCAAGAAAATACAAAGTAAGAAAATGGCAATGACAAACTTTCAGATTTTGACAGGTTGTAAATGTGATACTGAATGCTAATACAATTGACTTCTAACTGTATTATTCTCCTTGGAGTACTGTAAATGCAGATGTGTGTTGAAGTTTACAAGACGTTGAGAACTGTTAATTTTCTGACATTCATATTTTCATCCATTTTAATAGTGACCACTGTGTAATATTTATACATTTTGTAATTCTATTTCACTAAATTTATAGAATTTTAAAGAAAAAATATTAAAACTCAGAAAATAAGCAATACAGTATTTTATGAGTAATTGTATAGGTAAAGATTTAATAATGGTGAATAGTTACACAAGATAGTATGACTGATACAAAATGTTTAGACTCTAGGATAAAAACCTGCACATTTATACTAGTACTTTATGACAGAAGTGTGCGGATATTGCCAATTATCTTGTATTTTTAGATAATATTGATAGACTTTGTAACTACAGAGTATAGTCATGTTACCTGATTATGTATGAATGGTATGACAGACTCTTTGAAATTCAGTTGCAGGTCAATTGGGGCCCTTGTCAAAATAGGCCCCAACATGGCCTAATCACTGGGATTTGGCCCTCATTAGATTTAGGGTCCATTAGGTTTAGGACCCAGTCATAATGGTTAGGTTAGGTTGGAGTTTATTTTAATACTTATTTGACTTTTTACTGAGTTCATATCCGAACAGTTTATTATTGTTATTATTATTATTATTATTATTTTTAGCTAAGTTACCTTAAGTTATCAGATAATATATTGCTGTACTTACAGTGCAAAGTTAACTGAACAAATATATATCCCCCATCTGTTTTGCTGTCATGTGGTATAATAAGTTGCTGTGAACAAATATATGACTACTAGGGTTCTGTTCAGGATTTTTTGTATGTGGTAAAACTGACCAAGGGTTGGGAGTTGTTGAGGCCCTTTGATGATATAAAGAGGGAATGAAATGACCTCCATTGAGTTTAACTAAGAAATCATGCCAAGTTCAGACAACAGTAAATCTGAGCTTCCTGTCTTAGGGAAGGATAGATAGAATGGAAAATGCCTGTATGATGATGATGATGGTCAGTGATAGGTGAGTAGAACCCTGGACCCGTGTGTGTTATATGTTGTGATACAGAGTTGAATAGATCAAATACTTGCTCGAATGCTATATATTTGAGCAGTGGCTTTGTGATAATTTTCAGTTTTTATGATCTTTCTTCAGTTTAAGTTAAGTATTCTGATATTTTCCCAAATTGATATAAACGGTTTTAAAAAAATTTAGTTTTTATTTTATTTTGTATACATTTAGAAACTTATTGAATCTGTCTATCTGTTCTTTCTTTTACTCCCTTCTGTGTTGATAGTGGATCAAAGGAAACAGAAAATGTACTTCCTCCCTTTCTAGTCTTTCTTCTGCTTAATTCACCGCATACAGAAGTTGGGTTAGAGGAAAAATAACAAATAGAAAGATTGATTCATTGAGATAAGTTTCTCAGTTACTCTTGGAAGCCGTTAGGTTAGTAAGTGAGTTGTGCTGCCAGACTGACATTTTAACCCCCTTCTGTCAAAGCTTAATGCAGTATCATGGATTTTGTTTAGGTAAAAAGAAAAGTCTTATAATGTCAGTGTGCCAGCATGGTCCACTTGACAACCAATCTAGTAGGGTGGGTGAGGCTGGGGGGAGGCTGGTCTGGAGGTATATCCCCAACTCAGGAGGTAGAAGAACATTACCCCTTCCGGAGACTCTGCTTTCTCTTTTTGTGGGGGAATTGCATTAAACCATTCTAATTTAAATAATATTGTTACACTTATTAGATTTTCAAGGTGTAATATACAATCTCAGACTTGATATATTGTGCCAAAATCTTTATAATTTCATTTTATCTTTTTCTTCTTGTCTCAGCATAGAAAGATGATAATAACAGGTGGGTGTGTCAGGCTTCCTCTGGATATCTTTAGATCTATTTTCTGTTAACATAAGTATTATAAGTAAGAAAAATTTTCTACCAATACGCTGTATTTGAAGTGCATTTCCAGTCAAGGTCTCAGAGATATACCATGCCTTTCCAAATTAACCATAACTTTGAACATTTTTTAATTTATGTTTGGTTTGTTGAGATTAATTCTGGTGTTTACAAAACTTTTTATTTTCAATAAGCTTCCTTATACAGATATCTTGATTGATGTTTTTATCATATTTTTCCAGATCTTGTGCTTATTTTGTCTGTAAATTAGCAATAATTTTTGTTAATAAGAAAACTGTGATGAAATCATAATTGATATTTTAGTGTATTTCATGAAAAAATAAATCGGATGAAATTCATCATTCCACACCTTCAACCAAGACACTATCCTCTCTTCTCCATTTCTTATCACCAGTACACTTGTGAAACTTTTCTCACTCAACTGTAGTTCTTATACCTCACAAATAACGGTTTCCTTCCCTGTGTTCTACCACACATCACCTGTTTCTTCAAATGTAAGGCAGACAGACATTCTACCACATGCAGTAATTTAGTTTTTGAGTTTATCTCGTCTGTTTACCTTCTAAGGCAAAGAAGAAACAAAGATACTGTGTTAAACAATTATAAGTTTCTTATAGCTCAAGCAAATTGATATCATGAAAGAATTTCCCAAATAGATAGATTGTAAAATTATGGGTTAACCTCAGGTTGTCACGAGAAGAAACTAGAACTGGTTTTCAAATGGCTTTATTTACAAAAATTATTTCAAATAACTTTTTATGAGAAAAAACTAACAGGATTAGCTATAAAATGTGCTGTGGTTTGTCCTCTTCTTCAAACAAACAAACAAACAATACAATTCTTCATAATACTAAATGGGGGAATTAGTTAGGCAACTCAGGTCAGCATTAGGGTGTTTTAATCATCAGGTAAAATATGTGGGAGTTCCTAATCTTTGTTATCCATTTTCACACGAGTGATCTAGGTACGAATGCAGGAAATGAGTTTTGTGGTATACAGTCCCTGGTGCATCAAAAGTTTCTTTTGGTGTGGGCATGGTTTATAAAACTGATGATAAATATTTTGATAGGTAACCTGATGGATTAAAAATTCCAAGAGTTTTCCATGTTAGGAAAATGGTAAAATTCCCTAAATAAGCAAAAACATTGGAGTCCTGCGTATTATCTATTACACAATTTTTAAATACAGTATAGTGTAATACCTAGAAAAATCATGAACACACCTTAGTACAGTATCATGAAGGCAGGTTAGTTGTGGAAGAAACAACATTTTGAGAAGGAGGAGGATCCTTGACAATGGGTATTTCACTTGACCATAATGTATAGTACAGTACAGTAGCTGTCTTGATCTACTCAATATTGACATGATCACTCCTTCAAAAATTTCTCATAACAAACCTTTAACATTTACTTTCTTCAGTAGTATGCTTTTGAATTGTTTATGTATAACCTTAATCAAACCCTATTTACAATTTTGTTCTGTATGTTTTCACAGTTTTCATGACTGATTTCATGAATTCTTTTATATTATGGAGGCGATCAGTACAAGGGCAGATCCAGGGGGGTCCTGGGGATCTGGACCCCCCTTTTTATCAGAAAATTGCAATACTTTTTCTTTAATGCAATATTGTACTCAGGCATTTTTTTTAGTAAAAAGTAATTACTATTGACCTCAGAGTATCTCGTAGTATCAAGTACACATGGCTTTAAAATGACCTCAAAATTCCCATGGGCTCACTTTGCTCGCCCTGTTCCACCATTCAAAACAAATTGGACCCTCTTTTTTATATTCATGTATCTGCCCCTGCAATAGTACAGTGATTGCCAGAGGGTGCTGGGATGGCACCGAGTATGGGAGTAGTCAGTGTGATGAGTATGATGTTTTTGAGTACAGTAGTTTGTAAACCAGCGTCATTCCACAGGGGAGGATCCAGCCAAACCCACTCCACTCTGCCTGGAATGGAAAGGAACTGTATGATAAAATAGTCTAATCCTTCATCTTTCTGACTGTGATTGCAAACATTACAACCACTTGATAGATATACAGTAGTTCATGTAAATTCTTACTTGGGTGAATCAGTAGTTTGTCTTGGGCAATAGAAGTTGGGTAATCTTTCCCTTACAAAAATTCTGGATCCAACCCTGATTCCATGTGATATCTTGATACAAGTATTAGTAATTATTGTGCTGTGTTATTGCTGGTGGTGTCATGTTTATGTACTTTTGACATTTTTATTCCTTCTGGTTTTTCATAAGATGTGCTTCTTGACTCATTTTTAATCATTTTGATAAGTGAATTGGATTTTTCATTTGTTTGATACTTTGTATTAGAAATAGGACAAATTATCCATGTTATGAAAAGTGATATTTTTTTTTATCTTTTATTTCTGAAAATATATCAGTTTAGTTAAGTTAATTCTAGTGATAGGAAAGAAAGATTGCTATGTATATAATTTCCTTAAGTCATATACGTACTTTTAATGTGATGCAACACATTACAAGGTATTAGAATTCTTTATGTGCAAGCATTTGGACTATTGTACAATGATTCGTCCAAATTTGCATTGTTTTACACCCTCGTGATTAGTATTACAACTGGAGTATTACACACTTGTGTGTTTATATTGATATTAATTACCTATATTTTACAAATCTAGTATTAATTACCTCTACTGTATATTATATAAAAATAATCTCCTAACGCATGGTGCTTTAGGTCTTGATGCTAGGCAGAGCTGTAAGAGTTATACTTTTGATCAGTACAGTATTAAACTTATAGCTCCTTGTGTGTCACAGTGTTTGTCTCATCAGGGTTGAATGTTATAATAGGTGAGGCAGGTATGGTTCTTGTAATGGTGATCACAGCAGCAACATCATCAGTGTTCATGATAAGGTCAGCTTCACAACAAATTATAAATGAGACATATCTGTGGCCACATGTTTAATGAAGTCATTCTCTCAGGGTAGGAATTATTGTACAGTAGTTTCTTGTAAGTGAGAAGGAGATTCCTTTGCTGATGAAAAATTGTGTTCCATATAGAAATGTTCAGCTTTACTATGTGAATATCTGAAGACCCATAAGTTATACCTCAAGGCATTTGCAAGATATTATTACTGTATTAATGAATAACTTAAATATGGTGAGCTGTAAAACCACATCCTTGGACCAATTTAGTCTTGACACTAAATCAATATGGAACTGGGCTGAGGAACTTCCAAGAACTACACTTTAAATTTCAAAACTACATTAGAACCACTAGGGTTTACACCTATCCATTAGAACCACTGTAGGGTTTACACCTATCCATCAGAACCACTGTAGGGTTCACCTATCCATTAGAATAACTGTAGGGTTTACACCTATCCATCAGAACCACTGTAGGGTTTACGCCTATTCATCAGAACCACTGTAGGGTTTACACCTATCCATCAGAACCACTGTAGGGTTTACACCTATCCATCAGAACCACTGTAGGGTTTACACCTATCCATCAGAACCACTGTAGGGTTTACACCTATCCATCAGAACCACTGTAGGGTTTACACCTATCCATCAGAAACACTAAGAACTTTAGATCCACAGAACTATAATAAAGGCTAACAATAACCTCAATCTTGTCATCTTCTTGTTTGCTGAAATTTTCATCTTAGGCTGCATAAATAGAGTCTCAGCCATCAACACATATACAGTATAGTTGTCTGACTTAAACCTGTGCTTTTTCGAAACCGGAAGAATTTCCCAGGATAACTTTTATTATTAAACACATTTAGTGAAAAACTATCCATTCATTATTGATGGTAATATGTATTTGTAGAAGTTATACTATTAAACGTCCAGTGTATAAGAATTTAAGATCATCCATTCCTGGTGTTATTATATTGAGATATTCCATATTTTGAAAATTTTAATTCATTTATAATCATATATTGTTAGTAATACTCTGGTGATAAATGTATTTTTAAAGACATTATACTATACTGTATCATTAATTCATCATCATTCATTCATTCATTGTACCATATGTGAATTGAAAGTCGTGCATTGCTGATGGTAACATATTAAAACTTGTTTTTTAATCAGTTGTAAGCAGAAAAATCATACACTGTACCCATTTTGTCCTTGGTATTATAATGTACAGTACAGTACGTACCAAGTTTTGGCCTGCCATATAGCAGGTGTTTAGAAATACCCTGTACTGTACTGTACTTAACTTAACGAGAAATGTTGCTGGTGACAGGTCAAATGGGCCCCATTCAAATAGTCTTCAACTTCTACTAGTACCAATACTGTAGTTAGGTTAGGATGGGGTTAGGTAAGGTTCTGTTCAACTAGGGTGGGTTGGTTTAGGTTAGGTTAAATAGGGATGTGATAGGCAAGGATGGGTTAGCTTGAATTAGGTGAAATAGGGACATGTAAGACAAGGATGGTTGGGTTAAAATAAGGTAGTTTAGGTTAGGTTAGGGGGGTTATAAATGGTTGTGTTAAGCAAGGGTGGCTGAGTTAAATTAGGCTAGTTTAGGTTAAATTGGGGTCTATTAGGACTTAAACCCAGTTGAGCCTGTTCACCTTTTCCCTGTAGTATTGATAGGAGTTGAGACTTAGAAGCTGTACTGTAAATTATTTAGTTTCAGTAATAACATGTAATTTCTCGTCAGTTATACGAACGGAGACAGTATTTTTGCGAGTGGTCGCTGCCAAGATATATTCCATCGGGCGTTACAGTAATTAAAGAAAACATTCGCCTGGTTTGAATAAATTTTAAGGAATGTATGTAATAGTTTCATTGTAATATATTTGCTGAATATGTTAAAGAAATAATAAATTCATTCTAGAAACTACTTTTGTATTATTTTGCCAGTGAATGACATACTGTACTGGACTCATTAAGTTTTAGGAAGAATACCAACTTGATATCATTTATACTGTAATGGCTATTTCGTATTAAGTGTGGCTAACCTGTTTTCAGTTTCCAAGTTAAAATTACTTGTTTTTCTTTAAATTTGGTGAATATCTTTGAGCCTCAGAAAAGCCGACCAAAGTGATTTAAAAACCATTATTGTTAAAAACAAATTCCTTGTGGACTTATTATCCAGTAGAGGATTACACACTATGTTGCATCTATTCTAGAGATGTCAGATCTTTCTGGAAGTATGGTGTCCATGCCAGTATACAGTCAACCCTCGCTTTACGCGGTCCCACTTTACGCGTTTCCACGTTTACGCGGTACCCTGCCGAACACGGAATGCTCACTTTCCGCGGTGTGTGTACCATTTTACGCGGAGAGCGGTGCGAGCAGGGTGCGCACAAGGTCGCCCAGTCATCAAAACATTACCGAGTTCTTCACCTGCCACCCGCCACAGCCGGCCCAAGTCAGTGATAGTGATAGTGATAATGATAGTGAGGATATGGACTTATATGGACTTTGAGGGGTTTGACAAAGAGGCCCTGCAAGCCTCAGTGGTGGATACTGATACAAGTGATACAGGTGAGGGCCAATAATCTGCCCTCTGCCTCGGAACCAACCCATCATCCCTGTGTGCCCAGCCATCTTTTCTACTGATGTCAGTGTTAAAAACGCGAATATTATTGATATTTCTCTTAATTATTAATTGTGTGTGCATACCATCATAAAATTAAGAAGTTTTTTTACTACAACGTAGGTATTGTGTCTGAAAAAGTGGAGTTTGTGGGTCGGCCCGGTCTCTATTTCAATTAATCCCATATGTTATGTTGTTCACTTTACGCGGGCCGCCGTGGGTTCAATTGACCGCGTAAAGTGAGGGTTCACTGTAGTACAGTAATGCAGACTGGGACAAATGTGTGATTTGTGTAGTTGAAGGAGCATTTTCCTTTGTTTGTTATGTCTTAGTATTGTCACACAGTACAGTAATGATGAAGATGGGCATATCTTTTCAACTGAAATAAAAACAAAGCTACACTTAGAGTTAGTCTATCCAACAAAACCACATTACCTTCAATTGTTGCATGTAAAATAAACTTAATTTAAGCCCTTAAAAATGCACAATCTGTTGCTGACAGATATAAGGTTGAACACAACTCTAGTACACAGAACACCAGTCATATAGCTTTTAATTATATTTAATTTTATTTTATGACTATTTCAATTACAGTATTAAACAATTAAATTGCACCAGATAGACATATGCAATTGCAAGAAAAATCCATAGCATTATATATGCATATGTTTCTCAGCTTTTCAACATTCACTTAATATAATTATTGTTTTATAATAAATACTATACTTGACTATTACAGTATATGAATGATAACCAAAAATTTAATATCACCGCTAGATTGCAGTAGCTAGTATACTTAGAATTGCTATTATAAAAGAAATATAAGAACTAAAAATTAATTCGACAAAACACGGTACAGGTATATGAAATAATGCATATATGATATACCGGGTATATTATTTTGTACTTCTGTATGTAATCGTGACATCAAAATGAAGCTAAAGTATACCTTGAAATTCGTTTCATTAATTGTATTTTTTTCTCTGGTGCTGTTGAGTGCAAAATACTCTCATTTGGCTGCTAAAAACTTGGAGGGACCTATTACTTATTGGGTAGCTCAATTGAGTGGGTTATCTCGTTGGTGGCGGATGATGGCAGATCCGCTAAGCGGTCAACAAGTCAAAACATTGTAGCATACTGTATGTGGCCAGTTGTCAATTCTCTTTGTATGGGCACACAAACGTACGTACATGTAGATATCTCACACTCAGGAATGAGGAAGGATAGAAACTCACAATG